TTTTGCCATTTTCAACGGTTTATTTCTTTTGGTGGCTGCTATCCCCGGCTTGGCCACGGGAGGGCACTGTTTTCCCTCCCTTAGCGATAGCGGCATTGAGGCCGTGGAAAAGGCCTACGGTGGCCTCGATGGTAAATGCTATGGGACGGGTATTGCGGCCGCCAAGGGAAATAAGCCTTTTGAATGGGGTTTTCAAGGCTTACCTCGTTGATCGGACGTGGAGTCCGCCCTGCCCCAGAAGGTCCCCGAAAAAAAGGAAGTGGAAGGACGATTAAGAAGAACGGACCGGAAGTCGGCCATATTGGGAAGGTCGCAATTTAACGAACCTGGAGGACGGCGAATTTGCGCGGATAGGAAGTCGGACATGCTGAGGAGGTCTACCCGAAAGGAAGTAGGGGGAAAGATTAAGAACGAAGGAACGGAAGTCGGACATGATGGAAAGGTCCTTTTACCGCAGCACCTGGGGGACGGCCGATACCGACGGACAGGAAGCCCGCCGTCCAGAGAGCGCCTCTCGCAGATTACTCGTCAAGAACCAGCCGGCGGACACGCGCAGAAGGCCGAGGGAAGCGGCCCGTCCCTTTCGGAGGAGCATAGAGTGGCGACCCTTTGGCTGACGCTCTGCGCTTTGGGGCTTGGCTTCTCGGTGTCCCGATCCTGGGCAAGTGGCCTACGACGGCCTCCCTGGTAAGGCTATGGGACGGGAAACACTGCCCTCCTGTGGTCACAAACGGGTACTGCTGCCGCCCAAAGAAATAAATACTTTTGAATAGCATTTGAAGCTTACTCTTCTCTATTTTTATTCTTAACGCCTTATGATTAATATTAACGTGGAGACGGGGGGGGGGCCCGGTCGGTGCCACACGGGCGCAGAAGAAATCCTGGTTCCAATCTTAAACCGAGTTAAGGCCTATTGTGGCTTATTCATATTAAGAAGGTTTTAATAATCAAGAATAATCATCTTAAAGAGGTTTATTTATTTTTCTGGCCGCAGTATCTGATTTGACCAGTTTTCCGTCCCTTAGCAGGGCTGGCTCAGGAATTCTGGGAGTTGAAGTCCACCAGTCATCAACGAGCCAAGGTTGCCTTACCCCTGCCTTAGCTATAGGATGGAGGCCATTAAAAAGGCCTAGGATGGACTCCAAGCCAAAGCTATGGGACAGAAAACTGTGCCATCCTGGGGTCAAAAATGGGTGTTGCGGCCACCCAAAGAAATAAACCTTTTTAATGGCATTTTAAAATGACCGTATTCTCTATCTTTATTAACGGTATTAACACCTTATTAATAGACGAAGGCCTACAAAGTTAGATGGACGGTGAACAAATTAATAAATGCCATTAGTTGCAACTTCTCACGTCTCACCCCTTTTATCCATCCTTTAAATGATAAACCTATAAGGGAATGATAGGTTATATACTTTTTCAAAATAAACTACATTTATTTTTATATTGATCGTTTCGTAATAAAAATACACAATATTTCAAATAGATATTTGATATTGCGCTTATATGAATACATAGGTATCTCTAAGAAATATAGTTTAGAAACACCAAGCCCAAATACAAACCTACATACATACGATCTCCTTAAAGAAAAAGAAGGGCAGGACAAACAAAACTATTCTTGAATAAAAACATCTGGGTTTGCTTGAAGGGGGCGAGCGGGGTGCACTTTTAGGAGCAACCTCTTAAGGTGTAACACAGGGAAGCGCGATACGACTGGATCAGGGAGAAAGCTAGGGAGTTCCAGAAAAACATCTACTTCTGCTTCATTGACTATGCTAAAGCCTTCATTGGTGGATGTGGCAAGTTCTAAAGAGATGGGAATACCAGACCATCTTATTCTCTCTGAGCAAAATAGAATGCGGGCAAGACAGCAACAGTGAGAACTGGAACGGAAACATGATGGGTTCCAAAATAAAAGGAGGTCCGACAAGGCCTGTATAGTCGCCCTGCCATTTAAACTTATATTGAGACACACTGAGAAAGGCAGGCTAGAGAAACAAAACGTTGAATTAAGATTGCGGGAGAATATCAACACACCTAAGATTTTACAGATGATCCACCTAAGCGGCAGAAAGTGAGAGGAAATAAGGAGCTCTTGATGCGGGTGAAGAAGGAGAGTGCAAACGTTGGCTTGAAACTCAACATTAAGAAAACCAAAATCATGGCATCCGGCCCACTCAATTCCTGGCAAATAGATGGGGAAGAAATGGAGGTGGTGACAGATTTTATTTTTCTGGGCTCCAAGATCACCTCAGATGGGGACTGCAGCCAAGAAATTAAAAGACGCTTGCTCCTGGGAAGGAGAGCTATGGCAAATCTAGACAGTGTACTAAAAAGCAGAGACGTCACCCTGCCAAGAAAAGTGCGTATAGTCCAGGCCATGGTCTGCCCAGTTGCAATGTATGGCCGTGAAAGTTGGACCATAAGAAAGACTGAGCGCCAAAGAATTGAGGCCTTCGGACTATGGTGTTGGAGAAGACTCTTGCGAGTCCCTTGGACTGCAAGGCGTTCAAACCGGTCAGTCCTAGAAGAGATCAACCCCAACTGCTCTTTAGAAGGCCAGATCCTGAAGTTGAAACTCAAATACTTTGGCCACCTAATGAGAAGGAAGGACTCACTGGAGAAGCGCCTAATGCTGGGAAAGATTGAGGGCAATAGAAGAAGGGAACGACAGAGAATGAGGTGGTTGGATGGAGTCACTGAAGCAATAGGTGTGAACTTAAATGGACTCCAGAAGACGGTAGAGGACAGGAAGACCTGGAGGAACATTGTCCATGCGGTCGCGATGGGTCAGACTCGACTTCGCAATTAACAACAACAAAAGAAATAAACCTTTTTAATGGCATTTTAAAATGACGGTATTCTCTAAATTTATTAACGGTATTAACACCTTATTAATAGGGCCCATTGGAGGAAAATTCCACGGTAGGGTCTCTGCGTCAGCAGGCGGCTGGACTAGAAGACCTCCGACGGTCCTCCAGCGTATTTGACAAGAATTTTCCTCCAATGGGATTTTACATGATTTTACAGGAAACATACATAGGGCAGCCTAGAAAAATCAGTGCCCTCCTAACCATACCCAAGCACTCCGCGTTTGTTGGCGATGTCCATTTTGCTCTAGGAGTTCCCGGTGACGTAACCCTAACCCTAAGTGGAATTTTCCTCCAATGGGATTTTCCCATGTATTTTACCAGGAAACATAGATAGAGAAGGCCAGAAAAGTCAGGCCCTCCTAACCATAACCAAGAACTCTGAATTTGATGGCAATGTCCATTTTCCTCCCCGATTTCATAGTGTTCAAACCCTAACCCTAAGTGGAATTTTCCTCCATTGGATTTTCCCATGTATTTACCAGGAAACATAGAAAGGGCCAGCCTAGAAAAGTCAGTGCCCTCCTAACAATACACAAGCACTCGAGTTTCTGTTGGCGATTGTTACATTTGCTCTAGGACGTTTCACGGTGAGTAACCCAACGCCTAAAATGAATTTCCTCCAATGGATTTTCCCATGTATTTTACAGTAAACATAGAAAGGGCCAGCCTAGGAAAAGTCAGTGCCCTCCTACCATACCCAAGCATACGGTTTGTTGGCGATGTCCATTTTGCTCTAGGAGTTCACGGTGACGTAACCCTAACCCTAGTGGAATTTCCAATGGGATTTCCATGTATTTTACCAGGAAACATAGAAAGGGCAGCCTAGAAAAGTCAGTGCCCTCCTAACCATACCCAAGCACTCCTAGTTTGTTGGCGATGTCCATTGTGCTCTAAGAGTTCACGGTGACGTAACCCTAACCCTAAGTGGAATTTTCCTCCAATGGGATTTTCCCATGTATTTTACCAGGAAACATAGATAGGGCAGGCTAGAAAGGTCAGTGCCCTCCCAACCATACCCAAGCCCTCCGAGTTTGTTGGCGATGTCCATTTTGCTCTATGAGTTCATGGTGACCTAACCCTAACCCTAGTGGAATTTTCCCTCCAATGGGATTTTCCCATGTATTTTACCAGGAAACATAGATAGGGCAGACTAGAAAAGTCAGTGCCCTCCTAACCATACCCAAGCACTCCAGGTTTGTTGGCGATGTCCATTTTGCTCTATGAGTTCATGTGACCTAACCCTAACCCTAAGTGGAATTTCCTCCAATGGGATTTTCCCATGTATTTTACCAGGAAACATAGATAGGGCAGTCAAGAAAAGTCAATGCCCTCCTAACCATACCCAAGCACTCCGAGTTTGTTGGCGATGTCCATTTTGCCCTATGAGTTCATGGTGACCTAACCCTAACCCTAAGTGGAATTTTCCTCCAATGGTATTTTCCCATGTATTTTACCAGGAAACATAGATAGGGCAGGCTAGAAAAGTCAGTGCCCTCCTAACCATACCCAAGCACTCCAGGTTTGTTGGCGATGTCCATTTTGCCCTATGAGTTCATGGTGACCTAACCCTAACCCTAAGTGGAATTTTCTTCCAATGGTATTTTCCATGTATTTTACCAGGAAACATAGATAGGGCAGTCAAGAAAAGTCAGTGCCCTCCTAACCATACCCAAGCACTCCAGGTTTGTTGGCGATGTCCATTTTGCCCTATGAGTTCATGGTGACCTAACCCTAACCCTAAGTGGAATTTTCTTCCAATGGTATTTTCCATGTATTTTACCAGGAAACATAGATAGGGCAGTCAAGAAAAGTCAGTGCCCTCCTAACCATACCCAAGCACTCCAGGTTTGTTGGTGATGTCCATTTTGCTATATGAGTTCATGGTGACCTAACCCTAACCCTAAGTGGAATTTTCCTCCAATGGTATTTTCTATGTATTTTACCAGGAAACATAGATAGGGCAGTTAAGAAAAGTCAATGCCCTCCTAACCATACCCAAGCACTCCGAGTTTGTTGGCAATGTCCATTTTGCTCTCCGAATTCATGGTGACATGACCCTAACCCTATAGGGTCTCCTACTTGAGGAGGGGTTTGGACTTAGAAGACCACAAGGATTCCTTCCAACTCTATTATTCTGTTAATAACGCATATTGGACATATTAACTTGCAGCACGCAGCTGAACTGGAACAGAAGCAGAACGAATGTGAGAACCGGAAGTTGCTGGGGGAAATTGTAAAATACAGCAATGTGATCCAGGTGAGTTTTTGAAAGCCACAAAGAGATTAGGGGGTTCGTGGCCCAAGTGGGCTAGAGCAGGGGTCTTCATACTTGGCCCTTTTATGACTTGTGGACTTCAACTCCCAGAACTCCTCAGCCCGCATGCCTGGCTGAGGAATTCTGGGAGTTGAAGTCCACAAGTCATAAAAGGGCCTAGTTTGAAGACCCCTGCTTGTGGACTTCAACTCCCAGAATTCCTTAGCCAGGCATGCTGACTGAGGAATTTGGGGAGTTGAAGTCCACAAGTCATAAAAGGGCCTAGTTTAAAAACCCCTGCTTTTTGACTTTAACCCCCAGAATTCCTCAGCCAGGCACGCTGGATGAGGAATTCTGGGAGTTGAAGTCCACAAGTCATAAAAGGGCTAGTTTGAAGACCCCTGCTTGTGGACTTCAACCCCCAGAATTTCTTAGCCAGGCATGCTGACTGAGGAATTCTGGGAGTTGAAGTCCACAAGTCATAAAAGGGCCTAGTTTAAAGACCCCTGCTTTTTGACTTTAACCCCCAGAATTCCTCAGCCAGACACACTGGATGAGGAATTCTGGGAGTTGAAGTCCACAAGTCATAAAAGGGCCTAGTTTGAAGACCCCTGCTTGTGGACTTCAGCTCCCAGAATTCCTCAGCCAGGCATGCTGGCTGAGGAATTCGGGGAGTTGAAGTCCACTAAACATAAAAGGACATTCCCAGACCAGATATTTTTCTCATTTTGAGGAAAACTTGAAGAGGTGCCTTGATTTGCTTATAAGCCAAGGAATGAAACAGGCTCTGAAGGCCGATCCTAACAAAAGGATAAGTCATTCAGCAGAGGCTACAGATGGTTCTTGGTTTACAACAGTTCGTTTAGCGATTGTTTGAAGTCACAACGGCACTGACAAAAGTGAGTTGTGAGCCTTTTTCACACTCGCGACCGTTTGCAGCCTCCTCAAAATTCAAACGCTTTGGCAACTGACTCGTATTTATGACGGTCGCGGCACCCGGGGTCACATGATCCCCTTTTGCGACCTTCTGACAAGCCAAGTCAATGGGGGAAGCCAGATTCACTTAACTAACTTAACAACCGCAGTGATTCACTTAACAGCGGTGGGGCAAAACACACTTAAACATCTTGCTTAGCAACATAGATTTCAGGCTCAATTGTGGTCATAAGTCGAGGACTCCCGATACTTTCGTTATCCTTGCATGACCAGCTATAAGTATCTCAGAAATGCGTCCTTTAATTTGATTAACAAAACACTGTGTATATTTATGCATAATTGAAGTACTATATTTATTGCCAATATGTCCCGCATTTTCTCCAGAAGCTCAAGGTACTACTGCACGTAGTTATGTCCCCTATTTCAGGGCTTTTGAACCAGTGGTACGGATACCACCTGTGGTACATTGGCACCTGGCAGGTGATACACAACCATCCTAGAAAAGTGGTAGTGGGGGAGGAGAATGAGCTAAACCGGTGGCAGCACCGCACAAGCCGGAGTGAGAGACGGCTGGAGCTGCAGGGATGTCAGGGCTCAGCGGAAGCGCCAGGTTCAGTGCCACTTTCCAGCTGATCGGCGCTTCTTCGGGCCTGTCAGGGCTCAGTGGAAGCACCAGGATCAGCGCCAGGATCTGGCTGGAGCTCGGCGCTGATCCTGGCACTTCTGCTGAGCCCAGAAGAAGTGCCAATCAGCTGGAATGTTGCAGCATCTCCAGGGTCTTGTGATTTACATTCAGATGCTTGGCAACTGATTCATATTTATGACAGTCACAGTGTCCCGGGATCATGTGAAGTGACCAAAACCTGCTGCAACCACCCAGCAGACAGGGGGAATAAAAACCAAACACCCCCCCCACCCCACCTCTGCTGCCAATCCTCAACAGAAATGCTCACAACAATGAAAACCTCGGACAGGAGGAAGAGCACCGCCAGGTGGGCAGGCAGGTGTCTTGCTCAGCTGTGGCTTGGGGGGGGCACTTTTTTCAGTGCCATTGTAACTTCGAACAGTCACTAAGCGAACTGTTGTAAGTCGAGGACTACCTGTACTTTATCACTTTTTTCCTTTTTTTTTTTTTGGTCATCAAGTTTTTGATACTTTGCTAGGCGACTGGTGGTACTCGGATGTTGCCATATCCTAAAAGTGGTAAAATGGGTGCAAAGGTTGAAAAGCCCTGACGTATTTATCTCGTAGCCCTCCCAAGTTCACTGACCTAGAGTAACCCAGTCAGCACTACGATTCAATGGTGGTTTAAACTTTGATCTCTCTCTGGACCAAGTGTAACGTTTTAAATTTAGAACTGTTCAAGGTACAGGAATTTCCTTTAAAAAAAAAAGAAAAAAAAATCAGTCCTCATTAAAACAAGGCGTGAAAGGAATGTTTGGCAAAATGGAAAATAAAAAAAATCCAGTCAAAAATTCCAGCTCTTAGGTGGTTTATAGACAAGGAAAATTAAATGAGGAAATTGAAAATAGGAAGTCATTTTCCTGCCTTGAAGCTTCGTGAGGACTGAATGACTTGATCTAAGGGCGGCTGAGTCATCTTCCACTGAGACCCTTTTGTAACTAATGTGTAGCTTACTCAGAGCTGCCTGAAAAAGCCACAGTCACAGTGATAGGATATCATGTGCGTTGTGCCATCAGCCAGATAAGGCGAGTGATGTGCTGGCATCATTCTGCCGGTTCACAATTGGAGCCATTGGTCGGTTGTGAAGAGTTGATATCGTTTGCAATGTGAGAACGGTAAATTAATAGCAATAGCAGAAATAGCCCTTAGATTTATATACTGCTTCGTAGTGCTTTTACAGCCCTCTCTAAGCAGTTTACAAATGTCAGCATATGGCCTTCAACTATCTGGGTCCTCATTATACCAACCTCGGAAGGATGGAAAGCTGAGTCAACCTTGAGTCTATCCGGATCAAATCCTGACTGTGGAACGAAGGGAGGGAGGGAGGGAGGAAGGGAGAGAGGGAGGGAGGGAGGGAGGGAGGAGGTGAAGGAAGGAAGAGGGAGGGAGGTAATGAGGGAGAGAAGGAGGGAGAAAGTGAAGGAAGGAAGGGAGGGAAGCAGGGAGGGAGGGAGGAAGGAACAGCAATAGCCTGTAGACTTATATACTGTGCTTTACAGCCCTTTCTAAGTGGTTTACAGAGTCAGCACGTTGCCCCCAACAATCTGGATCCTCATTTTACCGACCTCAGACAGATGGAAGGCTGAGCCATCCTTGAGCCTGTCAGGATCAAACTCCTGGCAGTGGGCAGAGTTTACCTGCAATGCTGCATTCTAACCACTGCAGCACCACGGCTCCTAAATTAAGCCAGTTTGTATTGCGGTTAGCCAAGTTTTTGATTCCAGTCCCACTCATTGGCGTCCACCTTTTTCTAAAGAGCAATAGCACTGGCACCTAGATTTACGTACCACTCCATAGTGCTTTACAGCACTCTCTAGGACAGGGGTAGACAACCTTGGCTCTTTTATGACTCTTTCAACTCCCAGAATTCCTGAGCCAGCCATGCTGAGGGGAAAGGGAGAGGTTTTCAAGCTGAGCCATGCCGGCTCAGGGATTCTGGGAGTTGAAATCCACGAGTCATAAAAGAGCCAAGGTTGCCTACCCCTGCTCTATGAGGTTCATAGAATCAGCATCTTGCCCCCAACAATCTGGATCCTCATTTTACTGACCACTGAGCCAACCTTGAGCCTGTCAGGATCAAACTCCTAAATGTGGGCAGAGTTTGTCTGCAATGCTGCATCCTAACCACTGCACCACTATGGGAGGAAGGGAAGGGAAGGAAGGAAGGAAAAAAGAATGGCGGAATAACAGAATTGGAAGGGAGTTTGGAGGTCCCTTGTCAGGATCAAACTCCTGGCAGTGGGCAGAGTTTGCCTGCGATGCTGCATTCTAACCATTGCGCCACCACGGCTCCTAAATTAAGTCAGCTTGCATTGCGGCTAGCCAAGTTCTTGATACCATTCCCACTGAAGGTAGACAATCACAAGAGATTTCCTCACATTCTAATTAGCATAGGACACACCTTGGGCTGAATCTTAATCCAACGGTTGCGTCTGAATGCATGGATCTTATTTATTTTCCTCACCGACAGCTCCTTCATATCAAGAGCAACAAGTACCTTACCGTCAATAAGAGGTTGCCAGCCTTGCTGGAAAAGAATGCCATGCGGGTGTCTTTGGATACGGCCGGGAACGAAGGCTCCTGGTTCTACATCCAGCCCTTTTGGAAACTGCGAAGCGAAGGGGACAATGTAAGTGAGCGAAATGCGAAGTTGCTGGAATTTTGATTTACTTTGGCCATGTCGTGTGTGCAAATTTATTGGAGAAGTCCATGAGGCTAGGAATGGTTAGTGGAACAAGGAGAAGGGCAAGCAAAGAACACGCTGGCTTGATAACGTCAAAACCAGGACAAAGATGACTATCCAACAACAGAAAGAAAGCACAGAATTCTTGCCTGTAAAGCAGAGGTCTTAAAACTTGGCCCTTTTATGACTTGTGGACTTCAACTCAGGCACGGTGGCTGAGGAATTCTGGGAGTTGAAGTCCACAAGTCATAAAAGGGCCAAGTTTGAAGACCCTTGAGATAATGTGAGGGGGAAATAATGCTAACTCAGAAAGAGCTAAACTGGTGTTTCTCAACTTCGGCCATTTTAAGAGGTGTGGACTTCAACTCCCAGAATTCCTCAGCCAGCATGTCTGGCTGAGGAATTCTGGGAGTTGAAGTCCACAAGTCATAAAAGGGCCAAGTTTGAAGAACCCTGCTGTAAAGTCACCAAGAATCAGACACAATTGAACGGTTAAATGTCTGTGGAGATTTTCAGTTGTCCAGGTCCTGGTTGTTGCGAAGGTGCTCTTCCAAAAGGCAATGGGACTTTCTTTGTTTTTTCCTTGAAGACATTTCGCTTTTCATCCAAGAAGCTTCTTCAGAATCGAAACGTCTTCAAGGAAAACCAAGTCTTCAAGTCCCGTTGCCTTTTGACAAAGCACCTTTGGGATGATCGAATGGTTAAACACCAATTAGAATATTGTCACCTCTGTAGTCAAAAATCAGTCGGGAAACACAATGTAAAACCTTGTTGTCCTTCCTTGGTGAGGTCTGAACACCTGGCTCCTTGCACCTTGACGTGTTATTTTAACAAAGGCAGTCGTCAGATAGAATCTGCATTGAAAAGAGCAACTTTTGATAGGCCTGCAGTTCCATGATCCCACTCGGGTACGGCAATGTCAAACGGAGGAGAGGCCAAGTTTGAATGAGGTCACAGCCTTACTCAAAAGTTCTGGGTGTTCTGTGTCAGCAAATGCTTAGTGAATCAGAGCTGCTTCTGATAAGTGAAGCCCACAGTGGTGTATTGTAGTGGTGTCCTCAGTGATCAGGTAGGGCCTTGCCTTCTTCTCAGGCTGAAGAAATGAAGGCAAGTTAAGTATCTCATCTGCGGGAGCACTTGAAGCAAATATTTGGAGCTTGTTTGGTGAACTAAGTCAGGGGTCCCCAACCTATGGTCCGCAGCCTGGGACTGGGCCATGGGCTCTTAGCCAGCGGGCCGTGGGAACGGCTGGCTGTTGCGCGCACGTGTGAGTATGCATTTTCCCTCCACTCACACTAGCGGCCAGGGCCCTGTTTGCGCATGCGAGTGGGCAAAAACAGGAATGCTAGCGCGGGGCGGGTGTCTGCAGCGCCACTTGTCCAGGTGGTTTGTGCTGCCCATTTGTGCATGTGCGAATGGGCCACTAGCCGCCATGGGGGGTGCGCAGCCATTCACGCATGCGCACAGTGCCAGTGCATACCATGTGCGTGAACAGGGCTGCTAGTGCTGCACCAGTGTGCGTGGCCCAATGTGCGCGTGTGCATGCACGCACACCAATTTTGAAGCTGCTCGCCTTCCCTACAGTCCTTGAGCCTGGAAAGGTTGGAGATCTCTGGACTAAGTCATCTCCCACTTTCAGACTTCCTTTGAATTCCTGGCCATGTTCCTCACCTGCTTATCTTCTCCAATTCCCTTTTGTATGTTCAAGAGTCAAGAACTTATGTTGACAAAACCCTTCCGCCTAGGATCCAGATCCAATACTTTTAAGACAGACTGAGATAGCTTCTCCAAAGCCGTAGTAGAGTAACACCAGAATGGCAAGAAACAACCTGTGTCTAGCTGGAGCTGTCCCAAAGCTGAATTGAGAGACGGAGTTTCTCATCTGTGATCTCAAGCACATCTTAATATTGTCTTTGTGATTGCTCCTTTCAGCCAATTTGTAACTACTGATTCAATCCTGCAGGTTTTCTTTTGCTAATACTCTCTCTGCCCTGATGTAGCTGTAAGTTATTTTCTTTTTCAGCAGCATGGCATGCAATGCACCCTGCGTTAAGTACAACTGTGTGTAGAAAGGTTGTGATTTTATTGTGGATGTTCTGATATTCAAGGAGTAGCACAATAAGACACTTGCACGAGTTATCGGCTTAGTGATTTTGGTCTGTGATTGTCTCCACTTTCCAATTTGTGACAAAAACAGAGAAAAATTCATGGAATCCATATCACTCATGTTGGCTTTTTGCTACTTACTTGCCATAAACCATTATGTATTTAAAGAAGTACGAATGTATTGGTAAATTCTGCCATGAAACCTTGCTTCCCAGAGGTTTTGTAGCACACTATGATGAATTACAAGGAGTTGGATCACCTGTTTTCAGTGCTCTGTTGTGGGTGCTGGTGCACTTGTAACTTTGCCCTTGTGATAAGCTGCCCGTGCATGTTTGCTTGGTCATTTCTCTTGAATCTCTAACTTCTTCTGTTTCAAGATGCGTGTGGAATTGCACAAGCCCAGAAAATGTATGGTGTATATGGAGTCCCTGGTGCTCTCTGAGCTTGCTTGTTGTAGATCAAGTTAAGTCCATAAATGTTGCAGAATTCCTGGAAGCCTGGCACTTGAACACATCAGCCATCAACAGGCACATAAACAACGTTTACACCCCATTGGAAAGAGACAATAAAAAAAGCTAAGCAGAAAAAATAAAATACCGAAACATCACCTCACCAGCAATCATCATCCAGATTAGTAGAGATGATCACCAGGTGTCATGGTTCCGACAGATGAAATCTTCAATAGAACTTTGAGGCATTGTTTATCTTAAAGAATCTTTTATTCGAGTAGCATAATGTCGGCATAATCAAAGACAAAAACTGAATTCTCCTCCCCTGGGCACATAGTATCAAAGCACAATTTCCTCTTCCAATTAACAGTCATAAATCACATTTGCCACTTAGCTTGAAGCGTGGGCTTCCTCTCCAGCTCTCCATCCCGCCAATTCATTATCAGTTCTGGGCTCAATAACCTTGATTCTCACGCTATGTTTAGTGTTGTTATGTCTAATTAGACTCTCCTTCACATCCCCCCTGCCAGCATCATCGAAAGGAAAAAGATGGCTATATTTCCATCTGTTGTCAATGCAAAAACATCCGATATTAGCAGCGTGGACACCAGGATTAATACCAGACCAATCAAGCAGCAAACAATACCCTAATAAGGAAGACCAAGAACACTCCCGTGAACACTGACAGGGCAAGCCATTTGGATATAAACATAGAGCAGATCCTTCTAGCTCTGATGATGTTACCTAGTTTGGTAATGAAACATCTGCAAGAAAACAACGGAGCTCAGAGAGCACCAAGGTCTTCACAGTCCTCCTCCTCCTCCTCCTCCTCCTCCTCCTCCTCTCCACCCTCCTTTTTCATTCTCCTCTATTCCACAAACCTCACTCCCTTCTAAGCACTGATAATATTACCTAGTTAGGTAATGAAACTTCTGCAAGAAAACCCCCAAGCTCAGAGACCACCAAGGAACCCACAGTCTTCCTCCTCCTCCTCCCTTCTAGCACTGATGTTGTTACCTAGTTGGGTCAGGAAACAATCTGAATAGAATAGAATTTGGAATGAATAGAATAGAATTTGGAATGAATAAAATAGATTTTGGAATGAATAGAATAGAGTAGAGTAGAATAGAATAGAATAGATTTTGGAATGAATAGAATAGATTTTGGAATGAATAGAATAGAATAGAATAGAATAGAATAGAATAGAATAGAATAGAATAGAATAGATTTTGGAATGAATAGAATAGATTTTGGAATGAATAGAATAGAATAGAATATAATAGATTTTCGAATGAATAGAATAGAATAGAGTAGAATAGAATAGGATTTTGGAATGAATAGAATAGATTTTGGAATAGAATAGAATAGAATAGATTTTGGAATGAATAGAATAGATTTTGGAATGAATAGAATAGAATAGGAATAGATTTTCGAATGAATAGAATAGAGTAGAGTAGAATAGAATAGGATTTTGGAATGAATAGAATAGATTTTGGAATAGAATAGAATAGAATAGAATAGAATAGTTAACCCTTATTGTCATTTTTTACTGTGGGCACATTGGCACACATTAAAAACAAAATTTTGTGGCTTGCTCTCAAAAGTGGTCACGTACATAACACACATTTAAACATGCTATATACAATATATGTATACATGTAAATAATATAAATATTAATCATCGTCCATCGTACTGGGTTCTTACTGAGCAAGGGATATCGGGTATATTCACAGTAAGAATCCACGATGTGAGATAGAATCCAGATTATAGAAATAACAGCAACAGAAATAAAGTGATTTTTTTTTTAAAAAAAAAAAGAATGATAACATGTGACTCTTTTTATAACTTCAGATTGTTGTCGGAGACAAAGTTGTCCTGATGCCGGTTAATGCTGGACAACCGCTACACGCCAGCAACATAGAGCTCTTAGATAATCCAGGATGCAAGGAGGTAGGTTTGATGAGGATTTATCCAACTAACTAGGTTTGTTTTGGTAGGTTGCAGTTAAGTGGTCATCCCCGATGGAAGCTTGTTCCAAAAAGAACTGATCAGGATCAACTTTCTGTTGTCACTGGCATCATGCATTGCCTGGCAATAACTTGATCCACATTATTAGCAGCCAATCACATTCTTTGCTAGTGTACAAGCAATCCTCGACTTACAGCCATTGGTTTGGTGACTGCTCAAAGTTACAATGGCGCTGAAAAAAAGTGACTTATGACCATTTTTCACGCATACGACTATTGCAGCATCCCGATGAGTCACGTGATCAAAATTCAGGCGCTTGGCAACTGGCATGTACTAGTGACTGTTTGCAGTGTCCTGGGGTCAGTTGACACCCTTTTGTGACCTTCTGACAAGCAAAGTCAACAGAGGAAGCCAAATTCACTTAACAACTGTAGCAAGAAAGGTTGTAAAATGGGGCAAAATTCACTTAACTGTCTTGTTTGGTGACAGAAATTTTGGGCACAATTCTGGTCACCATTCAAGGACTTCCTGTGTATATGAAATTACAGTGTTATTTACAGTAGTGGCCAAAATGGTGGAAACCTTTTGGGAAAAGTGTACAGTAGAAATGCCACCTTTGGTTAAGTGTCCACCCATTTTTCTTCTAATTTCTTTATCACTGTAGCCTTGTTCACTTAATAATACTATTTTACATCGCTTTCTGGGCGACCGGTTAACTCTTTGCACCATTCCTTTAATTTTATTACGTTTTACAAGCTCACTCAATGAAAGAACATAAAAAAACCTCAACCAACTTGATAGCAATCCCATAACACACTGACAAATGTCCTCCTCTCAGCTTCAACACATGACATCAATCACTGAATCCTACTGTGATCTGATTGGCTCATTGCCAAAACAAGATGACACTTGATTGGCTCTCTAAACACTCACACTCATTGGCTACAATCAGATGAAGGAAAGCTACCTGATATCAACCTGAGCAAGTTGTGCTTCCTTTTTCTGGTTAAAGCTATAGCTTTTCATAGAATACAGTACAGATAATCGAACAAACTTTGTTGCATTACATTCTCAATTAAATTATCTTTCCATTGACATATAATTTTATGGTACTACTCCCCCAAAAAAGCGGTGTTAATAGCCATCCAACCTCAAAAATACACTTTTCCCAAAAGGTTTCCGCAATTTTGGCCACTACTGCATGTATTACTGCTATATAACCTAGTCCTTTCTTGGCCGTGTCTATGGAGTTTCTCAGTCATCCAAGTTATGGTTGTCCCAAAATGGCTTTTCTCCAAATGGCAACTGGTCTTTCTTCATTTTTCTCAAAGATGTTTCGCTTCTCATACAAGAAGCTTCTTCGGTTCTAAAAAAACTGATGAGGAACGGAAAGGATTTCTACTCTTTTTGGTCTTTTGAAAAGAGAAAGAATTCACTTCTTGGATGAGAAGTGAAACGTCTTCAAGAAAAATCAAGAAAGACCAGTTGCCACTTGGAGATACACCTTAGTGACCATATTTATACAAATATGGAATTGAACTATGAGATTATCAGTCTATTAAGTAATATTAAGCCAGGATTTGCTCAAGTATCCCCTGATATATAACTTATTTCTATTATTTTTAACACCTTCATTTGAGGTTTTTTTTTTTTTAGATAGAGCAGCAAGTCCTGTTGGGGACTAATGGACAGCTTTACAGGAAGAAAGTTACTCTAACAAAAAAAAAAAAGGATATTAAATAGATATGGGTAAACAGTAATGCCAGAGAGTAACATGATAGAAACTTTTCTGTGTGGCTGTTTCATGGCATAACTGAACAATTCTTGGTGTCCTGGAATGCAGGTGAATGCAGTCAATTGTAACACCAGTTGGAAAATCACCTTGTTCATGAAATTTAGTTGCTACAGAGAAGATGTGCTTAAAGGGGTAAGTATGGATGAGCTGTTTTTCATTGTTATAAAATTTATTCCTTCCCATAGCTCCTGATTTTAGCTATTCGTATGATCAACAGGTAATGTTTCAAGTTGTTCTATAGGATGGTCCTACTTTAGTCCCGTTTATCCATCTTCAAAAATGATTATTTCTTTGCACACATATCCTGTGCTTTTCCATCCTCTCAGAAAAATTGCAAGTCAGAATGGCTTGGGAAGCCATAAACCAGGATGAGGCAGCTTCTAGAGCAGAGGTCTTCAAACTTGGCTTGATTTGTGGACTTCAACTCCCAGAATTCCTCAGCCAGGCACGCTGGCTGAGAGATTCTGGGAGTTGAAGTCCACAAGTCATAAAAGGGCCAAGTTTGAAGACCCCTGCTCTAGGCTTATGGGACCTCACAGTTGTGAACTCTTGCACCAAAAAGCTGATGGCACATGGACCACATTTTGATAACCCTCATTTCCTCACTCTACCCAACATAAGACTGAAGAGTGGGAAGTGTTTGTAAGGCCATTTTTTTTCATCCTTTAAGCCAGTGGTTCTCAACCTGTGGGTTGGGACCAGGTCGAACGACCATTTCATGGGGGTCGCCAAACAACGCAGTCTGCCATTTTTTCCCCCTTTTCCTTAGCTGTGCTACTCCCTTTTATTCTATTGGCTTTTGAAAGCCAATAGAATAGACTCTCTTGAATAGAGTCTAATTCTATTGGCTTTCAAAGCCAATAGGAATTGTCCAGGCTGTCTCTGCCCTGCTGAGCCCGCCAAAAGTCCCATTCTGCAAACGGTGCTGCACCAGTTGAGTAGTCCTCGACTTATGACCGATTGGGGGGTTGCGGCATTAAAAAGGTTGAGAACCACTGCTTTAAGCACTCTGTCCTGGCAAACTGGTAAAGACTGTGTCCCCCAATGTCCCTCAGTCTGATTTTCACTTTAACTCCTTCTCATGAAAAAAATATGATGGCGTTTTTGGTTTTGGGTCTTCCAGGGTCATCACCTGATGACCCCCTTCACTCTGCAGCAATTTGGCCTCTCTGTTCTAAACTCTATGGAAAACGTATAAATCGGTGTTGCTCAACCTGAAGACGGGAGACTTCAACTCCCAGAATTCCTCAGCCGGCCATGATGGAAGTTGAAGTCCAGCCATCTTCAAGTTGCCCAGATTGAGAAAAACTGATCTACAGAGTAGAGTAAATGTAACAAAACACACTCTTTCCCTATGTGTGTGTGTCTCTCTCTCATTCTCTCTCTCTTCCTCTTTCTTTCCATCTCTCCACCTATTCAGGGAGATGTTGTCAGGCTGTTCCATGCCGAACAGGAGAAGTTTCTGACCTGCGACGAATACCAGCAGAAGCAGCACATTTTCCTTCGCACAACTTTGCGGCAATCAGCCACTTCAGCAACCAGTTCTAAAGCCTTGTGGGAAATAGAGGTATTTGGGGGGAGAGACGCTCCCTAGCTGGGCTTCGTATTTCTTGTTAACAGCTTTATCCACACTGATACCCACACTTTTTGGGGGGCGGGTGTGTATGTGTCAGATGAGCTGTGGCCATCTTTGTGTTGATATTTTAAAGGACCAGGTTGGTCTGAGGTCGCTTGAATCTGGTCTTGCCTGATCTGGACCTCACGATTTCAGCCAGTGGTCTACGAGGAAATCCACCTCAGCCACGCAAACCTAAGGGCTATGTCAACACAAAGATGGCGACAGCTCATCTGACCCAAAAAAAAAAAAAAAAACACAAAACAAAACGTGAAGATGGAGGAATACAAAGACTGAAAGGTGAGCCTTGAAACGTGGATCTGTTTGGGTTTTGCAATTAGCAGTTCCTAGTTTTCCTCCTACTAATGGCTCCTGTAGTAGCTGCAATAGGAACTATCTTAACAAGAGCTTTGTCCCTGAATCTCCATTTATGAGACTTCTTGGAGAGATGTTACGTATGATGGAGGGGGGAAGCTAGTGCAATGGACTGTAGTGAAGTGGTAGTTTTTTAGGGAGGGGGGGTGAAATCAGAGGTAGCACAGACTGGGCCTGACCTTGGACCTGTCTGTCTCTTTCTCTCTCTCCCTCCCTCCCTTTCTCTTCCTCTGTCTTTCCCTCCCTCTCTTTTCCTCTCTCTCTCCCTCCTTCCCTCTCTCTTTTCGTCTACTCCCTCTCTCTCTCCCTCCATCCTTCTCTCTCCTTTCCTCTCTCTCTCTTCCTCTCCCTCCTTCCCTCTTTCTCCCTCTCCTCTCTTCCCCTTTTCCTCTCCCTCCCTCCCTCTCTCCACTTTCCTCTCCCTCCCTCTCTCTCTCCCCCTCTCCTTTCCTCTCTCCCCTTCCCTTTCTCTCTTCCTCTCTCTGCTTCCCTCTCTGTACCTCTCTTTTCCTCTCCCTCCCTCCCTCTCTCCACTTTCCTCTCCCTCCCTCTCTCTCTCCCCCTCTCCTTTCCTCTCTCCCCTCCCCTTCCCTTTCTCTCTTCCTCTCTCTCTCCTTCCCTCTCCCTCTCTTTTCCTCTCCCTCCCTCTCTCTTCCTCCCTCCCTCCTTCCCTCTCTCTCCCTCTCCTTTCTTCTTTCTCCCTCTCCCCTCCCTCTCCTTCTCTTTTCCTCTCTCTCCCTCCCTCCCTTGCTCTCTCCCCCACTCTCTCTTTCCCTCTGTCTCATCCTTGTGGATGAACCCAGCAGAATTCCAATGTTAGAGGACAACCTTTGACATATCCATGTGGGTTTCTCTGCAGGTGGTGCATCACGATCCTTGTCGCGGTGGGGCAGGACAGTGGAACAGCCTATTCAGATTTAAGCACCTGGCAACTGGCAACTATTTGGCTGCTGAAGTAAGGAATACTATCCCTAGAATACGCGAGAAAGATCAATGGTGGTGGCTTAGACAAGACAAACGTAAACGTCTTTTTCACCAGAGATTTCATGGGTGTTGGTGAGGAGGGATTGCCTTGTTGTTTGTTGTTGTTCAGTCACTAAGTCAGGGGTAGGCAAGCTTGGCTCTTTTATAACTCGTGGACTTCAACTCCCAGAATTCATGAGCTCAGGAATTCTGGGAATTGAAGTCCATAAGTCATAAAAGAGCCAAGGTTGCCTACCCCTGCACTAAGTTGTGCCCAACTCTTCATTACCCCGTGGACCACAGCATGCCAGTGTCCTCCCCTATCTCCTGGAGTTTGCCCAGATTCACGTTCATTGTGTCGATGACACTGTTTAACCATTCTCTGCCGTCCCCTTCTCCTTTTGCCTTCCGTCTTTCCCAACATCAGGGTCTTCTCCAACGAATCCTCGCTTCTCAATAGGTGGCCAAAGCCTCTGAGCTTCAACTTCTGTATCTGTTGTTGTACTGTTGCAAATTCTCCTGATCCTTTGAAAGAGCAACCAATGGTTAAAAAAGAAGAAGAACTAAATGAGACGTATTGGTGTTCACATCTAACCTTTTGTTGCATTGCTCTCCTTCAGTGTCTAACAGGAAAAACAACATCTTAATATGGGATATATAGCAATTTCTTTGAGACAAGAAAGACCCCCCCCCCCAAAAGGAAAGAGCAGTTTGTTTTTCTCTGAAGATGACAGATTATAGCATAACAGGAAAAACAAAATACAGATAATATCAGACTTTACAGGAAAAGCGGTGCATGAGGCCAGAGACAGAAGCTTGAGGGTATAAGGAGATGTTATCATAGAAAGAAAGAACGCGCACATTAAATCCAGAACCACTTTATATCATTTCATGCATTGTTGTGACCCGTAGACTATGCATTGTTAGACCCGTAGACTATGCATTTCATGCATTGTTGTGACCCGTAGAAATCAAATACAATGTGCATTTTAATCCTACGAGATTGATAAGCATTTTTCTTCTCCTTTTAACATATCCAGCTAATCGAGTCTTAGTTCTTCCAGACTTCCAGGGAAATAGACATTAAAAACCTCTCCTTTTTTTTTTTTTAATTCCACCGCTGTAATAAATTCCAGAAACCAATTCATCTGATGAATTAGTTCATCATGGCCAGACACAGAACAGCTGCGTTAGTTGACTTTAGAAGTTGCTCCAAAATATGTTTGGCGTGTTGGAATGGATTTGATTTTGCAAGAAAAAAGGAACTACTAGGGCGCTCTCCTTGTTCCTTCCGTCAAGTTCTTCTCACAACTTTATAATAATAATAATAATAGTAAAGTTGGAAGGGACCTTGGAGGTCATCTAGTTCAACCCCCTGCTCAGGCAGGAAACCCTATACCATTTTGGACAAATGGCTGTCCAGTCTCTTCTTAAAAACTTCCAGTGTTGGAGCATTCACCGCTTCTGGAGGCAGGTTGTTCCACTGGTTAATTGTTTTAACTGTCAGGAAGTTTCTCCTTAGTTCTAGGTTGCTTCTCTCCTTGATTAGTTTCCATCCGTTGCTTCTTGTCCTGCCTTCAGGCGCTTTGGAGAACAGCTTGACCCCCCTCTTCTTTGGGGCAGCCCCTGAGATATTGGAATTCTTTTTCCGCAGATTTTATTTTTCCAGCTCAGCTTTCTGGATGTGAGTTGGATGAGAAGAAAAATCGCTTACGAGAACTGAATGTGGTTGTACGCTCTTGATGTTCAAATGAGCTTATTTCCTTCTTGGAAAGCTGATTTAATAAGTAAATATTGTTGACTATTTTATCCACAAAAATGGAAGGACGCTTGGATTCCCACAAAGGATGAATGGGTGCTAAAATTGATGGAGTTATAGTGGCTGAATTGACTGTTTCTTTTGATTAAAAAAAAAAAAAAGTATAAGTACTTTTGTTTCTACTTGGAAACTGCTTCTGAAACTTTGATTTTGGGTTTTACCAGTTTGATGGCTGGTTTATACTATTATGTAAAAGTAAAAAGGTGGATGTTAATTGTTTTATTCTACTGCACCAGGGAATCGGAAGTCAATGCCTTTTCGGTTTTTTTCTTCCTTCTTTTCTACACTTCTCCTTTCCCCTTTCCCTCCCTTTTCTTCCCTACTATTTGCTTTTGTATTTTTGTGTTTTATATTATAAACTAATAAAAATGGTAACGTGGATAAAAAAAATAAGTAAATATTCTTGCCGAATGTTACAAATAGATTGATCTTTTTCCTATAAAAATTGAATGTGCCAGCCATACTGTAAAGGTCCTATTCATAATGGGAACATTTAGTTTCTTTCTTTGTGCCTCTTTGTGGCATATGATCTCAAATTCTTCTCAACCTCTAAGACAGTGTTTCTCAACCTTGACAATTTTAAGGCATGTGGACTTCAACTCCCAGAATTCCACAGCCAGCGTTGCTGGGAGTTAAAGTCCACATGCCTTAAAATTGTCAAGGTTGAGAAACACTGCTCTAAGATCTTCGATCTGGGACACCCATTCAAATTCCCAATTAACCCTGAAAAGTTTTGGGTAAATCTTGGGTCAGACATGGTGTCTCCATTTAATTTCCTTTGCAGCATTGCTAGGAGGATAAAATTGAACCTTGAAAGTAATCCTGAATTGTTTGAAAGAAGAATGGGATAAAAATGCTTACATCAACCATCATATTCATCCGGTGATCCAGTACAGATGAGTGAATCATGAATGCAATCTTTGAATCCACTTTCCATGTCTGCTCATCTGTCAGTTTATCCACAGAAGTAAGGAATATCCCAGAATGTATGAATAGGAAGGTGTCAGGTGCAAAAGGCCAAGTTCACACATGAAAGTTCAATTAAACTGAGTTGTTGCTAGAAACCTATGCCCAGGAATCTTCTCAAGTAATGGTTAGCACTTGCTTGGAGTTAGATAAGAGTCAACGGCATTCAAGGAGAGTTGGATTTAACTTGCTTGTGGCTATGTAGGGATTCTAGGCTGATCCCTCTTTTAACTCCGCCCGTCTCTGCCACTTCTTCCCCTACAGAATAGGTTCTTCATAGACCATCTTGCTCAACTTGTTTAATTCAGGAATCTAATAAACTACCTGGTCATCTAATCCCTGTTTGGGAGCCTTCAATTAGAAAGACTCCATTGCAATTGTAAACAGACGGTTTCAGTGCTTATTGCCAGGAAATCCCTCCTAATTTTCAGCATGAATGTCCTTCCTTTGCATTTCAAAATGTTGGTCTTATCAACCTTAAAAGCTTATCTGGTCAGACCAAATGTTTGTTGGTGAGGTTGAGGAAATTTGTGGGAAGAACACTACCGCCGCTAAATTTTCCCTTTGCTCATCTTTTTCGTAGCGATGTCCAGCATTTTCTTATTGCTGGAAAGAATGAAATCACGATACACCTAAATCAGACATATCAAACACAAGGCCTGGGGGCCGGATGCCGCTCGCGAAGTGGTTTCATGCGGCCCGTGAAGCCATCTTGGAAACAGTGAGGGAACGGCCCCCGCTGCCTTGGCCCTGGCCCAGGCCAGCCGGGAGCCAGTGTACAATTTTGTGGTGGCCATCTATGCTGAAACGCATTCAGTCTTAGCTCCACAAGGCTGTCTGAAAACAGCGAGGAATCAGCCCCTGCCGTGTCAGCCCCGCCCCCTGGGTGCATGCTGGGGAGGTGTCACCCTTTGTGAGGAATGAAGAAATGCACCCTGCCTTGGCGCTTGCCCCGGTCCCACCCCCTTCTGCCAGAGACCCTCAGATCTGTCCCACTCCTGCCCAGGCCCCCACAGGCACTCTTGATGCGAAAAATGTAGAGCTGGCCATGCCCACACAGTAGGCCATACCCACTCCATCCACGCCCACCAGTAGGCCACACCCACCAGCCCCACCCGAGGGCAACCGCAATGCTGATGTGGCCCTCAATGAAATTGAGTTTGACACCCTTGACATAATAATAATAGTAAAGTTGGAAGGGACCTTGGAGGTCATCTAGTCCAACCCCCTGCTCAGGCAGGAAACCCTATACCATTTTGGACAAATGGCTGTCCAGTCTCTTCTTAAAAACTTCCAGTGTTGGAGCATTCACAGCTTCTGGAGACAGGTTGTTCCACTGGTTAATTGTTCTCACTGTAAGAAAGTTTCTCCTTAGTTCTAGGTTGTTTCTCTCCTTGATTAGTTTCCATCCTTGCTTCTTGTCCTGCCTTCAGGTGCTTTGGAGAATAGCTTGACTCCCTCTTCTTTGGGGCAGCCCCTGAGATACTGGAACACTGCTATCATGTACCCCCTCGCCCTTCTCTTCATTAAACTAGACCTACCCAATTCCAGCAACCATTCCTTATATGTTTTAGCTTCCAGTCCCCTGATCATCTTTGTTGTTTAAGAGACTGCAAACTGCCCTTGAAGTTTGTTGACTCTTATCCGGCATCTTGAATGTCAATTCTTCAGATTCTTGGATATTGGTAGCATGAAATAAACTTGTAGTACTTTTGAACTCCTGACTTTTTGCACCGTACATAAATTAAGCCAGATGGAGAGGCAGGGAGAGAAGGACGCATGGAATAGGAATACAGGTAGTCCTTGACTTTTGACCACAATGGACCCCGAAATTTCTGTTGTTAAGTGAGACAACATTTTTAAGTGAGTTTTGCCCCATTTTACGACCGTCCTTGCCACAGTTGTTAAGTAACAACTGCAATTGTTAAGGGGTAACATGATTGTTAAGTGGATCCCCATTGATCATGGGGAGGCTGCAAAGGTCGCAACTGTGAAAAATAAGATAAGATAGATAAGTTAACCTTTATTGTCATTTTTTTTTACGATGGGCACAACGCCACACATCAAAAATGAAATTTAGTTGCCCGCTCTCAAAGTGAACACATTCATGACACACACCTCAACATACATACTATATACATACTATATACAACATATGTATAGACCAGGGGTAGGCAACCTTGGCTCTTTTATGACTCGTGGACCAACTCCCAGAATTCCTGAGCCAGCATGGCTCAGCACGGAAACCTCTCCCTTTCCCCTCAGCATGGCTGGCTGAGGAATTCTGGGAGTTGAAGTCCACGAGTCATAAAAGAGCCAAGGTTGCCTATCCCTGGCCTAGGCCTAGGCCACTTTCTGACTCGTGGACTTCAACTCCCAGAACTCCTGAGCCAGCATGGCTCAGCTTGGAAACCTCTCCTTTTCCCCTCAGCATGGCTGGCTCAGGAATTCTGGGAGTTGAAGTCCACGAGTCATAAAAGAGCCCAGGTTGCCTACCCCTGGTATAGACCTACACATCTACATATACATAAATTGGTCATCATTCACTTTTTTCAGTGTCATTGTGACTTTGAATGGTCACTAAATGGACTGTTGTAAGTTGAAGGCTTACCTGTATTCTTTATTTGGCCAAGTGTGATTGGACAACCAAGAAATTTGCCTCCAGTGCAGAAACTCTCCATGTACATACAAACCACAAAGTGGTAAGTCATAGATCATAAATTGTAAGGCACAATCGTAAATCATAAGATACAAACAACAAGTGATAAATCACAAGATACCAATAGGGGAAGGTAGTGGGAAAGGTGAGAAGGTGAGAAAGAAGAGAAAGAGGAAACGAGGAGACGAATAATAGCAATGCAGCCTACTACATGAGTACATCTACATCTTTAGGCCTAAGATGGTGCTATGGGAATTGCAGTAGTGGCCAAAATTGTGGAAACCTTTTGGGAAAAGTGTATTTTTGAGGTTTGATGTTCTTTCATTTAGTGCAGTGGTGGCGAACTATGGCACACATGCCAGAGGTGGCACTCAGAGCCCTCTCTGTTGGCCGTGTAACACCGCCACCAGCAGCAGGTCCATCAGGCCGCTACCGCGGCCTGGAGCAGGAGCCTCACCTAGCACAAAGGAGGCAAAGGGCCAACTAGCAAGCTTGAGCAGAGGTGGTAGAGCAGAGGTCACCAACCATTGTTGATTGGTGGACAATGTGGAAGAAAAGGGAGGGGGAAGCATTTTACATGTGTGCATGCACGCACGGGGCCGCGAGCACGCATGCGCTGCAAATGGGATGGGGCTAGTGCCTACATGATACTCACTAGCCCTGCACCCTATGGTGTGGCGGCAGCTGTTTTTGCGCCTTGCAGCACGGTTGCCCATTTTTGCGCCCCCGGGTTTTTTGTGCCAGAGGCAGCACTCAGAGGCTCCTCCCTGCCCCCCCCCCAAGGGCACCACAATGCTGATGTGGCCCTGGCACTTTGCAATAAATAAGTGGGTTTTGGGTTGCGGTTTGGGCACTCGGTCTCTAGTGCCATCACTGATCTAGTGAGCTTGTAAAACGTCATAAAATTAAAGTCATGGTGCAAAGAGTTGACTGGTCGCCCAGAAAGCGATGTAAAATAGTATTATGAAGTGAACAAGGCTACAGTGATAAAGAAATTAGAAGAAAATGGGTGGAAACTTAATCAAAGATGGCATTTCTATTGTGCAGTTTTCCCAAAAGGTTTCCACAATTAGGTGTTTAGCAGAGTGATGGCACGGGGAAAAAACGCTTTCATTGTGTCTAGTTGTTTTGGCACAGAGAGGAGATGGGGTGTTGTCTACTCCATTAGCCGCCCCCAAAGTACTACCTTCCCCATTGGGATATTCCAAAATCTGGAATGCAAAATGCAGGTAGCTTCTATGCAGCCACCTGGGCCTTAAATAAATCATTTGCAAACGGGACTGTTTTCCTTTGGATCTGCAGATTTTCACATGAAAGAGTAGATTAGGGCAGGGATTATCAACAGCGTCACACACCGCCATTGTTTGCTTTTGTTCTGATTAAAGGCACTCACACAGAACGAACCAGGGGAAAAAAAACTTGACTTTCTACCTGTAATTTGTTGCTGCCCTGTCATGTTTGGGGAATTTTTATGGAGGGACAATTTGGAGTCTGGAGATTAAGTTGAGGAAATGTCTTCTTTGACGTGCCCCACTTTTTTTTTTGACGTAGGATCATAGCTCCTCTCTCTTTCAGTAAGCCCTTGATGTAGATTGTAGAGGCAGCAAAGTGTTTTGTTTGCTGGGTTACACAATTTTCCATGCCAAGAACAACAGTCTGCTTTCGGCTTTGAACATGTCATCTAATTAAGCCTTCCTGACTAAGGAAATGTCAAAATTGTGTCCTATCTCTGAGTGGGTTACGTAAACCATTAATCTTCAGGACTTTTTTTTTTTTTTTTTGCAAGAGAAGAAGGGTGGAAGCAACGGAGAAGGGTGAGAAAGGTTGGTGAGGAACAGAGAAGAATGCTGACAGCTTTCTCTAAAATAGTAAAGAGAGTCTTGGGTTCAGACTTTGGAAAAAAATGGACAATCGCTAAATGATACCTTATGCATTGCTGAGGTCCTTCCAAGCTGTTCATTTGGCCACAGGGATTCTTTCTTGGGTGGATTGTGTGTTTTGCCTCATGCCATCATTCTGCTGAATACTTAATTTCCATAGTTCTCTTCTTATGTTTCAGTATGGGTAATAATCATACTTGGCCAATATTCCTATTCTGTTCTGTTCTTTTCTGTTCTGTTCCAGTTCTAATTCCATTCCATTCCATTCTATTCCATTTATTCTTTCTTATTCTTATTTCTATTCTATTCTATTCTATTCTATTCTATTCTATTCTATTCTATTTATTCTTTCCTATTCTTATTTCTATTCTATTCTATTCTATTCTATTCTATTCTATTCTATTCTATTCTATTCTATTCTATTCTATTCTATTCTATTCTTATTTCTATTCTATTCTATTCTATTCTGTTCTATTCTATTCTATTCTATTTATTCTATTCTATTTATTCTTTCCTATTCTTATTTCTATTCTATTCTATTCTATTCTATTTATTCTTTCCTATTCTTATTTCTATTCTATTCTATTCTATTCTATTCTATTCTATTCTATTCTATTCTATTTATTCTTTCCTATTCTTATTTCTATTCTATTCTATTTATTCTTTCCTATTCTTATTTCTATTCTATTCTATTCTATTCTATTCTATTCTATTCTATTCTATTCTATTCTATTCTATTCTATTCCATTCCATTCCATTCCATTCTTATTCTTCTATTCTTAATTCTATTCTATTCCATTCCATTCCATTCCATTCCATTCCATTCTGGAAGCATTTGCAAATAGGTATGATTCCAAACAGCATATTGATCCCAGTGTCCTTGGTATACAAAAGTATTTGTGCTCTGTTATTTTATGTGGGAAAAACTCCAGCCTGTTAAGTGAGCCTTGAAGTAAGGCAGCACTTAAACGTTGCAACGGCTGTGGAGAAAAAACACATTTTTTCGCTGGAATGTTGGAAACCATCGAGGGCCGTAGGTAATAAAACCATCAGATACGATACAACTTTGAAGCTGCCAAAACTAATGTGAAGCAGACAATTTCCCACACAAAATGTTGAGTCTGGAAAACGCTCCAGGTTCCCTTTCCGCCTCTTGGTTAGATTCCATCTTTGAAGAACGCAGCAAGGTGATCTCTGAATGGGCGTCCATTTCACCAGCTTTCAGAACTGTTGGAAAGTATGACAGCTCATGGTAGCATCCCTCCCCTGGTCATGCGATCAAAATTCAGACGCTTGGCAATTGACTCATATTTACGACGGTCACAGTGTCCCCTTTTGCGACCTTCTGACAAGCCAAGTCAATGGGGGAGCCAGATTCACTTAACAACCGGGTTACGAACTTCACAACTGCAGTGATTCATTTAGCCACCGTGGCAAGAAAGGTCGTAAAATGGGGCAAAACTCACTTAACAAATGTCTCACTTAGCAACAGAGGTTTTGGGCTCCATTGTGGTCGTAAGCCGAGGACTATCTGTGCTCAGGACATCCCTAAAGATGCATTTCTTTTGACAAGTTTTTAACTCCAAAGGGAGCTGAATATTAATTTTACACTTGGAACGTTTGACCTCGCTTTTTTTTTTAATAAGTTTTATTAGTTGCCTTGTGTGTCCTTTCTGAGCAGAAAAGCAGACTGTACATTGAATCAGTAGGTAAATAAAATAATCACAAACCCCATTTAGGCAGGCTTCTATTGTCCCCTGCCCTTGCCAAAAACCCAGGGCCCAAGGTAGCCTTGCAGCTGTAGGATTCCCATGACAAAAAGTTTATCTCAATTTTTTTATTTATCCTTAGGATAAAGATCTGCCCGAAATGAATGGCGATTTTATTGACTGTACTCAGTTGAAGGATATTCTTATTTGCTTTTCTGGAAACACAGCATCACTAGCCTGATTAGGGGTATTTTTTTTAAAAAAAAACATGTTTTATTCGATAAAATGAAGACCTTAGGAGCCAAGGTTATATGTGAGGGGTTTTTTTTTTCTTTTTTGTTCTGAAGCAAGTCTCTCTCTCTCTCTCTCTCTCTCTCTCTCTCTTTCTCTCTCTCTCACTCTCTCTCTCTCTCTCACACACACACACACACAGAGAAACAAAATTAAATTGAATAAATGAAAATTATGCCACCAGGTGGCAGTGTATACTCATTGCATAATTTATCTGGCACAATGTCTATTTATCTTTATAGGTGGCTGAGAATGAAAGAGAGAAGAAGAGACAAAATGTATGATTAAAAGAAATAATCAGAGTCTAATTTCATTCTAATTTTTATTGGAAGTGGCTTTTCAGTTTAATCTGGCATTAAAAATATGCACAAAACAAAATCCCTTCCTTCCTTCCTTCCTTCCTTCCTTCCTTCCTTCCTTCCTTCCTTCCTTCCTCTCACGTTTCCTTCCTCCCTCCCTTTCTCTCTCTCCCTTCCTCCCTCCCTTCCCTCCTTCCATCCATCCATCCATCCATCCATCCATCCCTCCATCCCTCCATCCATCCATCCATCCATAGTTCCGTATGAAAGTCCACTCACATCGCAGGATTATTGTGGGAAAATACAAGACAAGATCCTTATGTTTGGTGCCTCAAGTTGTACGAAATGAGGGGAGGATATAAATATATCTGCCTGAAATTGATGGCAGTGGTGTGGTGTGAACATTTAATTAATTAACAGAGAAAGGCCTAATCATGATTCTTAAAAATGCCCGAATGCAGCTCTTGTGATACAAGTGGAAGCCGAAGAACTTGATAAGGAAGAACCTCAGGTGTAACGTAGGAACGGGCTGGAGAGGCATGCACGGGAACACACTTTGATGACCATCCTAAACTGACTTAAGCACCTTTGCATCAAAATGCTGAAGACACCCCAGAACTCATGAATAGACGGAAGCAGAGAGTAGAGGTGCTTCACAAAGCATGTTAGTGGGAGTGAAAGACCCTTTCTTGAAGCACTAAAGCAGTTGCATCTTGGGGGAAGCTCCACACGGCTCCTTGAAGACTTTTTGCTTTCTTTGTCCATTGCATAACCTCTGAGAGGAAGCATTTTTGAAGTCCTTGTAGAGGATGCTGCTACCTTGACACCTTCAAAAGGAGCGCTTTGCTTCTTTTGAAAGCTTATCACCATGCCATGGATTAGAAGCATAGGGTACCTTATTACCTGTTGGTCCCCAACCTTCAGGTGTAACCTTTTTGTAGGTTGAAAGTAGAAAAAAAACTGGGACAGTTTCTACCGATAGAGAATGTTTATACTCATAGTTGAATTGTGGGGTCCTTGGTGCTCTCCGAACTGGGTGATTTTCTTGCAGACATTTCATGACCCAACTAGGTAACATCATCAGTGCTAGAAGGGAGTGTGGGGTTTGCTGTCATTTTATATGCTAGTGGCTTGCCCTGTCAGTGTTGGTGGGAATGCGGTTTTCTTCTTGATCAGGGGTAGGCAACCTTGGCTCTTTTATGACTCGTGGACTTCAACTCCCAGAATTCCTGAGCCAGCATGGCTCAGCTTGGAAACCTCTCCCTTTCCCCTCAGCATGGCTGGCTCAGGAATTCTGGGAGTTGAAGTCCACGAGTCATAAAAGAGCCAAGGTTGCCTACCTCTGGCCTAGGCCTAAGCCGCTTTATGACTCGTGGACTTCAACTCCCAGAACTCCTGAGTCAACATGGGGGAAACTTTGGCCCCTTCATGACTTGTGGACTTCAACTCCCAGAATTCCTAAGCCAGCATGGCTCAGCTTGGAAACCTCTCCCTTTTCCCTCAGCGTGGCTGGCTCAGGGATTCTGGGGGTTGAAGTCCACGAGTCATAAAAGAGCCAAGGTTGCCTACCCCTGGTCTTGATGGTTCTTTGATTGGCTTATTATTTACTGTTAGCTTGTTTGTCTGAGTTGGTCGTTCCTTTGGGAAGTTTAACTTTCTGATTGTCTCTTTTGAAGGGTATGTAGATGTTGTTTATCTCTACGTGCCCACTGATGGATGATTTGTTTGAGTGCCAGACTTCAAAGAATTTTCTAGCATTTTTTGGTTTAGCTTGGATAAGGAAACACTGAGAACACTCTTAACCAATACTGACAAGGCAAGACACCAGTATATAAAAAGAGAGCAACCCCCCTCCCTTCTAGCACGGATGCCATTACCTAGTTGGGTAACGAAACGTCTGCAAGAAAACCACCCAACTTAGAGAGCACCAAGGACCCCACAAACCTGCTTGTAGTTGGGCACATTTCTCTGCCTTTTTGCATTCGAATCTACAAACTCATTTGAATACCAGCTGTTAAAAACCCTTTCTATAAACGCTAATAAAAGTATTCTTTTCCAGCTTAATCCTCACTACCCAGATGGCTGCAATGGGGAGAAGATCCTGGTAAGTCCCAACTCCTTTAAATAAAATGTGGTGAAATATTTCCCTCTACAAAAAACTCTGATATTTGAACATTGAAAACAAATGGCACTTCTTTCCTGTTCAACATTTTTTTTTTTTTTTTTGTGCCACAAAGCTAGATGCTTATTTAAGCTATCCAACTCGGATCTGTTTCAGCATTTTGGGAGAGCAGCAGGTACGAAAGCTTAGGTTTGAATTTGTATCAGGGCAACATCCTCAAGCGTTACACGGCATCTCGGCCACACACTCTCAGGCATGCATCTTCCGAGCATCTTTCAGAAAGAGCTTGGTGGACAAAAGGACTTCCTTAACTAACAATTCACTTTGTACCGGTAGAAGAGAATATTTGTAGCCTGGAGTCGAATTGTGGGGTCCTTGGTGCTTTCTGAGCTTGGCAGTTTTCTTGCACACATTTCATGACCCAACTGGGTAACATCATCAGTGCTAGAAGGGAGTGGGGTTGGTGGAGAGGAGGAGGAGGAGGAAGAAGGAGGACATTTCATGACCCAACTGGGTAATATCATCAGTGCTAGGAGGGAGTGGGGTTGGTGGAGAGGAGGAGGAGGAGGAGGAGGAGGAGGAGGAGGAGGAGGAGGAGGAGGAGGAGGAGGAGGAAGGACTGTGGGGTCCTTGGTACTTTCTGAGCTTGGTAGGTTTTTTTGCAGACATTTCATGACCCAACTAGGGAACATCATCAGTGCTAGAAGGGAATAGGAGGAGGAGGAGCAGGAGGAGGAGGAGAAAGAGGAGGAGGAGGAAGGACTGTAGGGTCCTTGGTGCTTTCTGAGCTTGGTAGTTTTCTTGCACACATTTCATGACCCAACTGGGTAACATCATCAGTGCTAGAAGGGAGTGGGGTTGGTAGAGAGGAGGAGGAGGAGGAAGGACATTTCATGACCCAACTAGGAAACATCATCAGTGCTAGAAGGGAGAGAGGCTAGCAGGGAGGAGGAGGAGGAGGATGACAATTGTGGGGTCCTTGGTGCTCTCTGAACCTGGTTGTTTTCTTGCAGACGTTTCATTACCCAGCTAGGTAAGATCATCGGTGCTGAAAGGGAGTGGAGTTTACTCTCTGTTTATATCCTGATGGCCTGCCCTACCAATGTTGATGGGGGTCTCCTTGAGCATTCTTTGACTAAGCTAGCGCTTACTTTTGGATTATTTGTCTGAGTTGGTCGTTCCTTGACTGGAGTACTGTTTATTGCATGAAAACTGCAAGAAAGCAACCAGGCTCAGAGAGCACCATGGATTTCAATTTGCGTCATCTTAAGGGGTGTAGAGGTGTTTTGTTTTCTTTCTTTTTACCTTTTAACTGAAATTCAGCAGGAACTGGCTTGGTTACAGAATGCAAGAAGCAGAGATGAATAAGAAAACATCCCCGGTGTTTTTGGTTTTTGGCACGTGCCCGTGAAGGCATATGAATCATGTTGAGCAGGCATAAAATCAACTCATGTGCCATCTGGACACTTGAGAGATTTATTCCAATTGTTCCTTATTTGGTGATTTCTACCCAGGTCGGGATCGATCCGGAAGCATCCAAATAGTTCCTTGCAAAATGTTCTTTTCCTCCCTTGTCCTCCTCTCCAACCTCTTTCCAATGTGCCCTTTCCGCTCAATGACTCACCAAAAATATGATGACTCACAAATGAGTCAGCATTTGGAAGGTCTTGCAAAAGAGCCTAGCAGAGCTCAAGTTACGTTCAGGAGCAAGGCGGGCCCTTAATTTCTGCAACGGGGAAAGAGATCGGAGCGCGAGAGAGCAGGCATGACAGCTACTTCTCGACTTAACAGCAGTTCATTTAGTGACCACTCAAAGTTACAACGGCCCTGAAAAGGGGGACTTATGACCCTTTTTCACACTTACGACCGTTGCAGCATCCCTGGCGGTCACGTGATCAAAATTCAGACTCTTGGCCACCGATTCGTATTTATGATGGCGGCATCATCCCAGGGTCACGTGATCCCCTTTTGTGACTTTCCGACAATCAAACTCGATGGGGGAAGCCTGATTCACTTCACAACCGTTGTTACTAACACAACGTCTGCAGGGATTCACTTAACCAATGTGGCAAGGAAGGTCGTAAAATGGGGCAAAATTCGCTTAGCAAATGTCTCGCTCAGCAACAGAAAGTTTGGGCTCAATTCGAGGACTATCTGTATTCTAAATCTGCTGGCCCCCAGAGGCGCCTGATCACATTATACAGCTTTCAGGTTGCGAAGCAAACTGGAGAATTCTGGGAGTTGAAGTCCACACTTTTTTTTTTAGATTGCCAAGGTTGAGAAACCTTGAAGTAAAGCAATATGCTTCTGCAGCAGATGCCAAAAGGAAAGTAAATTTCCCACTGTTAAATCCTATTGGAAATGGTATATACCAGGGCTAGGCAACTTTGGCCCTTTCATGACTCGTGGACTTCAACTCCCAGAATTCCTGAGCCAGCCATGCTGAGGGGAAACGGAGAGGTTTCCAAGCTGAGCCATGCTGGCTCAGGAATTCTGGGAGTTGAAGTCCACGAGTCATAAAAGAGCAGAGGTTGCGTACCCCTGGTATATACCGTGTTTCCTTGAAAATAAGACTGGGTCTTATTTTTTTTTTCGCCTCCAAAAGAGGCAGCAGGTCTAATTTACTTTCGGGGAAACATGGTAGGGAGTCCTCAATGTATAACAGTTCATTTAGTGACCATTCAAAGTTACAATGGCCTTGAAAAAATGGGACTTACAACCATTTCCCCCACTTTGCTGCATCCCCATGATCACGTGATCGAAATTCAGACTTTTGGCAACTGACTCATGGTTATGAGCATGGTTGGCTCAGGAATTCTGGGAGTTGAAGTCCACGAGTCATAAAAGAGCCAAGACTGCCTACCCCTGTCCTAGACAAATGAAGTGATTCCCTGTTCCATCTCTGCAGAAGGAGAACGAGCTTCTAACCTCAAAGAAGAAACGGCAAGCGGGAGAGAAGATTATGTACACTCTGGTGTCTGTCCCTCATGGAAATGACATTGCCTCTCTATTTGAACTGGATGCGACCACTTTGCAAAGGGCGGACTGCCTGGTTCCAAGGTACTGTTGGGAGACGGAAATAAAATGTGGTGTGGGTGTGTTTCCATCTCTCTACCTGTCTGCCTCAGGTTCTTCCAAACAGAATTCTATCTGAAAGTCAAGAAGTCAACTTGGGCTGGACTCAAGGTTTTGGCTTATTCCTAGATGCATCTTTAGTATTGTAGGCTGGAGGGGTGCAACTGTTCTGTAAGATACCTACACCTTTTCTCCTGGGTGGATCTAGTTAGTGTTCATACGGAAGATCCCCAAGAAGTCCTCAAAGGATAGGCTGGGACGGAAAGTCAAAAAGCCATTCCAGAAGAAGGCAACCAAGCCATTGTAATGGTCAAGAAAAATCTATGGATATGTCTAATAGGTCACCAGGAGCTGACCTCAATTAGAAGATTATTTTAGCTAGATCCAGATTTCTTTGGAGAGAGTGGAGAATGTATGATCTGCTCCGAGGTTTAAAGTTCATTCCCTGGTCTCCCTGGTTTTTATTTATTTAGGAATTCATATGTACGGCTGAGGCATCTTTGCACCAACACTTGGGTGACCAGCACTAGTATTCCAATTGACAAAGATGAAGAAAGGCCTGTAATGTTAAAGGTAAAGAGGAAGTTTGTTAAATCGGACTTTGTCTACATAAAGGACTTTTTCAATCCTCTGAGGGAGAAGGGTGGATAAGAAGTAAAAAGATAGATAGATAGATAGATAGATAGATAGATAGATAGATAGATAGATAGATAGATGATGGATGGATGGATGGATGGATGGATGGATGGATGATTGACAGGGTATAGATCTATAGATGATAGATTATTGATAGATATAAATATATAGGTAGATTATTGATAGATTACAGATAGATGATAAATAAATGATAGATGATAGATAAAGATAATGATGGATAGATGGATGGATAGACAGACAGACATAGATAGATAAATAGATAGATTGATAGATTGATTGATAGTTATAGATCTATAGATGATAGATTATTGATAGATTACATATACAAGATAAATAGATGATAGATGATAGATATAGATGATAGATGATGGAGAGATAGATTGATGATGGGTGGATAGATAGATAGATAGATAGACAGACAGATAGATAGATAGATAGACAGACGATTGATAGTAGATGATATAGATGATTGATAGATGATAAATAGATAATAGATTACAGATATATTGATGATAGATTATAGATAATGATAGATACAGATAGATAGATGATGGATGGTAAAAGACAAATTGATAGATAGGTTGATTTATGGGATTGATTAATTGCTTTTTCCTCCCAATCTCCAGATTGGAACCTGCCAAACAAAGGAAGACAAAGAAGCCTTTGCCATCGTGTCTGTTCCTCTGTCGGAGGTCAGAGACTTGGACTTTGCAAATGATGCCAACAAGGTTTTAGCCTCGATGGTCAAAAATCTGGAGAACGGCTCGGTAACTCAAAATGAAAGGAGGCGAGTGGTCTTTCTTGCCTTTTCTGTTCAGTGTTTCCTGATGGAATGTACTGTGATTATAAGGAAATAATTGCATTATTATGTGTGTGTGTGTGTGTGTGTGTGTGTTTTAGAATAACAGCTCTGTATAACCACACTAGCTGGCAACATCTGGCTAGTTTTAACCTGGGTTAGGAAGCTAAATGTGGATTGGAGAGGGGCTGGAGATGAAAAAGACTTCAGATTTTGCGTCCAGATGTTTTGTAATGATCAGCTGTGTTGAGATCTGTCGTCATTTGAAGGCGTGGAATTTAGGGGAGGTTGAACTGACGTGGAAATGAACCTTCTTTATTGTTGGTCAAGGTCCTGTCCTTGTTTCAAACGTATCTTAGGTTTGTCACTAAGCTCTTGGAAGATCTCATTTTCTTTGTGGCGGAGGTGCAGAACAACGGCCAAGAGGTTTTGGACGTGGTGGTGATTAAACCCAATCGAGAGAGGCAGAAATTAATGAGGGAACAGAATATATTGGAACAGGTAGGTGGCTGACAAATGCAGTCTCTAAAACAGCGGTTCTCAACCTATGGGTCGCGACCCCATTTGGGGTCGATCGACCTCTTTTCGGGGGTCGCCAAAGGTGGCGATCCGCCATTTTGTCCCCTCCGGGGGCGCGCTGCGCCTCCGGGGGGGCGGTGCCGCGCACGCGCGCTGCGCGTGGGGGTGGCGGCGTGCCTCCGGGGGGCGCCGCCGCGCATGCGTGCCGCGCATGGGGGCGGCGGCGCGCCTCTGGGGGCGCCGCTGCGCATGCGCGCCGCGTGCGCGGGGCCCCGCCCCCATGCGCGCCGCACGCGGGGGGGCGCCCCCATGCGCGCCGCGCGCGGGGCCCCGCCCCCATGCGCGCCACCGCCGCGCATGCGCATAACCTTTGTGTGACGGGGGTCGCCGTCACACAAAGGTTAAGAACCGCTGCTCTAGACTGGAGAAATGTGTTTTGAGGAAATTGAACTACGGCATGATGTTTTTACCAGAAACCATCATTTACTTCCAATTTCCAGCAAAACCCACCCAATATTCACTTTAACAACCTCTATACATGCTTAACATCCGCCGCAAAAGAAGGTCATAAAATCAGGTTTGTGGGACCTGCTTTATGACCCTCATGACAGCAGTTACAGACTCACTTATGGTTATAACCTGAGGGCAGTTTGTTCGTAGTGGTGGTAAAGAGCTGCCTTTGGTTAGAAATGCTTACCAGAAGATCTTTTCTCTGCTTTCATCAGTAGCCTAATTTGTTGTGTATTTTGTCTATCTGTCACTGTGTTTGGAAACAGATTTTTGGAATATTGAAAACCCCGTTTAAAGAGAAAGCTGGCGAGGGAGCCATGTTGAGATTGGAAGACTTGGGAGACCAGAGATACGCCCCATACAAATACATGCTTAGACTTTGCTACAGAATCCTTCGTCATTCTCAACAGGACTACAGAAAAAACCAGGTGGGTCTTTTCCTACCAACAGAAGAGAAGATTCGTAGCTCAGGGTTGAAATGTGGGGTCCCTGGTGCTCTCTGAGCTTGGTTGTTTTCTTGCGGACGTTTCATTACCCAACTAGGTCACATCATCAGTGCTAGAAGGGAGTAGGGCTTATGGAGAGGAGGAGGAGGAGGAGCAGGAGGAGGAGGAGCAGGAGGAGGAGGAAGAGAGGAAAGAGGAGGAGGAGGACAATGACCGTGGGATCCTTGGTGTTCTCTGAGTTTGGTAGGTTTCTTGCAGACGCTTCATTACCCCAACTTGGTAGCATCATCAGTGCTAGAAGGGAGTAGGGCTTATGAAGAGGAGGAGAAGAGGGGGAAGAGAAGGAGGAGGAGGAGGAGGAGGAGGAGGAGGAGGAGGAGAGGGAGGAGGAGGACGACGACTGTGGGATCCTTGGTGTTCTCTGAATTTGGTGGGTTTCTTGCAGACCTTTCATTACCCCAACTTGGTAGCATCATCAGTGCTAGAAGGGAGTAGGGCTTATGAAGAGGAGGAGGAGGAGGAGGAGGAGGAGGAGGAGGAGGAGGAGGAGGAGGAGGAGGAGGAGGAGGAGGAGGAGGACAATGACTGTGGGATCCTTGGTGTTCTCTGAGCTTGGTGGGTTTCTTGCAGACCTTTCATTACCCCAACTTGGTAGCATCATCAGTGCTAGAAGGGAGTAGGGCTTATGAAGAGGAGGAGAAGAGGGGGAAGAGGAGGAGGAGGAGGAGGAGGAGGAGAGGGAGGAGGAGGAGAGGGAGGAGGAGGACAATGACTGTGGGATCCTTGGTGTTCTCTGAGCTTGGTGGGTTTCTTGCAGACCTTTCATTACCCCAACTTGGTAGCATCATCAGTGCTAGAAGGGTGTAGGGCTTACGGAGAGGAGGAGAAGAAGAGGAAAAGGAGGAGGAGGAGGAGGAGGATGACAACTGTGGGATCCTTGATGTTCTCTGAGCTTGGTGGGTTTCTTGCAGATGTTTCATTACCCCAACATGGTAGCATCACCAGTGCTAGACGGGAGTGGGGTTTGCAGGGAAAAGAAGGAGGACCGTGGGATCCTTGGTGTTCTCTGAACTTGGTGGGTTTCTTGCAGATATTTCACGGCCCAACTAGGTAAGAACATCAGAAGGGGTTGGGGTGTGCAGAGAGGAGGAAGAAGAGGAGGAGGATTGTGGAATCTTTGGTGCTCTCTGAGTTTGTTGGCTTTCTTGCAGACATTCCATGACCCAACTAGGTAACTTCATCGGTGCTAGAAGGGAGTGTATGGTTTGCTCCCTTCTGATGTATAGTTGTTTGCCCTAGGGCAGGGGCAGGCAACCTTGGCTCTTTTATGACTCATGGACTTCAACTCCCAGAATTCCTGAGCCAGCCACGCTGAGGAGAAATGGAGAGGTTTCCAAGCTGAGCCATGCTGGCTCAGGAATTCTGGGAGTTGAAATCCACAAGTCATAAAAGAGCCAAGGTTGCTTATCCCTGGCCTAGAGAGTGTTGGTGGGCGACTGGTTTCCTGCTTGGTAGTTGTTTGAATAGGATATTGATTTCTGCTTGATTGTTTGTCTGGTGTTAATCCATGCTTCTCTGGGTTTCTCTTTCTGCCAACTCCTTGGTGCTGAGCTTGGTTAACACCAAGGAGGGGAAATAATGTGCAATAAATATGGAACGTGGAGAAGCTGTATGGAGTGTTCCTGCTTTCAAACTATGTAGCAGGTTGTTCTGGGATTTTCTTCCAGGAATACATTGCTACCAATTTCTGCATCATGCAGTCTCAAATTGGCTATGATATCTTGGCAGAAGACACGATCACAGCTTTGTTGCACAACAACAGGAAGCTGCTGGAGAAACATATCACAGCTAAAGAAATCGAGACATTTGTGAGTTTACTCAGGAGGAACCGAGAGCCAAGGTTTGAAGCCCCTTGCAGAATTCATGTCATTGGTTAACTTTTTATTTGTGAATATTTACTATAAAATGGTGGTAATGATTTTATAAAACCAGCATATCTCTCTGTGTCTCTCTGTATCTCTCTCATCTATCTATCTATCTATCTATCTATCTATCTATCTATCTATCTATCTATCTATCTATCTATCTATCATCTATCATCTATCTATTATATCATTTCTATTGCTATCTATATTTTTCTCCATCTCTCCCTCTTTCTCTCTCATCTATCTATCTATCTATCTATCTATCTATCTATCTATCTATCTATCTATCTATCTATCTATCTCTGTCTATCTGGCTATCTAGCTATTTATCTTATCATCTATATCTATTTCTATTGCTATCTATATCTATCTATTTCTCCATCTCTCCCTCTTTCTCTCCCTTTTCATCAATATCTATCTATCTATCTATCTATCTATCTATCTATCTATCTATCTCTCTATCTATCTATCTCTATCATATCATCTATATCTATTGCTATCTATATCTATCTATTTCTCCTTCTCCCTCTTTCTCTCTCTCATCAATATCTGCCTGCCTGCCTGCCTGCCTGCCTGCCTGCCTGCCTGCCTGCCTGCCTATCTATCTATCTATCTATCTATCTATCTATCTATCTATCTATCTATCTATCTATCTATCTATCTATCTATCATCTATCTATCTATCTATCTATCATATCTATATCTATTTCTATTGCTATCTATATCTATTTCTCCATCTCTCCCTCTTTGTCTCTCCCTCTTTCTCTCCTCAATATCTATCTATTTCTCTATCTATCTATCTCTATCATATCATCTATATTGCTATCTATATCTATCTATTTCTTCTTCTCCCTCTTTCTCTCATCAATATCTGCCTGCCTGCCTGCCTGCCTGCCTGCCTGCCTGCCTATCTATCTATCTATCTATCTATCTATCTATCTATCTATCTATCTATCTACCTACCTACCTACCTACCTACCTATCTATCTATCATATCTATTTCTATTTCTATTGCTATCTATATCTATTTCTCCATCTCTCCCTCTTTGTCTCTCCCTCTTTCTCTCCTCAATATCTATCTATCTATCTCTATCATATCATCTATATCTATTGCTATCTATATCTATCTATTTCTCCTTCTCCCTCTTTCTCTCATCAATATCTGCCTGCCTGCCTGCCTGCCTATCTATCTATCTATCTATCTATCATATCTATATCTATTTCTATTTCTATTGCTATCTATATCTATTTCTCCATCTCTCCCTCTTTGTCTCTCCCTCTTTCTCTCCTCAATATCTATCTATCTATCTATCTATCTATCTATCTATCTATCTATCTATCTATCTATCTATCTATCTTATCTATCTATCCTCTTTCAGGAATGAATGAATGATCATAGTTGCATTTCTGCAAATGTCTCTGAATTTGCACAATTTGAAGCCTCTTACCTTCTTGTCCATCCTGCCCCTTGCCAAGGTTCTTGGATTATCTCTCCGACCTGTGTGTTTCCAACACAGCCGCCATCCCCGTCACTCAGGAGCTCATCTGTAAATACATGCTGAGTCCAGGAAATGCGGACATCCTCATTCAGACCAAGTAAGCCCACTGAGATCTACTTGTAAGGGTTCTGCATTGCTTCTCTGAAGCCACGTACTGAGGCCAACCCTTGGTAGTGACAGCGTCCGCCGTTGTTTTAAAGATTGGTGTCCATGCAAATGGAGAACCCCTTGAATTGCTCCTCCCTTTCGGACGATATGGAAGAAGAAGAGGTGTGGTTATACTGGATTGACAGCAACAAGGAGCCCCATGGGAAAGCCATCCGACACCTGGCTCAGGAAGCGAAGGAGGGCACCAAAACTGATTTAGAGGTCCTTACTTATTACAGGTAATTTTTCTCAAAAGGGAGAACAGAAACTGTACGCTATCCTAAACAATTATTCCTTCTTCTTCTTCAGCTTTACTGACAATCCAAGGCTTTCCTATCACACTGAAGCATTTTGACAGGCCAAGGTAGATACAGCACAGTGCTGGGCTGCATTAACAGAGGGATAGAATCAAGATCACTGTGATAACTGTGAGAGGGATCTCGGAATCCTAGTGGACGATCCCTTAAACATGAGCCAGCCGTGTGCTGCAGCTGCCCAAAAAGCCAACACAGTGCTAGGCTGCATTAACAGAGGGATAGAATCAAGATCACGTGAAGCATTAATACCACTTTACAAGGCCTTGGTAAGGCCACACGTGGAATACTGCGTCCAGTTTTGGTCACCACGATGTAAAAAAGATGTTGAGACTCTAGAACAGTGGTTCTCAACCTTTTTAATGCCGCAACCCCCAACCGGTCGTAAGTCGAGGACTACTCAACTGGTGCAGCACCATTTGCAGAATGGGACTTTTGGCGGGCTCGACAGGGCAGAGACAGCCTGGACAATTCCTGTTGGCTTTTGAAAGCCAATAAAATTAGACTCTATTCAAGAGAGTCTATTCTTTTGGCTTTCAAAAGCCAATAGAATAAAAGGGAGTAGCACAGCTAAGGAAAAGGGGGGAAAAATGGCGGACTGCGTTGTTTGGTGACCCCCGTGAAATGGTCGTTCGACCCCAAATGGGGTCACGACCCACAGGTTGAGAACCACTGCTCTAGAAAGAGTACAGAGAAGAGCAACAAAGATGATTAGGGGACTGGAGGCTAAAACATATAAGGAACGATTGCTGGAATTGGGTATGTCTAGTTTAATGAAGAGAAGGATGAGGGGGGACAGGATAGCAGTCTTCCAATATCTCAGGGGCTGCCCCAAAGAAGAGGGAGTCAAGCTATTCTCCAAAGCGCCTGAAGGCAGGACAAGAAGCAATGGATGGAAACTAATCAAGGAGAGAAGCAACTTGGAACTAAGGAGAAACTTCCTGAGAGTTAGAACAATTAACCAGTGGAACAACCTACCTCCAGAAGCAGTGAATGCGCCAACACTGAAAGTTTTTAAGAAGAGACTGGACAGCCATTTGTCCAAAATGGTATAGGGTTTCCTCCCTAGATGACCTCCAAGGTCCCTTCCAACTTTATAATAATAATTATTATTATTACAATGATGAATGAAGCCTATATTAGAAATTAGTTGAGAAAAAAAAATATATACCCCTTTGAGAAATTTGAACTGAACCCAGTTCATCTCCAGCACAGCTCCATTATTAGCATGTGAGGAAAATTAAAGGGGGAAAAAAGGGTGTCCAAACGAAGCTGGAAGTAGCCAAGTCCGCCTTTATAACAGGCATTTTGTTTAATGCAATAAACTATAATGCAATAAACTAATGCAATATTTTGAGTATAAAGAGCCTAAGTGGTGCAATGGTTAGAATGCAGGATTGCAGGCTGACTCTGCCCACTGCCAGCTGTTCGATCCTGACTGGCTGAAGGCTGACTCAGCCTTCCATCCTTCTGAGGCTGATAAAATGAGAACCCAGATTGTCGGGGACAAGAGGCTGACTCTGTAAACCACTTAAAGAGGGCTGTAAAGTGATATGTAAGTCTAAGTGCTGTTACTGTTGCTCAGTGCTATAAAAACCGGATGATTGTTGAAGGTCTCTTAGTTTGGTGTGAATCTAACTCTTTCGTTTGATGAAAGACCACAGAAGAACCTTGTAAAACCAAGTGGGATATGAATATTAAATGAATATTAAAAATAAAACAGGACTAATTCCTGATAATTTCGTGGATAGGCTAAAACGAACCTTCTGGGACTCTCTGTTATTTTAGTAATTTTTTTTTAAAGAGTTCTGATGTTTGATGTGATCAGGATTTAGAGAGGAGATTACAAGTAGATACATTTCAGATGTTCTGGCTTCTGATGGATAAACATGAGAAATGAATACAGATAGTCCTCAATTAAGACTATAAATTGCAATGTTTGTAAATTGGGTCACCCACCTTGGCCACCCAATTTTGCGATCTTTTTGGCGGCAGCCGTTAAAACTTGGGAATCGTTGTAAATTTGAACAGTTGCTGAGCAAACAGTCATAAGTTGAGGATTACCTGTAACATTTTGGATCTTCAGGGAGTGGAAATTTGGGCTCATCTGGGAGGGCAAATTTCTTAGCTCTTTTCATGTCTGCTCTGCAGATGTTTTGCATTCCTCTTTCAAACTCAAAATTCTTTCATTTGATTAAATAAAGGCTGGCGTTTATATGCAGATCTGTACTCAGTTCCCAGGGTTGAACACCGTGGTAAGCTTGGATCGGATGGCATGATAAGTCCTTTAAAAACCAAAGAATTTTAAAACACTTCTGGAATTTACGACAGAGGTTGCTGTGCGCAGATCACATATTGTGCGGGTCTGATTTTTAGAACCGAAAGGATAGTTTGAACAAAAAAAGGGAAGACAATGATTCTGGCCAACATGCCATATCCGTGTGGTGGTTAGGCTGTTCCTTTAGCACCGGTGTTTTAGGGAAACCAACGCAGATTGCAGATAACAAGTTTTATTTCCTTATCTGAAGGTATCAATTGAACCTCTTTGCAAGGATGTGTTTGGATCGCCAATATTTGGCTATAAATCAAATTTCCACCCAGCTGTCCGTGGATTTGATCTTACGGTGCATGTCGGACGAAAGCCTGCCTTATGAGCTGCGAGCATCATTTTGTCGTTTAATGTTACACATGCACGTCGACAGAGATCCTCAAGAGACGGGGGTGCCTGTGAAGTACGCCAGGCTGTGGACTGAAATCCCTACCAAGATTACTATCCATGAGTAAGTCCCTTTCTGAAAACAACAGATCCTTCCACGATACAGGCGGTCCTCAACTTACCGGAACGACTGTTCCAAGTTACGACCGACTTGAAAAAGGTGACTCGGGACCCATCTCCAAAGTTGTGACTGCCACACCATCTCTGCAACGGCGTGATCATGACAGTCCAAGATCGTATCCATTCGATCCCCAAATCCTCTTAAGAAGGAAGATTTACCTTTAGTAAATTCTAAAAAAGTTACAGGCGGTTTTCAACTTACAACAGTTTGTTTAGTGACCGTTCAAAGTTGCAGTGGCACTGAAAAAAGTGATTTACAGTAGTGGCCAAAATTGTGGGAACCTTTTGAGAAAAGTGTACTTTTGAGATTTGATGGCTAATAACACCACTTTTTTTTGGAGTAGTACCATAAAATTATATATCAATGGAAAGATAATTTAATCAAGAATGTAATGCAACATAGATTGTTCAATTATCTGTATTCTATGAAAAGTTATAGCCAAATAACTAGAAAAAGGAAGCACAACTTGCTCAGGTTGATCTCAGGTAGCTTTCCTTCCTCTGATTGTAGCCAATGAGCACGAGTGTTTAGAGAGCCAATCAGGCGTCATCTTGTTTTGGCAATGAGCCAATCAGATGACAGTAGGATCCAGTGATTGATGTCATGTATTGCAGCTGAGAGGAGGACATTTGTCAGTGTGTTATGTGATGGCTATCAAGTTGGTTGGGTTTTTTTTGTGTTCTTTCATTTAGTGAGCTTGTAAAATATAATAAAATTAAAGTAATGATGCAAAGACTTGATTGGTCGCCCAGAAAGCGATGTAAAATAGTATTATTAAGTGAACAAGGCTACAGTGATAAAGAAATTAGAAGAAAAATGGGTGGAAACTTAACCAAAGGTGGCATTTCTAGTGTATACTTTTCCCAAAAGGTTTCCACAATTTTGGCCACTACTTTAGGATCACTTTTCACATTTAGGACCGTTGCAGCATCTTTGTGATCACGTGATCAAAATTTGGACGCTTGGTATCTGGTTAATATTTATGATCTTGCTGTGTCCCGGGGTCATGTGATTCACTTCTGACAAGCCAAGTCAATGGGGAAGCCAGATTCACTTAACAACCATGTGGCTAGCTTCACAACTGCAACTGATTTATATTTATGACGGTTGCTGTGCCCCAGAATCGTATGATCCCCTTTAGAGGCCTTCTGACAAGCAAAGTTAATGGGGAAGCCAGATTCACTTAACAGCTGCACTGATTCACTTAATAACCGGGGCAAAAGAGGTCATAAAATGGGGCAAAACTCACTCAACAAATGTCTCATTTAGCAACGTAAACTTTGGGCTCAATTGTAGCCATAAATCGAGGACTACCTGGAATTATGGATGGGGTAAGTCTAACCTTAGGATTTTGTACCCATTAGGGGTATTCACAGGAACTTAGATTTCGTCGAAATGAGAAAATGTACATCATGATTTATGTCAGGGGTCTTCAAACTTGGCCCTTTTATGACCTGTGGATTTCAACTCCCAGAATTCCTCAGCCAGCGTTCCTGGCTAAGGAATTCTGGGAATTGAAGTCCACAAGTCATAAAAGGGTCAAGTTTGAAGACCCCTCCCAGAATTCCTCAGCCAGGCACACTGGCTGAGGAATTCTGGGAGTTGAATTCCAAAGTCATGAAAGGGCCAATTTTGAAGACTCCTCCCAGAATTCCTCAGCCAGGCACACTGGCTGAGGAATTCTGGGAGTTGAAGACCACAAGTCATAAAAGGGCCAAGTCTGAAGACCCCTGATTTATGGAGCGTGACCTATTTCCCACCCTAACCGCCTCTCTCTTGGCAGGTATGACTCCTTCACCGATTCATCCCGAAATGACATGAAGAGGAAATTTGCTTTTACGATGGAATTTGTAGAAGATTACTTAAAAGAAGTTGTTAACCAGCCTTTCCCTTTTGGAGACAAGGAGAAGAACAAGCTGACATTTGAGGTTACAATCTTGTCACAATAATCTGGGGCAGCGGCAACTCATAGCTTTTAGATTCCCCATGTAAGACGTGAGAAGCCCCCCAGGTTTGCGCTGCTGAAATTCAGCCTAAGAATGGATGTTTTGGGACCATGTAAATATTAGTTTGGGCAAAATTTGAGAAAAAAAATGGAAGGGGCCAGAACAAGCCATTTTCATTTCTTTGCTTAAATTAAAACCTTCGCGATTGGGCCCTCCGAACAAAACGGATTTGTCTCTTTTAATGCTGAGACGGACAGCGCAGTTGTGAGGAATGTTGGATGTTTAGGACAGGAACTACACAGAGTCCAAAAAACAACAAAACAACAAGCCAGGAAGGTTCCTATAATATCACAGCCGTCTCCTGCAGCCCTCTAAAACAGGGCTTTTCAACCAGTGGTATGGGTACCACCTGTGGTACATTGACACCTGGCAGGTGGTACGCGAGCATCCTAGAAAAGTGGTAGCGGAGGAGGGGAATGAGCTGAACCGGTGGCAGCACCGCACAAGCCTGAGCGAGAGATGGCTGGAGCTGCAGGACTGTCAGGGCTCAGCGGAAGCGCCAGGATCAGTGCCGCTTTCCAGCTGATCAGCGCTTCTTTGGGGCTGTCGGGGCTCAGTGGAAGCACCAGGATCAGCGCCAGGCTCCAGCTGGAGCTCAATGCTGATCCTGGTGCTTCTGCTGAGCCCTGAAGAAGCACCAATCAGTTGGAAAGCAGCACTGATCCTGGCATTTCTGCTGAGCCCAGAAGAAGCGCCGATCAGCTGGAATGTTGCAGCATCTCCAGGGTCTTGTGATTTACATTCAGATGCTTGGGAACTGATTCATATTTATGATGGTCACAGTGTCCCAGGGTCAAATGAAGTGACCAAAACCTGCTGCAACCACCCAGCAGACGGGGGGAATAAAAACCAAACACCCCCACCCCACCCCCGCTCCCAATCCTCAACAGAAATGCTCACAACAATGAAAACCTTGGACAGGAGGAAGTGTGCAGCCGGGCGCTGTCTTGCTCGGCTGTGGCTTGGGGGGCACTTTTTTCAGTGCCATTGTAACTTTGAACAGTCACTAAGTGAACTGTTGTAAGTCGAGGACTACCTGTACTTTATCACTTTTTTCCTTTTTTTTGTTATCAAGTTTTTGACACCTTGCTAGGCGACTGGTGGTACTCAGATGTTGCCATATCCTAAAAGTGATAAAATGGGTGAAAAGGTTGAAAAGCCCTGCTCTAAAAAGTGCAGGAGATAAACCAGTGGAACGGCTTGCCACCAGAAGTTGTGGATGCTCCAACACTGAAGGTTTTTTAAGAAGAGATTGTCCCTCTCTTTTTCGGGAGACAACTGGACTTTCTTGTTTTTTTTGCTTTGAAGACATTTCGCTTCTCATCCAAGAAGCTCCTTCAGCTCTGACTGGATGGTGGGGAGAAGGCCAGAGCCGAAGAAGTGTCTTGGATGAGAAGCAAAACGTCTTCAAAGAAAAAAACAACAAGGAAGTCTAGTTGTTTTGAAAAAGCACCTTCGGGAGAACCGTGTCCTGGATGACTGAGAATCTCCATAGACATTAAGAAGAGATTGGACAACCATTTGTCTGAAATGGTATAGGATCTCTTGCTTGGGCAGGAGGTTGGACTAGAAGACCTCCAAGGTCCCTTCCAAGTCTGTTATTCTGTTATAGTTGAGGGTCTGACTCAACTTGGTGATATTTTGGTGGCTATGGTTGGGAGAAACTGCCTTAAACCCAACAAGGCTGTCTTTCAACAATGGTAGAGATTAGGATTTTATTACATGTTATTAAGATAAGACCCAGACAACACATTGTTTATCAAGCACTTGTGAAATGTAAACATATATTAAGTGTCTAATAGAGCACCTGGTCTACTGTTATGATTACTTTTGCCTTTCAGCCCCAGTCTAGGAGCGTTTTGCAGGCTCAAGTCGCTACTGCGATAAACTATGTCTGTCGTGATTCCGTGCCAGCCTGTGTTCCCAACAGCTGAGTCCGGGGATCTGAGGAGGAGGTGGAGGAGGCATTTGGAGGGCCATCAGGGTCAGAGGGAGGCTCTGATGAATTACAAGACTCACGGTCTGATGAAGAGCCTGGGCCCTCCAGTCATGTTCCAGATCAGTAGTTCTCAACCTTTTTAATGCCGCGACCCCCAACCGGTCGCAAGTCGAGGACTACTCAACCGGTCGTAAGTTGAGGACTACTCAACTGGTGTAGCACCATTTGCAGAATGGGACTTTTGGCGGGCTCAGCAGAGCAGAGACAGCCTGGACAATTCCTATTGGCTTTTGAAAGCCAATAGAATTAGACTCTATTCAAGAGAGTCTAATCTATTGGCTTTCAAAAGCCAATAGAATAAAAGGGAGTAGCACAGCTAAGGAAAAGGGGGGGAAAATGGCGGACTGTTTTGTTTGGCGACCCTCGTGAAATGGCGTTCGACCCCAAATGCGGTCCCGACCCACAGGTTGAGAACCACTGTTCCGGATGAAGCTCAGCTGTGTGGGGAGAATGAGTCAGACTTGGAGGATTCACACCTGATGGACATGATTGATGCTCGTAGACGCAGGCAATTAGCTAGAGCAGATCAGCAGCAGTCAATACGACAACTCCAGGGGGGGAGGAGAAGACATTGAGAAGCCACGCCTTGGGACTGCTTTATAAAAAGGGAAGGTGTGGGCGGTGCTGGTTGCTGAAGGCAACCGTTTGTAAAGAACTTTCAAGGATCATGGTCTGTTTTTTGTTGTTTAAACTTCTGCTCTGCTTGCTTTTGTAACCAATTATCTGTTAGGAAAGTATTCTTTGTTTTTTGTTTTGGAGAAAAACTTACCAGGACTGTTTTGGAAATAAAAAGAGGTTGGTTTTCCCAGCCTGCTGTTTAAGAGGGGTTTGTTCTTGTGACGTAATAAGGACGGACGTAGGCTGGGACAGAACAATTTCTATCAATTTAGATTTTGCTGACAGAGAGTTAAAGGGAGACTAGTAGAGCTATTTCAAGCTATTTGGCTCTCGTCAGCTAGCCATTCCCTTCTGAGATTCGAACCTGGGCAGCTTGCATGTTAGGCAGCTGTATTAACCTCTAGGCCACAGGCTCTCCTCACTTCATAACAGTAGACCAGGTGCTCTATTAGACACTTACTATGTATCCTCCCCAGCTTCAGCTGACAGAAGTGACAGCATTCCCTAATCTTAGAAAACCACGACGTAGGAGACTTATGGTTTGTACGTAGCTACGAGAGCGACATTGCTCAACACGATCCCAGGGCCCCACTCTCTCCACTGGGTAAAATCCATAGATCTGAGTTAGTTTTTCAATATCCAGGTAGCCAGGAAGTCCTTGACTTACACACAGTTCGCTTAGTGACCATTTGAAGTTACAACAGCACTGATAAAAGTGACCATTTTCCACGCTTAAGCACCGTTGCAGCAGCCCCCTTGTTAAGATGATCAAAATGTGGGTGTTTGGCAACTGGTTTCACATCTGTGATGGTTGCAAGGTCCTGTGATCCCCCTTTGCAACATCATCATAAAGTTGAAAGGGACCTTGGAGGTCATCTAGTCCAACCCCTGCTTCTGATGAGTTCATTTAGGGACCAAAGTTACAACTGTTCTGGAAAGATTGTTTTTCACACTTACGACCGTTGCGGCATCCCCATGACCAAAATCCAGACCCTTGGCCACTGATTAATATTTATGATGGGTTGCAGTGTCCCGGGGTCACGCGATCCCCTTTTTGTGGTCTTCTGACAAGCAAAGTCAATAGATAAACCAGATTGACTTAATGACTGTGTTACTTAAGAACTGCAGTAATTCACTGAACCACTGTGGCAAAGATACAGTAGTGGCCAAAATGGTGGAAACCTTTTGGGAAAAGTGTACAGTAGAAATGCCACCTTTGGTTAAGTGTCTATCCATTTTTCTTCTAATTTCTTTATCACTGTAGCCTTGTTCACTTCATAATACTATTTTACATCGCTTTCTGGACGACCAGTCAACTCTTTGCACCATTCCTTTAGTTTTATGACGTTTTGCAAACTCACTAAATGAAAGAACACAAAAAAAACCAGCCAACTTGATAGCGATCCCATAACACACTGACAAATGTCCTCCTCTCAGCGTCAATACATGACATCAATCACTGAATCCTCCTGTGATCTGATTGGCTCCTTGCCCGAACAAGATGAGACCCGATTGGCTCTCTAAACACTCACGCTCATTGGCTACAATCAGATGAAGGAAAGCTACCTGAGATCAACTTAAGCAAATTGTGCTTCCTTTTTCTGGTTATTTGGCTATAACCTTTCATAGAATACAGTACAGATAATTGAACCAACTTTGTTGCATTACATTCTCGATTAAATTATGTTTCCATTGATATATAATTTTAGGGTACTACTCTAAAAAAAAAAAGTGGTGTTATTAGCCATCCAACCTCAAAAATACACTTTTCCCAAAAGGTTTCCACAATTTTAGCCACTACTGTAGGTCGTAAAAGGGGGGGCAGAACTCACTTAACAACTGACTCGCTTAGCGACATAAATTGTGGGCTCGGTTGCGACCGTAAGGAGAGGACTAGCTGTATTCTGGATGAGTTCTCGAGCGTAACCACATCAGTCCATTCGTCGCGAGTTTAGCGTTGGGTTCCCTTTCTTGCTTTTGATCTTCCTTGTCTCTGTTTTCATTTCTGTAGGTGGTGCACCTGGCCCGCAATCTCATATACTTTGGTTTTTATAGTTTCAGTGAACTCCTCAGACTGACCAGAACGCTACTGGCTATCCTCGATATTGTACAAGCGCCCATGTCATCCTACTTTGAAAGATTAAGCAAATTTCAGGATGGAGGTAAGGGGGGGGGGAAACGCCAGCATCCCCAGAAAATGTTTTATCGCCTATCATTTTTTATTTTTTTTTCCCCCCTTCTCTTTCAATACGTTCGCATCTGGAAAAATGCCCTGTAACGATAATGGGTGACATCTCATGTCCGATTACAAGCCGAAAATGACCAGTGAGCTCCTGCTTGGATAAAACCATTGATCTCATTTAAGGGCTTTTCGTGAAATAAGTGTATTGCTTACGAAGGAATAGGTCTATATGTGAGAGGGGAAAAAATGGCAGAACTTGGCGACTTGTTTACATGACTGGTTTGGAGGAAGGAGGAGGAGGAGGAGAAGGAGGACTGTGTGGTCCTTGGTGCGCTCTGAGCTTGGTGGGTTTCTTGCAGATGTTTCATGGCCCACTAGGTAAGATCATCAGTGCTAGAAGGGAGTAGGGCTTATGGAGAGGAGGAGAAGAAGAGGAAAAGGAGGAGGAAGAGGAGGAGGAGGAGGAGGAGAAGAAGAAGAAGAGGACTGTGGGGTCCTTGGTGCGCTCTGAGCTTGGTGGGTTTTTGCAGATGTTTCATGACCCAAACTAGATAACATCATCAGTGGTAGAAGGGAAGGGAGTTTGCAGGGAGGAGGAGGAGGAGGAGGAGGAGGAGGAGAAGAGGAGGAGGAGGACTGTGTGGTCCTTGGTGCGCTCTGAGCTTGGTGGGTTTCTTGCAGATGTTTCATGGCCCACTAGGTAAGATCATCAGTGCTAGAAGGGAGTAGGGCTTATGGAGAGGAGGAGAAGAAGAGGAAAAGGAGGAGGAAGAGGAGGAGGAGGAGGAGGAGAAGAAGAAGAGGAGGACTGTGGGGTCCTTGGTGCGCTCTGAGCTTGGTGGGTTTCTTGCAGATGTTTCATGACCCAAACTAGATAACATCATCAGTGGTAGAAGGGAAGGGAGTTTGCAGGGAGGAGGAGGAGGAGGAGGAGGAGGAGAGAGAGAGAGAGAGAAGAAGAGGAGGAGGAGGAGGGTGAGGACGACGACTGTGGGGTCCTTGGTGCTCTCTGAGCATGGCGGTTTTCTTGGAGACGTTTCATGACCCAACTAGGTAACTTCATCAGTGCTAGAAGGGGGTGGAGTTTGCAGACAGGATGAAGAGAAGGAGGAGGGGGAAGAGGAAGAGAGGAGGATGAGGACTTTAGGGTTCTTGGTGCTCTCTGAGTTGGTTGTTTTATTGCAGACATTTCATGACCCAACTAGATAACTTCATCAGTTCTAGAAGAGGTAGAGTTTGCAGTGAGGAAGAGGAGGAGGAGGACTGAGGAATCCTTGGTACTTTCTGAGCTTGATTGTTTTCTTGCAGACGTTTCCTTACCCAGCTAGATAACATCCTCAGTGCTAGAAGGGAGGGGCGTCTGCAAGGAAATGCAAATAAAATAATGTAAAAGCTAAAGAAATGATTCAGGATTGTCATTTCCAGGGAGCTATTTAAAAAAAAAAGAATGCTTCTCTAAATGAAGCTTTTTAGCTACCTCAGCTGCTTGGTAAAGTACACAAGCAGGATATAAATCTGTAAGCAAGATGTTTTGATGTATAGAAGTTTAACAATAAAGAAAGAAAACAATGAATAAAGGCATTGTCCAAACTGGGACTTCTTAAACTTTTCTGGATCACATTGCTGTAAAAAGGATTTCTTTTCAAGTCATAAGCATTTGTGGAGAGTGACTTTGTGACAATTAGGTGAAAGAAAATGAAAAGAAACTCGACATAATTGATTTAGGATGCTCTTAATCTTCTGTTACATTGTGTGTAAATCTGAATATGATGCATGCTTTTGCACATAAGGGATATTTTCCATAATGGTGTTTGCAAAGAAAAGTTAGAGAGTGGCTGCAGCAGAGCGATCAAAAGTCTGTCTGTTTTTTTTAATGTGTTTCAATAAGCTTTAATGGCAGGATTGTGGTCTTTTTTTGACTATATCCAGCGCTTTTGAAGAGCAACTTATTTTACGATCAGCTAGAGCTCAGCTGAAATGCTTGTCTTTCATTCTTTACTTTTCAGATGCTGAATAGCACTTCAGTAATTCTTGTTCTGCAAAAAATTCCAGGTTTTTTGGGAGGGAACGAGGATGATAAAAAAAAAAAGTCCCTGGTAATCACCCTAATTGCAATTTCTATTTCACTCTCGTAGATTTTTCCAACACCTGCTCTGGGTTAATTTGAAATATAATTGCCTTCCTCTCCTAATTTTTTTTTTTAAACATCTTATCTAAAACTGGAGTGCTTGTGACTTTTGCTCTTCTTGATTGATATAAACGAGATCTTCTGTCACAACCTCTTTCAACCAGTGAATCCTAAAATTAAATGGTTTTGTTTTCCTATTAAAACTCTTCCCAGCTGCATTAATTCATTGCAGTGTTTAAATAGAAAAAAATTAATTCCCCCTTAATTTAATTTCTTCTTAACTGCCAAGGGCTTTCATTTAACGCCTCTTTCTATTATTCTCACAGGAGGGATTAGCAAGGCAATCGTTTTTTGTTTGACACATTTCATTGAGTTGTGAAGCGGTTGAAGGCGTTCAATTTAGATATTGGTGTCAAAAGTAAGATTTCAGTTTCACGGGAGATACTTCAAAGAAAACTTGAAAATTGCAAAGTTTTATGAATGAGTCTCACTGAAATGACTGAGAATTGGTACTCTTTGGCCTGGCCATTATATTTAATATATTGATTCAGTCAAGGACCAGCAAAAATTTAATGAATCAAATAAATACAATACAGGTAACTCTCAACTTACAACCAGAACGGAGTCCAGAATTTATGTTGCTAAGTGAGAAATTTGTTAAGTGAATTTTGCCCTGTTTTACGACCTTGTTGTTAAGTGAATCTCTGCAGTGGTTAAATTAGTAACATAGTTGTTAAGTGAATCTAGTTTCCCTCTTGACTTTGCTTGTCAGAAGGTCGCAAAAGGGGATCACGCGACCCCGGGACACTGCGACCGTCATAAATGTGAGTCAGTTGTCAAGCATCTGAATGTAAATCACTTGACCATGGCGATGCTGCAACAGTCGTAAGTGTGAAAAAATGGTCATAAGTCACTTCTTTCAGTGCTGTTGTTACTTCGAACAGTCACTAAGCGAGCTGTTGTAAGTTGAGGACTACCTGTAATATAGCAACAACTAGCTAAGTAGTCTTTTGGTCCCAACCCCTGCTCAAGCAGAAGACTCTGTGTCCTTCCAGACAAATGATTGCCCACTCTTCTTTAAAACTCCAATGATGGGAGCAACCATAACTTCTGGAGGCAAGTTTTGCTGAGCATCACTCGATATCTCAATTATATTGAATTTGGACTGTTGCAGTTTGCATTGAGTAGCCTAGATTGTTCAGAAGATGCAGTTGGTCCATAAAATAGCAGCCTGAGGAACATTTTGTGTGGTTTGCCCATCTTGTTAGCTCTACCAAAGGAGCTACGCTGGTTATCTCCTGTAGTTCTAGATTGGAAATTAATCCAATATGACAAATCCAGTTCCCTCTGGGATTGTCCCATCCCAATCAATCAATCAATCAATCAATCAGAATAGAGTTGGAAGGGATCTTGGAGGTCTTTTAGTCCAACTCTCTGCTAAAGCAGGAGATCCTATACCAGGGTCTTTTATGACTCGTGGACTTCAATTCCCAGAATTCCTGAGCCAGCCACACTGAGGGGAAAAAGAGAGGTTTCCAAGTTGAGCCATGCTGGCTCAGGAATTCTGGGAGTTGAAGTCCACGAGTCATAAAAGAGCCAAGGTTGCCTACCCCTGCCCTAGGCTGCTTTATGACTCGTGGACTTCAACTCCCAGAATCCCTGAGCCAGCATGGCTCAGCATGGAAACCTCTCCCTTTCCCCTCAGCGTAGCTGGCTCAGGAATTCTGGGAGTTGAAGTCCACGAGTCATAAAAGAGCCAAGGCTGCCTACCCCTGGCCTATACCATTTCAGATAGGTGGCTGTCCAATCTGTTCTTAAAAGCCTCCAGTGATGAAGCGCCCACAACTTCTGGAGGCAACTTCTGTTCCACTGGTTAATTGTTCTCACTGTCAGGAAGTTTCTCCTTCGTTCCAGGTTGCTTCTCTCCTTGATTAGTTTCCATCCATTGTTTCATGTCCTGCCTTCTGATGTTTTGAAAAATAGGTTGACCTCCTCTTCAAGTCTGAAAGTACAGATCTCCCCTCACCATTTTTAACCTCTTGATCCATTAGGGAAAGTCCTTCCTAAGCTTCTTCCTCCGACTGTTAGGCGACAGGGGGCTCCTGCCTCTCTTCCAATTGTTTCCTAGGCGCCATGTCTTCTCCTCTTTTCTCAAGGCCATTCACACCTTCCGTGACAGACACTGGATGGATGTGTCCTTCCTTTCACCAGACTGCTGAGTTCAGTTCAAGGGAACTTAACTTGCTCGTGGTTCTTCTCTCATGTCAATCTCCCGATTCTCAACCTTTCTGTTGCCTGTCAAGAGTAGCCCTTGTTTTCTCTCTCTTACTTCCAGGAAACAATGTGATGCGAACCATTCATGGGGTGGGAGAGATGATGACTCAAATGGTCCTCAGTCGGGGGTCTATTTTTCCTGCCTCTTTACCTGATATTCCCCCAAGCGTCCACCGAAGCAAACAACCCAACCTTGTGGACAGCGAAGACGTCACTGTGATGGACACCAAGTTAAAAATTATCGAGATTTTACAGGTAAAAAAAAAAATCTATCCTATTACATTTTTTGAAGAAAAGGATGAAATGTAGCTTACGTAACCTTTTGGTTGGAAAAACAACAGTTTTGTATTCTCTTTTTTCCTTCTTCAGCCTTGTGAGTTAGGGAGATTTTCTGGAGCTAGAATGAGGGCAGATTAAGAAATGCAAGACAGAACAGAATAGAACAGAACAGAACAGAACAGAATAGAATAGAATAGAATAGAATATATGGAATGGAATGGAATGGAATGGAATAGAATAGAATAGAATAGAATGGAATGGAATGGAATAGAATGGAATGGAATGGAATGGAATAGAAAACAGGATAAAATAGAGTAGAGTAGAATAGGAATAGACAGTCCTCGACTTACATCCACAACTGAGCCCAACATTTCTGTTGCTAAGTGAGACATTTGTTAAGTGAGTGTTGCCCCATTTTACAACCTTTCTTGTTATAGCTGTGATGGGAGTCACTGCAGTTGTTAAGTTAGCGACCCAGTTGTTAAGTGAAACTGGCTTCCCCATTGACTTTGCTTGGCAGAAAGTCACAAAAGGGGATCACCTGGCCCCGGGACACTGCGACCGTCATAAATATGAAGCAGTTTCCAAGCATGAGCTATAAATGTTTATTGGTGACAAATGCATTGTTTCATTTTAAAATATATTTTAATGTCATAGTAGCAACTTTGATTTGTTTCCTGTTAAAATATATTTTAATGTCATAGTAGCAACTTCGATTTTTGTAAATAAGTGATCTTTGCATGCGGCTGAGAAATAGGCTCAAAAGTCTGTGTCGTACAGTTTATTCTTAGCGTCCGCCTTGACTATCGAATATCCTACCTGCTGTCTATTTACAAGAAGGAATTTGGGAAGAACAATGAAAACATTGACAATTCCACAACGCCGCCCCCCGACTCACCAACTATCACCTCAGGTAAACCAGAATAAATCAAGGTAACCATGACTTCTTTCAAATGAGAGCCGTCCTCAAGGCATCTGTAGGAAACCCAGCGACAAAAGCAGCATCACAGCGATGTGGTCCAAGGTCCGTCCTGATGTCACATGCAGGAATGCAAAATGCTTGTGGTGCAAAAATGGCTTTTGTGGTTGTGACGCAATCTTAGGCTGCATCCACAGAGGGACGGCATCAAATCACATGGAGGTGATAGTACAGGCAGTCTTTGACTTACAATGGCTCGTTTAGTGACTGTTCAAAGTTATAATGGCACCGGAAAAAGTGACGGATGACCGTTTTTCACACTTACGACCGCTGCAGCCACGCCCAGGGTCATGTGATCAAAATTCAGACAGCTGGCAACTGACTCATATTTATGACCGTTGACAGTGTCCCGGGGTCACGTGATCCTCTTTTGCGACCTTCCGAGAAGCAACGTCAACGGGGAAGTCAGATTGAGTTAACAACCGTGTTACTAACTTCACAGCTGCCGTCATTTCACTTAGCAACAGGTTGTAAAATGGGGGCAAAAGTCACTTAATAAATGTCTCACTTGACAACCTAAATGTTGGGCTCGGTTGTGGTCGTAAGTCAGGACTGCCTGTACCGCTCTATACTGTATCAAAGAGGTCACATTTGGAATAGGGCACCCGGTTTTGGTCGCCACAATGTAAAAAAGATGCTGAGATTCTAGAAAGAGTGCAGAGAAGAGCAACAAAGATGATCAGGGGACTGGAGGCTAAAATGTATAAAAAATGGTTGCAGGAATTGAGAATGTCTAGTCCAGGGGTGGGGAACCTTGGCTCTTTTATGACTCGTGGACTTCAACTCCCAGAATTCCTGAGCCAGCATGGCTCAGCTTGAAACCTCTCCCTTTCCCCTCAGCATGGCTGGCTCAGGGATTCTGGGAGTTGAAGTCCACGAATCACAAAAGAGCCAAGATTGCCTACCCCTGGTCTAGTTTAATGAAAATAAGGACTAGGAGTGACGTGATAGCATCTTCCAATAGTGGTCGAGCTGTCGCAGGGAAAAGGATGACATTTTTTATCTCCATAGCACTGGAGGCAGGACCAGAAGCATCTGGTGGATGTTGGTCAGGAGGAGATTCCACCTGGATCTAAGGAGGAATTTCCTGATAGAACAATTAATCAGTGAAACAGCCTGCCTCCCAGAGTTATGGGTGCTCCATCGCTGGAGCTTTTTAAGAAAAGATTGGACAACCATTTGTCCGAGATCGTATAAAAACTCTTGTCTTTGGCAGAAAATTGGATTAGAAGACCTTCAAGGTCCCTTTCCAGGCTTATGATTCTATGATTTTATGTATCATTACTTGTGTGCGGTCCCAAAAATGCAAAGTACACGCAAGTTAGCTTTCATTCTTGGGCAGTACGTTTAAGCAACATTATCGTGTTGCGTGTGGAATGTGCCTAGCCCTTAAATTGAGATGGTAGGTATTATCTTGGGGGGAACTAAAGGGAATGTTGGAGGAACAAGTGGCAAATAAGTGATGTATGAGTAGCCATGCCATCATGTGTGAATATCAACTCATAAAAATGTAGCCTGTGAATTATAAGATTGGACAGCCACTTGTCTGAAATGGTATAGGGCAGTGGTGGCGAACCTATGGCACGGGTACCAGAGGTGGCACGCAGAGCCCTCTCTGTGGGCATGTGCGCCATCGCCCCAGTCCTAGGCCTTCAGCTGGGCTTTATAAAACCTTTTTGCTTTAGGCCTCTGCCGCCATGTGCAAAAAAAAAAAAAAGGTTCAATCAGTCAATTTCAACTTCTCGTGGGAAAAAAAAAGATCTTGCAAAGTTAGAATTGATTGATTGAACTTTTTAGTCCCCCCCAGTCTGCCGTTACCATCACAGCCACGCCCACCCAATGGGCACACCCAGCCAATGGGCCATACCCACCCAGCACCCGACGATGCATAAGTGGGTTTTGGGTTGCCGTTTGGGCACTCAGTCTCTAAAAGGTTCGCCATCACTGGTATAGGGCTTCCTGCCTGAGCAGGGGGTTGGACTAGAAGACCTCTAAGATCCCTTCCAACTCTGTTGTTCTAATTCACACCAGTTGCCACTGATCAGTTCTTTGTAGCAAAAAACTAGGAAAGGAGGAAGATGTTTTTCGTAGTGTTGACTCTACGCTGTCTTCTATTGTAGCAGCTGTCCCTGAGATAGATGAAATTGCTGCAGAAGCAGAAACCATGTTTGCTGGCAGGTAAGCTCATGTCTTTGGCCTGCTGTTTTTGCTTGACCAATTGCTTCCCACTCTCTCGCTCTAATAGGCCTAATTAATATTTTTAATTCATCTTTATATTTCCTCTGGACAGCCTAACAATACGTTCCCGTTTCTCTGTGGTGGAATTCTTAATTTTCAGAACGTTTTGCAAAGTCCTAAGGACTTTTAGTAAGCACTGATGGGCAGCACTGATGATGTTACCTAGTTGGGTCGTGAAATGTCTGCAAGAAAACTAGCAAGCTCAGAGAGCACCAAAGACCCCCTCATTTCAACCCTGAGCTACAAACAGATGGATTTCCTGGTTTTTCCTTATTCCTTGTTTTGACAAGAATCTCTTCCTCCACTTTTGAGTGAGGCACAAGTGATCCCCCTGATAGAAGGAACGAACCCTCTGTTCAGAATGCCCCATCTAAAGAGGCTTAACGTCGCATGCGTTGCTATCACTAGATTCTCTCTTTTTATGCAGGAAGGAAAAGAACGCCGTGCAACTGGACGACGAAGGGGGCAGGACGTTTCTGCGAGTCCTGATTCATCTTATAATGCACGATTACCCTCCTTTGCTCTCAGGAGCCCTGCAACTCTTGTTTAAGCACTTCAGTCAGAGAGCAGAAGTGCTGCAAGCATTTAAGCAGGTACATCCCACCAGAATGTTGGTTTAAAGCAACGGTTCTCAACCTGTGGGTCGGAACCTCATTTGGGGTCGAACGACCATTTCACGGGGGTCGCCAAACAACGCAGTCCGCCATTTTTTCCCCCCTTTTCCTTAGCTGTGCTACTCCCTTTTATTCTATTGGCTTTTGAAAGCCAATAGAATAGACTCTCTTGAATAGAGTCTAATTCTATTGGCTTTCAAAAGCCAATAGGAATTGTCCAGGCTGTCTCTGCCCTGCTGAGCCCGCCAAAAGTCCCATTCTGCAAACGGTGCTGCACCAGTTGAGTAGTCCTCGACTTACGACCGGTTGAGTACTCCTTGACTTACGACCGGTTGGGGGTCGCGGCATTAAAAAGGTTGAGAACCACTGGTTTAAAGGGAGAGGGGAAATTTCTCTCGTCCAATCGTGTCCATCTTTAGGAGGTGGTCCTCATCTCCGTTTCTTAGCCGAGGGAGCCAGCATTGTCCAACGACATTTTCCATAGTCATGCGGCTGGCATGACTAAACCCTGACGTGCGTGAAATGCTATTACTTTCCCACCAAAGTGGTACCTATTTATCTTCTTGTGCTTGCGTGCTTTCGAACTGCTAAGTGGGCAGAAGCTGGAGCAAGGAACGGGAGCTCACCCTATCGTGCGCCCTCGGGACTTGAACCCAGTCTGTCAGTTCTCCATCTGACAAGCTCAGCGTCTTAACCGCCGAGCCATCGTGCCCCCCCCCTAAATGTTGGTTTAGCACACTGCATCAACCTATCCTTCAGTTGTTACAGGAGATAAATGTCTGCAAGCGTGCTTTATGGTGATACTGTAAGATTTGTGCAGTTCCTTTACATGGTGAGTCAAAGCTGCTGTTTTGGGTCAGGTTAGAATGTTCCTTTTCTGTGGAGAAAAAACAGAGCATTATAATATTCCCATTTTGAATGCTATTTCTTCTGAATCTGTATAAGCATTTGTCTACGACAAGTAACACAGTCTTCAACAGTCAAGGAACACTTTCACTGTATAGGGCAGTGTTTCCCAAACTTGACAATTTTAAGGCATGAGGACTTCAACTCGTAGAATTCCACAGCCAGCAACGCTGGCTGTGGAATTCTGAGAGTTGAAGTCCACATGCCTTAAAATTGTCAAGTTTGGGAAACACTGGTATAGGGCATGGGTAGGCAACCTTGGCTCTTTTATGACTCGTGGACTTCAACTCCCAGAATTCCTGAGCCAGCCATGCTGAGGGGAAAGGGAAAGATTTCCAAGCTGAGCCATGCTGGCTCAGGGATTCTGGGAGTTGAAGTCCACAAGTCATAAAGCGGCCTAGGCCTAGGTAGGCAACCTTGGCTCTTTTATGACTCATGGACTTCAACTCCCAGAAATCCTGAGCCAGCCATGCTGAGGGGAAAGGGAGAGGTTTCCAAGCTGAGCCATGCTGGCTCAGGAATTCTGGGAGTTGAAGCCCACAAGTTATAAAAGAGCCAAGGTTGCCTATCCCTGGTATAGGTAGTGCTTGACTTACAACAGTTCATTTAGTGACCGTTCAAAGTTACAACGGCATTGAAAAAAGTGACTTATGACCATTTTTCACACTTACGACCATTCCAGCATTCCCCCATGGTCTGGTGATTAAAATTGGCAACTGATTCATATTTACGACGGTTGTAATGTCCCGGGATCATGTGATCCCCTTTTGCTACCTTCTGACCAGCAAAGGCAGGGGGGAAAACAGATCCACTTAGCAACCATGTTACTAACTTAACAACTGAAGTGATTCACTTAACAACTGTGGCAAGAAAGGTTGTAAAAAATGGGGGCAAAATTCACTTAAGAAATGTTTCACTTAGCAAAGCGAAATGTTGCTCAATTGTGGTCATAAGTCAAGGATTATTTTACATCAATTTCTATAGAACTTCAGGGCTGATGTAGATATTAAGTTTCAAAACTGGAGTGACCCCAACTTCGTTAATAATTTTAGTAAGCCAAAAAGCCTCTCAGTCAGTTTTGCCTATGATAACAATATAGAAACTGAGAGTGAAAATCTTTTGAAGATACTGGAAGCCTCTTGTCAGAAAATGAATAATGTACATGTGATTACAGTTACATGTACACACTTACACATTCCCTGGAAAACATTTCCAAATGTTCAAGAAGAGATTTGGATGCTTATCAGCAAATGAATACAAGGAAAGCAGCCTAGAATTTCTTTATTCACCAAAAGCAGGAGAAGAAAACAAAATACTGTTTTTTTTTATTTTGTTATGCTTATCAGTGTCTAAAAATGTAAAAGAGTGTGGATATGAAACCATTTGTACTTTATTTATTTTTCCAGATGTGTAAAAAGTAATTTTTTCCGAGCGTTTTTCAAAAGCGCCGTTTGCTAACACGACATCACAAGCAGATGAACAGACCTTTGGGGTAAATTGTCTTACATTTGATGCAGTGAAGCTTTTGTTGAATTCTGAATATTTTACAGGTCCAATTGCTGGTGTCTAACCAAGACGTGGACAGTTACAAGCAAATTAAAGCTGACCTTGACCAGCTAAGACTGACTGTGGAAAAATCAGAACTTTGGGTCCAAAAAAGCAGTAATTATGAAAATGGTGTATTGGGTGAAAATCAAACAAAAGGAAGCGATGAACCTATAGAAGTGAGTTTTTTTTAGCTTTGATCCTCTACATCACTTCCTACTTTCATTTTCCTAGGCTTTGACAGTTTTGCAAGGTTTGTTATGTTTTTGTTATTATTATTATCTTACATTTATTATAACTACCATTCTAGACAAATCTCTTCTCTTCTCTTCTCTTCTCTTCTCTTCTCTTCTCTTCTCTTCTCTTCTCTTCTCTTCTCTTCTCTTCTCTTCTCTTCTCTCTGGCTAACAACAGTTCACAAAGACATATAAAATAAAACCTGAGATGCAAATACAGCCTTAGTTAATAATCATAGCACAAGTAACTGCTTTACGTGACAGCAATTTAAATTTTGCCTTTTGACTCTTCCTTGAAATTACAGGATTCAAGCATGTTAAGTCCAGTCCAGGATGGGAGTAAGAAACCTCAGATCGATACCAATAAGAGTAACAACTATAATATAGTTATGGAGGTATGTTGAAATATTACAGTAAAATTGTACATTTTTTTAGTAAAATGAAAACAGACGAGGAGATCCAAACTCACTGGTAGCCTCACACTGCAGTGAACAAGGACATACGTTCAATTTCGCAGTTACTAAGATTGTTGGCTGAGCAGGTACAAAAATAGCCAGGGAAACATTTGAAGCCTGGGAAATCAGGGAGTGCTGATTTACCACCGGCTGATCAAGTAGGAGCTGAGGGCTTGGCAGCACAAGGAAACAACAGCCAATTGCCAGCCCTCAACACACCAATAGGAAGGCACTACATAAATACAACTCACAGAATAGCCCAAAGCTCATGTTTTAGTAGAGAGAAATCTCTTGAAGTTGGGCTCCAGCACGGGTCCGAAAGCTCGGCCGATTGAACCTCTGGTCCTAGTGAACAACTAGATTGGATCTTATCCCAGGACATGTATGTTTACCTTCATTTATGAAAAAAAAAGATGTCTAATATGTATTACTTTTTAATCCACAGATTTTGATCCGATTACGGGGGCTCTGCATTCAAAATAAAAAATGTCGAAATCAGCAGCAGCGCTTGCTGAAAAATATGGGAGCCCACAGCGTTGTGTTGGATCTTCTTCAAATCCCCTACGAGAAGGTAAGGGTGGGATATATTAATGTAAATAATTAAATTATTATAATTAAGGGAGGTTATTTTCACTTTCAAACTCTTACCATCATGAAGCAAAAATCGAAATGTGGGGTTTTCAGTTTGGGCTGTTAATGGACATGGATTAGCTGGACATCTGCAGATAATCCTCGACTTACGACCATAATTGAGCCTAAAATATCCGTTGCTAAGCAAAACAGTTCTTAAGTGCATTTTGCCCCGTTTTGCGACCTACCTTGCCACAGTTGTTAAGTGAATCACTGCAGTCGTTAAATTGGTAACCCGGTGAATCTGGATAAGTTAAGTGAATCTGGATTCCCCTTTGATTTTGTTTGTCGGAAAGTCGCAAAAGGGGATCACGTGACCCCCGGGACACGGCAGCCGTCATATGTACATGCCAGTTGCCAAGCGTCTGAATTTTGATCACGTGACCGCGGGATGCCTGAATGGTTGTAAATGTGAAAAATGGTCATAAGTCCCTTTTTTTCAGTGCCGTTATAATTTTGAACGCTCACTAAACGGACGGTTGTAAATCGTGGACTGCTCGCAGACAAAAGATTTGCAGAGTGGTAAAATAAATTATTAAGACACTGGCCTGGCTTTTTTTTTTTTTTTTTGCAGAAATGAAATGAAATTTTCTCAAGTTGCTCATTATTTTAGAAAAGTGTCTTTCATCTAGCATGCAAGATGAAATGTAAAGTTGCTTTGAGAACATACAGTAGTGGCCAAAATGGTGGAAACCTTTTGGGAAAAGTGTCCAGTAAAAATGCCACCTTTGGTTAAGTTTCCACCCATTTTCCTTCTAATTTCTTTATAACTGTAGCCTTGTTCACTTAATAAATACTATTTTACATTGCTTTCTGGGCGACCAGTCAACTCTTTGCACCATTACTTTAATTTTATTACGTTTTACAAGCTCACTAAATGAAAGAACACAAAAGAAACCCCAATCAACTTGATAGCCATCATATAACACACTGACAAATGTCCTCCTCTCAGCTTCAATATAGGACATCGATCACTGAATCCTACTGTGATCTGATTGGCTCATTGCCAAAACAAGATGACACCTGATTGGCTCTCTAAGCACTCACACTCATTGGCTACAGTCAGATGAAGGAAAGCTACCTGATATCAACCTAAGCAAGTTGTGCTTCCTTTTTCTGGTTATTTGGCTATAACTTTTCATAGAATACAGTACAGATAATTGAACAAACTATGTTGCATTACATTCTTGATTAAATTATCTTTCCATTAATATATGGTTTTATGGTACTACTCCCAAAAAAAGTGGTGTTGTTAGCCATCCAACTTCAAAAATACACTTTTCCCAAAAGGTTTCCACAATTTTGGCCACTACTGTAGTTGTAATAGTGTTTTATTTGGAACTATTTTAGTAACTATGCTCTTAATTATTTTTGGACTCAATTTATTAATGTTTTACTCTGACAAACATGCACATATATCTACATGAATGAAATACTTAGTTTATTCAATGTCTTGCTTGTGCCTGGTCTCAGGGATGTAATAAATTTGAATTGAACATACACGCGAATCAAACAAACATGGATTGTTTGCCGTGGACTCTGCCAGTGTTGACTGACTACCAAACACGTAATGTGTTAGAGTTCACCTCTGCCAATATTAACGTCTAATTTTTTTTGCTTTTTGTTGGTTCACCTCACAACTGAAATAATGACTGCGACTGAAGACTGACCAAAAGATGAATGAAATTATGACCTTAGCTCACCTCTTTCTTCAGAACTTCTGTCGTGGCAACCCTCAGAATCAAATCCTTCTTCATAAACACCTCAACCTATTCTTAACCCCTGGGGTGAGTGTTTAATTACGGATGAGTTTCTCACTGGAAGGGACGGTATTTGTATCCCAAAAGATTGCATGATTCTGCACATGAAAATTCAAGGCTATGAAGGGGCCTTGGTGCTGTCTGAGCTTGGCTGATTTCTTGAAGTTGCTTCATTACCATACTAGGTAACATCATCAGTACTAACACAGTGCTGCACTGGTGATGTTATCTAGTTTGAGTCATGAAACATCTGCAAGAAAGCAACCAAGCTCAGAGAGCACCAAGGACCCCATAGTCATTCTCCTCCTCCTCCTCCTCTTCCTCCTCCTCCTCCTCCTCCTCCTCCTCTCCACAAACCCTACTCCCTTCTAGCACTGATGATGTTACCTAGTTTGGTAATGAAACGTCTGCAAGAAAACAGTCAAGCTCAGAGAGCACCAAGGACCACATAGTCTTTCTCCTCCTCCTCTCCGCAAACTCCCTTCCCTTCTACCACTGATGATGTTATCTAGTTTGGGTCATGAAACATCTGCAAGAAAGCAACCAAGCTCAGAGAGCACCAAGGATCCCACAGCTGCCCTCCTCCTCCTCCTCCTCCTCCTCCTCCTCCTCCTCCTCCTCCTCCTCCTCCTCCTCCTCCTCCTCCTCCTCCTCCTCCTCCTTTTCACAAGCCCCCCTCTAGCAGTGGTGGTGTTATCTAGTTTGGGTCATGAAACATCTGCAAGAAAACAACCAACCTCAGAGAGCACCAAGGACCCCTTGTTTCAATCCTGAGCTACAAATATTCTCCTTTATTGGTATTCGGGGCTATTTTTTCTTATTTGAAAGATTAGGATAGAACAGTAGGCCTCCTTTCTTAACTCCTATTTGGCGATGTTGTCCCACCGCTGTGACGATTCTCTATTGATCAGTTTCGATTCAACCTCTTCAAGGCCCGAATTTTTAGTCTGATTTAAAATATGGAGAATTTTAAACAAGACTAAATTCTGGCCTTGAAGAATAAAATGCGAGGGAGAGAGAGAGAGAAGTTATCCGACGTGGGATTAGCGTTCTTCCTGTTAGTCAATGTTACATGTAAATTACCACTCACATTATCGTGCAATCTTTTTTTTTCTTCTCCATTTTTAAATCAGCTTCTGGAGGCTGAAACCATGCGGCACATATTCACCAACAATTACCATCTGTGCAATGAGATTAGCGAGCGGGCGGTGCAGCATTTTGTCCACTGCATAGAAACGCACGGCCGCCATGTTGAATATCTGCGTTTTTTGCACACCATTGTCAAGGCCGATGGGAAATACGTCAAGAAGTGCCAGGATATGGTTATGACAGAGGTAGGTTAAGGGAGAATAGCTTGACTCCCTCTTTTTTGTGGCAGCCCCTGAGATACTAGAACACTGCTATCATGTCCCCCCTCATCCTTCTCTTCATTAGACTAGACATACCCCATTCCAGCAACCTTTCCTTATATGTTTTAGCCTCCAGACCTCTAATCATCTTTGTTGCTCTTCTCTGTACTCTTTCTAGAGTCTCAGCATCTTTTTTACATTGTGGTGACCAAAACTGGATGCAGTATTCCAAGTGTGGCCTTACCAAGGCATTGTAAAGTGCTATTAACACTTCACATGATCTTGATTCTGTCCTTCTGTTAATGCAGCCCAGCACTATGTTGGCTTTTTTGGCAGCTGCAGCATACGGTTGGCTCCTATTTAAGGGATCGTCCACTAGGATTCTGAGATCCCTTTCACAGTTACTACTATTGAGCAAGGAACCACCTATACTATACCTGTGCATTTGGTTTTTCTTGCCTAAATGTAGAAACTTGCTTTTTTCCCCATCGAATTTCATTTTGTTAGATAGCGCCCTATGTTCAAGTCTGTCCAGATCCTCCTGTATCCTAAGCCTGTCTTCTGGAGTGTTGGCTATTCCTGCCAGCTTGGTGTTGCCTGCAAATTTTATGAGTTCCCCATCTATTCCCTCCGATTTTAAAGAAGAGATTGGACAGCCATCTGTCTGTATTAGTATGGGGTCTGTCTGCTGCTCAAGCAGGGGATTGAACTATGACAGTGGTGGTGAACCTATGGCCGGGTGCCAGAGGCGACACTCAGAGCCCTCACTGTGGGCACGCAAGCCATCGCCCCAATCCTAGGCCTTCAGCTGGGTTTTATAAAACCTTTTCGCTTTAGGCCTCCGCCGCCGTGTGCAAAAAAAAAAAAAAAAAAAGATTCAATCAATCAGTCAATTTTAACTTCTCGCGGGGAAAAAACAAGATCTTGCAAAGTTGGAATTGATTGATTGAACTTTTTAGTCCCACCCAGTCTGCCGTTACCACCAAAGCCACGCCCACCCAATGAGCCACACCCCCAATTGGCCACACCCAGCCAATGGGCCACACCCACCCGGCACCCGACGATACATAAGTGGGTTTTGGGTTGCAGTTTGGGCACTCGGTCTCTAAAAGATTTGCCATCACTGAACTAGGAGACCTCTAAAGTCCTTTCCATCTTTGTTATTCTGTTACTCCGGATGAGAAATAATTCCAGGTCTCCTTTCAGCTGGTCAATGGAGGTGAAGATGTCTTGGTGTTCTACAATGACAGAGCGTCTTTCCCAGCCCTCCTTCAAATGATGTGCTCGGAGCGAGACCGCGTAGACGAGAGTGGACCTCTGGTTTACCACATCACCCTGGTGGAACTGTTGGCAGCCTGCACAGAAGGCAAAAACGTCTACACTGAGATCAAATGCAATTCTCTCCTTCCTTTGGATGACATCGTGCGAGTGGTGACGCATGATGACTGCATACCTGAGGTAGGTTGAACGCGGCTGCGATGGTCTTGAAATAAGGTGGCCTTTTGATATCGGACGTTGCTGAGGTAACCCGAGTTTTATCTGAGCCCGTCTTTAGACTACAGAAACAGAACAAACAAACAAAAATGAATAAGAAGATGAATCTTGATTGCACGTTGAGCAGTCATGCCAAAAATAGGCCTTCTGCTTTGTTGATTTAACTCTTACAGCAGTTACAGCGAAAGAGTTAAATCAAGAAAATAATAATAGCACTTAGCAACAACAATTGCACTTAGACTTATATACCGCTTCACAGATAGATAGATAGGGAGAGAGAGAGAGAGAGAGAGATGATGGATAGATAGATATAGATAGGGATAGATAGATAGATAGATAGATAGATAGATAGATAGAGAGAGAGAGAGAGATAGATAGATAGATAGATAGATAGATAGATAGATAGATAGATAATGGATAGATAGATAGATGATGGATAGATAGATGGATAGCAATAGCAATAAGACATATACCGCTTCACAGATAGATAGATAGATAGATAGATAGATATGATAGATAGATAGATATAAATAGGGATAGATAGACAGACAGACAGACAGACAGACAGATAGATAGATAGATAGATGATGGATAGATAGATAGAAGATGGATAGATAGATGGATAGCAATAGCAATAAGACTTATATACTACTTCACAGTGCTTTACAGCCCTCTCTAAGCGGTTTACAGAGTTAGCATGTTGCCCCCAACAATCTGGATCCTCATTTTACTGACCTCAGAAGGATGGAAGGCTGAGTCAGCCTTGAGCCCTGTCAGGATCGAACTGCTGGCAGTGAGCAGAGTCAGCCTGCAATGCTGCATTCTAACCACTGCGCCCCCACAGCTAGAATAGAAATAGAAATAGCACTTAGACTTATATACCACTTCACAGTGCTTTACAGCCCTCTCTAAGCAATTTACAATGACAGCATATTGCCCACAACAATCTGGGTCCTCATTTCAGGATGGAAGGCTGCTGAGTCAACCTTGAGCTAGCCAGGATCGAACTGCTGGCAGTGGGCAGAGTTAGCCTGCAATACTGCATTCTAACCACTGGGCCACCACGGAACTTTAATTAAGCCATTAATTAAAGCAATAAAACTGATCTCCCCTAAAATGGTAACATGGTTTGGAAACTGGGGTAGGAAAAGTCACAAAAAACAATGGTTTGCCATTTAAATGAAGATGGTGTGTCAGTGGTTCTCAACCTTTTCTTCACCATGGACCCCTTTAAATACCTTTTGTGGTCATGGACCATGGCCATGGATCACCAAGACTTAACTCAAGATATAAATCATAACATTTCTTCAAGCCGTCACAGATTCCCTGTGATGGCATTGCGGCCCCCGAGGGGTCCACGGACCACATTTTGAGAACTACTGTGGTATGTCATTCTTCGTCCTTACTAATTGCACCCATCTTGAATAATCCTGTTATTATTAGGGGCCGTAGTGGCACAGTGGTTAGAATGCAGTATTGCAGGCTAACTCTACCGACTGCCAGGAGTTCGATCCTGACCAGCTCAAGGTTGACTCAGCCTTCCATCCTTCCTTCCGAGATTGGTAAAACGAGGACTCAGATTGTTGGGGGGGGGGCAATAGGTTGATTCTGTAAACTGCTTAGAGAGGACTGTAAAGCGGTACATAAGTCTAAGTGCTATTGCTCTGGCTATTACTAAAAAGAAGACAAATTATTATCCCCAAGTAATAAAGGTTTGAAAGGGAAGCATTGTCTTAGATTCTGTAACTGTAGCACAAAACTTTGCTGAATGGTTGCGATATATCTGTCAGTGGGAAAATCCAGTGGCCGTGCTTCTCTTTTGCATCAATGAAAATTTCTTTGAACTTCCAGATCAAGATTGCATATGTCAACTTTGTCAATCACTGCTACGTGGACACTGAAGTGGAAATGAAGGAAATCTACACCAGCAACCACATCTGGAAGCTGTTTGAGAATTTTCTGGTTGACATGGCAAGGGTAAGCCTTTGGATGTCTTTCAGAAATCTGATTAAGTGGGTTTTTTTTGTTTTTTGTTTAATATTTAAACTTACCTTGCTATCTAGCTAAATAGAAAGAGAACTTTCTTTGGAATTGAAGTCCACACATCTTTAACGATGCGGAGGTTGGAAAACACTAGAATTAAGTCATGCAAGTGTTCTTCAAACCAAGAATTGAACTTGATATTAAAAATGATTTTAAAATAGATGGATGGATGGATGGATGGATGGATAGATAGATAGATAGATAGATAGATAGATAGATAGATAGATGAGATAGATAGAGATGGAGATAGATAGATAGATAGATAGATAGATAGAGAGAGAGAGAGAGAGAGAGAGAGAGAGAGAGAGAGAGAGATGAGATAGAGAGATGGATATAAATAGATGATAGACAGACAGACACATAGATGATAGATAGGGAGATAGATAGATAGGGATAGAGAGACAGAGATATAGATAGGTAGGTAGATAGGTAGGTAGGTAGACAGATAGATAGATAGATAGATAGATAGATAGATAGATAGATAGATAGATAGATAGATGATAGATTGATAGATAGAGACAGACAGACAGACGCAGACAGATAGATAAGATGATAGAGATAGAGAGATGAGATAGATAGATAGATGAGATAGAGATGGATATAAATAGAATATACATACACACACACACACATATGGATAGATAGATAGATAGATAGATAGATAGATAGATAGATAGATAGATAGATAGATAGATAGATAGATATAGATGAGATAGAGATGGATAAAAATAGATGATAGGTAGATGATAGGTAGATGATAGATAGATAGATAGATAGATAGATAGATAGATAGATAGATAGATAGAGATAGATGAGATAGAGATGGATAAAAATAGATGATAGGTAGATGATAGGTAGATGATAGATAGATAGATAGATAGATAGATAGATAGATAGATAGATAGATAGATAGATAGATAGATAGAAAGATGGATGGAGGGAAGGAAAGCTTTACATTCTTTAAGCCCTTAAAAAAAGGAAAATAGGAAAACCCCTAGAATTCTACTGACTATTGTCATGTCTGCTGCACTATGTTTCTGACTTAAAACCTGATGAACGAATGGAGTGTTGTATCTTTTTTTGATTCTTCATATCGTCACTTTTTTCCACAAATAGGTTTGTAACACCAATACAGACAGGAAACATGCTGATTTATCTCTCGAAAAATATGTCACCGAGCCAGTAATGAGTATAGTCAGCGGCTTTTTCAGTTCTCCGTTTTCAGACAACAGCACAAGCCTCCAGGTAAGAAGCTGGCGACAGAGACAACTAGCCGTGATGCCACATCATAGAGCAGTGGTTCTCAATCTTTCTAATGCCGTGACCCCATAATACAGTTCCCCATGTTGTGGTGACCCCAACCACTTATACATCACCGGGTGCCAGGGGCGTGGCCAAAGAAAAGGGGAAAAAATGGCGGACAGCCTTGTTTGGCGACCCCCGTAAAATGGTCGTTCGACCCCAAATGGGGTCCCGACCCACAGGTTGAGAACCACTGTCATAGAGGCATTTGTGCCAAGTCGTGTTTATGTAACGTTTAACTAAAACTTCCCTCACAAAAATGCTTTTTCAGTACGAAGGAATAGCTCAAAGGCCACACACCACAATACATTTAGAGCCTTTCTGCATTTTGTGGTGCCTGGAGTACTTACAACAGTTACGCTTATAACAATTACAAGTACTGCACAGTGCAGAAGATGGGTAGTCCTTGACTTACAACCGTTCATTTAGTGACCATTCAAAGGCACTGAAAAACGTGACTTATGACCGTTTCTCACAGTTAAGATTTTTGTAGCCTCCGCATGATCACATAATCAAAGTTCAGATGCTTGGCAACTGGTTCGTACTTACGACCGTTGCTGTGTTGTACCAAGGCTCCCCTTTTGTGACCTTTTGTCAATGGGGAAGACAGATTCACTTAACAACCGGATTACTCACTTAAGAACTGCTTTAAAAAACTGTGGCAAGAAAGGTCGTACAATGAGGCAACGCTCAACAAACGTCTCATTTAACCACAGCAATTTTCGGCGCGATTGTGGTTATAAGTGGAGGACTGTCTGTTGGCGTCGTTTACCCAAAAGCTTAAAAAAAAAAAAAAAAAAAGCCAAGCTTGCATATCTTAATTCCTGATCTGGAATTCCTAGCACAAAGCTCTAATGCAGTGGTTCTCAACCTGTGGGTTGGGACCCCATTTGGGGTCGAATGATCATTTCACGGGGGTCGCCAAACAACGCAGTCCGCCATTTTTTTCCCCCTTTTCCTTAGCTGTGCTACTCCCTTTTATTCTATTGGCTTTTGAAAGCCAATAGAATAGAGTCTCTTGAATAAAGTCTAATTCTATTGGCTTTCCAAAACCAATAGGAATTGTCCAGGCTGTCTCTGCCCTGCTGAGCCCGCCAAAAGTCCCATTCTGCAAACGGTGCTGCACCAGTTGAGTAGTCCTTGATTTACAACCGGCTGAGTAGTCCTCGACTTACGACCGGTTGGGGGTCGCGGCATTAAAAAGGTTGAGAACCACTGCTCTAATGGAAAAAAAATTAAAACAAGTTGTCACCCTTGGTTGTGTTAAAAGGCAGTTCAGTAAGAGCCACTTGAAAAGGACGTATACGAAAATCCTTTGCAAACAGAGGAATATTTACAAGTGTGAAATAAATTGTAACACACGTATTTGTGTCTCATTTCCTGAGCGGGCAAATGTGCTGCTGTGGGAATGACTGTATTCCTTGTGTTGCTTCCTTTAGACACACCAGCCTGTTTTCATCCAGCTGCTGCAATCTGCCTTCAGAATTTACAACTGTACTTGGCCAAACCCAGCTCAAAAGTCTTCAGTGGAATCTTGCATCAAAACATTAGCTGAAGTCGGTGGGTAATTGCGAGTGTTCTTTTTTAATTCTTCCTTTCAGGAATCGGGTGGAATCTTCATTAAATTAGTTTAATGAAGAGAAGGACAAGGGGGGACATGATAGCAGTCTCAGGGGCTGCCACAAAGAAGAGGGAGTCAAGCTATTCTCCAAAGCATATTTATTATAGGCACAGGCATGTGTGTATGTACTGATACATTTTTAACGATGTTTTTCCAAAGCCAAGAACCGTGGCATTGCGATCCCAGTGGACCTGGATAGCCAAGTGAATACGTTGTTCATGAAGAGTCACACCAACATGATCCAAAGAGCAGCCATGGGTTGGCGGATGTCTGCTCGTAGCGGCCCCCGCTTTAAAGAACCCCTTGGGGGACCTTCGTGGGATTATAGGAACATCATTGAGAAGTTACAGGTATGCTATAAAATAGAGAGTCCAAATGCTCATTTAAAGCAGCATCTGGATAAGGGGAGTCCAAAATCGGCAACTTTTAAGACCTGTGGACTTCAACTCCCAGAATTCCCCAGCCAGCAATGGCTAACTAGAGAATTCTGGGAATTAAAATCTCCAGAGATTTTTCAAGTTGCCAAAGGTGGACATTCCTGGTCTAGATGATGACTGATCACCGTGTTTTTGAGATGTTGAATGAAAGCCACATAACGTATTGGCGTTAGACGTTGTAGTATATGCCTTCTATTTCCCCTTTCTCGAGTCATTTCCCTTGAAATGGCGAAAAGTTGAAAACGTTCATCCTGCTGGGTTTGTTAGAAAACTAGCCACACTTTATTATCCAGAGGCCTCAGCAAAGAATCTTTATTTTATTTATTGCCATTGTTTTAGGACGTAGTGGCCTCCTTGGAAGAGCAATTCAATCCCATGATGCAAGCTGAATTTTCTGTGCTGGTTGATGTCTTACGGAGCCCTGAACTTCTCTTCCCGGAAGGGAGTGATGCTAGAATTAGATGTGGAGCCTTCATGTGCAAGTAAGCTACGTACTCTAAAACCAGTGGTGGGATTCAAATGTGTGAACAACCGGTTCTCTGAGTGGATGCCGCTTCTGGACGTCCACTCTGGGCCTGGGCGACAAAAAAATTAGCTACCGGTTCTGCCGAAGTGGTGCGAACCGGCTGAATCCCACCACTGTCTAAAACAGTGTTGGCGAACCTATGGCACACGTGCCAGAGAGGCAGCACTCAGAGCCCACTCTGTGGGCACGCGTGCCGTCGCCACAGCCCCGCCTCCCCCCACAGCCCCCTCCTCACTAGCAGCCCCCCCGGAGGAAAGTTGCCCCTGGGCACGGCCCGGGTGGAGCAGCACAGGCAAGGACATGGCAGCCGGGCATCAGGGACAAGACTCTGCCCTTGCGCCCCGTCGCGCGCAGATGATGCTGCAGGGCACGGGCGAAGGGCGTGGCCACCATGGCACTGCTGCAGTTGGCCGTGGAGGCAGCGGGTGGCCCTGCAGATGGTGGGCAGAGCAGAGGGAGAGCGGGCAGTGTGGGGGAAAGTGGGCAGGGCGGTTTTTGGGCACTCGGTGTCTAAAAGGTTCACCATCACTGGTCTAAAACATATTTGACTGCTCCGTTTTTATGGAGTCCTTGGTGGTCTGTGAGTTTGGTGGTTTTCTTGCAGACGTTTCATGACCCAATTAGGTAGCCTCATCAGTGCTAGAAGGGAGGGGAGCTTGCTCAGAGATTTGAACTGTGGGGTCCTTGGTGCTCTCGGAGTTTGGTTGTTTCTTTGCAGACGTTTCATGACCCAGCTAGGGAACATCATCAGTGCTAGAAAGAAGGGGAGTTTGCTTAGATATTTGAACTGTGGGGTTCTAAGTTCTCTTTGAGCTTGGTGGTTTTCTTGCAGACGTTTCATGACCCAACTAGGTAACATCATCAATGCTAGAAAGGAGGGGAGTTTGCTTAGATATTTGAACTGTGAGGTCCTAGGTACTCTCTGAGCTTGGTGGTTTTCTTGCAGACATTTCATCACCCAACTAGGTAACATCATCAGTGTTAGTAAGGAGTCGGGTTTGCTTTATTTTCCTTTAGAATAAAATAAGTTATCCTCAGTGCCAAATGTGCCTTCTGGTGGTTGATTGTGAAGACACGTTCCAAATGCAAATGGTTGTGTCTTTACAATAGCACTCATTCATGAACTACCCAGTATGAGTAAAAGTTGCAAACATAATATGAAAAAAGAGCAAAGAGAAATAATCGAGAGGGGCCCACAGGGCTTGGTGTTATATTTCGTCTCATGTTTTATCTTAAGGTTGATAAATCATACCAAACGGCTAATGGAGAAGGAAGAAAAACTCTGCATCAAAATCCTCCAGACTTTGCGGGAAATGCTTGACCAGAAAGATAGCTTCGTTGAAGAGGTAGGCCTGAATCTTATTCCTAAAAATTAGGTTGCATCGGCTGGGGCGTTTAAGCACAAAGCGCGCAAATCTAAGAGAGGATAAATGTTTTAATCTGGTTTCCGGGGCAAAGGGAATGGAATCTAGGGGAACATGTGAACCATCTTGAAAAAAGAAAACAAGCCATAAGATATAAGATAAGATGATAAGATAAGATAAGATAAGATAAGATAAGATAACATAACATAACATAACCTTTATTGTCATTTTTTTACTGTGGGCACAATGCACACATCAAAAATGAAATTTAGTTGTCCACTCTCAAAGTGAAACACATACATGACACACACCTAAACATACTATGTACAACATATGTATAGACCCACACCCCTACATATACATAACAAATAAATATTAAATACTGTCCATCTTGAAAATATAACAGAAGGAGGAAGCTTGAGAGTTCACAAGGTTAATGCTGTATGGAATGAAACTATGGCTGAATCTGGATGTTCTGCTTCGGATACCACGAAGCCCCCCCCCCCTCCCAGAAGGTAACAAGGAAAACAGGTCGTGAAGAGGATGTGTAGTGTCCCAGATAATCTTGCAGACCCTGCTCAAGCAGCGCTTCTGTGCTATGTCCTGGATGGGAGGGAGGGAACTGCCAATGATCTTTTTGGCCATCCTCACCACTCTCTGCACCGCCTTCCTGTCTGAAGCAGGGATGCTTCCAAACCCGACTGTGATGCAGGATGCTCTAAGTTGTCATTGTAGAAATTTGGTAAGGTTGGCTTTGCTCACAGAAATATGTGGATGGAAACTGATCAAGGAGAGAACCAACCAAGAGCTAAGGAGACATTTCCCAACAGTGAGAAGAATTAATCAGTGGAACAGCTTTGCCTTCAGACGTTGTGGGGTGCTCCATTGCTGGAGGTTTTCAAGAAGAAATTGGACAGACATTTGGCTGAAATGGTGTAGGGTAGTGGTTCTCAACCTGTGGGTCGGGACCCCATTTGGGGTCGAACGACCATTTCACGGGGGTCGCCAAACAAGGCTGTCCGCCATTTTTCCCCCTTTTCTTTGGCCACGCCCCTGGCACCCGGTGATGTATAAGTGATTGAGGGGTCACCACAACATGGGGAACTGTATAATGGGGTCGCGGCATTAGAAAGGTTGAGAACCACTGGTGTAGGGTTTCCTGAATTGGACTAGAAGACCTCCAAGGTCTATTCTAACTTTGTTATTCTGTATATAGTCTTCCAATATCTCAGGGGCTGCTACAAAGAAGAGGGTGGGTGGGTGTCAAGCTATTTTCCAAAGCACCTGAAGGCAGGACAAGAAGCAACGGGTGGCAACTAATCAAGGAGAGAAGCAAGCTGGAAATAAGGAGGAATTTCCTGACAGAACAATTAATCAGTGGAACAACTTACCTGCAGAAGTTGTGGGTGCTCCATCACTGAGGCCTTTCAAAAGGCCACACCTGGAATACTGCATCCAGTTTTGGTCACCACGATGTAAAAAAGATGTTGAGAGTCTAGAAAGAGCGCAGAGAAGAGCAACAAAGATGGAGGCTAAAACATATAAAGAACAGTTGCTGGAATTGGGTATGTCTAGTTCAATAAAAAGAAGGACTTGGGGTGACACGATACCATTGTTCCAATATCTCAGGGGTTGCCCCAGAGAAGAGGGAGTCAAGCTCTTCTCCAAAGCGCCTGAAGGCAGGAAAAGAAGCAACGGATGGAAACTAATCAAGGAGAGAAGCAACCTAGAACTAAGGAGAAGCTTCCTGACAATCTTCAAAGGAAAAAGAAGGAAGTCCAGTTGCCTCCTGAAAAAAAAAAAAGCAACACTGGGACATCAGTCCTGATAGGAAGAAAGAAGTGGGAACCAAGAGCTAGAGAAGAAGAGAAAGTGATGAGAAGAACACGAGAGAAGGGAAGCCACTTAGAGAAGATCTTAGTTGAACATTGTGGGTTTTTTTGTTTTTTTTTTTCTTCACAGCTGCAGAGCTGCCTCTGGGAAACTCATAGCCAGGAAGAGCTGCACAAAGCAACACCATCACAAGGTCAACCTGTTTATCAGGTGGCCTCACCAGATGGCAGCACTTGAGTGATTTTTGAGAGGTTCATCCCTAACAGAGTTGAGTTGAGGCTGGTTTGGGACTTGAATGCAAAATCTTGAAGGAATCCCAAGGGCTACCCACTCTTGGAAAACATCTCCGTTGGGGAAAAAAAAAGAAAATCCAGACAGGAGCACCCTGTTAGTGTGAAGGTAGTCCTCAACTTACAACCACAATTTTGTGCCTGAAAATTTTTGTTGCTAAGCGAGATATTTTTTAAAGTGAGTTTTGCCCCATTTTACAACTTTTCTTGCCACGGTTGTTAAGTGAATCGCTGCCATTGTTAAATTAGTCACACGGTTGTTAAGTGAGTCCAGCTTCCCCGTTGACTTTGTTGGTCAGAAGGTCGCAAAAGGGGGATCACGTCATCCCAGGACACTGCAACCGTCATAAATGTGAGTAAGTTCCTAAGCGGCTGAATTTTCCTTCCTTCCTTCCTTCCTTCCTTCCTTCCTTCCTTCCTTCCTTCCTTCCTTCCTTCCTTCCTTCCTTCCTTCCTTCCTTCTTTTTCCTTTCTTTCCCTCATTCCTTCCCATCTCTCCTTTCTTCCTGCTTCCTCCTTCCTCCCTCCCACCTTCCCTCTCTCTTTTCCTTCCTTCCTTCCATCCTTCTTTGTTTCTTCCTTCCTTCCTTTTTCCTTTCTTTCCCTCATTCCTTCCCATCTCTTTTTTCTTCCTGCTTCCTCCCTCCTTCCCTCCTTCCCTCCCACCTTCCCTCTCCTTTCCTCCTTCCTTCCTTCCTTCCTTCCTTCCTTCCTTCCTTCCTTCCTTCCTTCCTTCTCCTTCCTTCCTTCCTTCCTTCTTTCCTTCCTTCCTTCCTTCTTTTTCCTTTCTTTCCCTCATTCCTTCCCATCTCTCCTTTCTTCTTCTTCCTCCCTCCCTCCCTCCCACCTTCCCTTTCTCCTTCCTTCCTTCCTTCCTTTTTCCTTTCTTTCCCTCATTCCTTCCCATCTCTCCTTTCTTCCTTCTTCCTCCCTCCCTCCCTCCCTCCCTCTCTCCTTTCCTCGTTTCCTCTCTCCCTTCCTTCCTTTTTCCTTTCTTTCCCTCATTCCTTCCTATCTTTCTTCCTCCTTCCTCCTTCCCTCCTTTCCTCCCTCTCCTTTCCTCCTTCCTTCCTTCTTTCTCCTTTCTTTTCCTCATTCCTTCCCATCTCTCCTTTCTTCCTCCTCCCTCCCTCCCTCCCTCTCTCCCTTCCTTCCTTCCTTCCTTCCTTTCTAACTACCTACCTATCTTTCTCCTCCACTGCTCCCCCTCCACACCAAGGCTGAATGCCCCCTCCCACCCCCGCAAGGCATTTGACCTTCACGCAGCCTGCTCTCCAACTCTCCATCTGCTTCACTGGAGGGAGGCTGTTTTTTCTTCAAGGCACGTTAGGTGACTGATGCTTCGCTGTTCTACAGGTGGCAAGGGTTTACGAGGCCGTACTCTAGACCAACACCTGGGAATGCAGGTGGGCTTTGTGGTTGCGTGGTTTTCTCAATGCACAAATGCATCACACGGACTTTCAGATAAATACAGACGACTTGTGCAGCTTTCCTGCAACCAACAAGCCTTAGCGGCTTTTCTGAATTTCAATACAGGGAGTCGGAAGAATCCCACTGTTTAGTGATGCTTCTCCAGAAGAAAGGACCTCAGCACAGCCGTTAGACCTTTGTTTAAAATTTACACATTCCTGTTGTTCTCTTGGTGTTCTGTTCTTATCTCTGCGTCGCTATTGTTGCACAAAAGAGCCTTATTAACGGTTTACAATAAGGCCGTTATGCTGTTGCGTCAAAGCAATATTATGTGTTGCATAAGGACTGAGAGTCAGCTGAGTGCTACATTTACATTTCAGGTTGGTATACTTTTCAAAGCTATAAAGTCCTTTCAGGGGAAGACTGGATGGGAAGATCACACACTCCTTAATGTGAACAACAGCATTATTACTGCTTTATGTACAGTATCATCCCGGCTTTTAAATATGTTGTGAGGATGTCTTGTTGTTGTTAGTTGTGAAGTCGTGTCCTACCCATCGCGACCCCATGGACCACGTTCCTCCAGGCCTTCCTGTCCTCTACCACCTTCTGGAGTCCATTTAAGCTCACACCTACTGCTTCAGTGACTCCATCCAGCCCCCTCATTCTCTGTCGTCCCCTTCTTCTCTTGCCCTCAGTCTTTCCCAGCATTAGGCTCTTCACCTTCCTTCTCATTAGGTGGCCAAAGGACTTGAGTTTCAACGTCAGGATCTGGCCTTCTAAAGAGCAGTCAGGGTTGATCTCCTCTAGGACTGACCGGTTGAATCGCCTTGCAGTCCAGAGGACTCGCAGGAGTCTTCTCCAGCACCAGAGTTCAAAGTCCTCCATTCTTTGGCGCTCAGTCTTTCTTATGGTCCAACTTTCATAGCCATACATTGCAATTGGGAAAACCATGGCCATGAGGATGTCTGAAGAGCTTCAGTTCAAGGAGCTTTTTATAGGAAGAGAGTCTTCAATCAGAGATTTAGCCAGGTTGGATCAGCTTCCGATTGTCTCCTTGGCTAATTTTAACCTTGAAATGTAAGGGCCACTGGAATGCAGGGAGTCCTCATTTAACAACAGCCTTATACAGTAAAATGGAGATGTAAAAATACAGGTAGTCCTCAACAACAGTTCATTTAGTGACCGTTCAAAGTAACAACGGCACCAGAACAAGTGACTTGCGACCATTTTTCACACTTACGACTGTTGCAACATCCCCTGGTCACGTGATCAAAATTCGGACGCTCGGCAACTGACTCATATTTATGACGGTTGCAGCATCCCAGAGTCACATGATCCCCTTTTGAGACCTTCCGACAAGCAAAGGGAATGGGGGAGCCAGATTCAATTAACAACCCTGTTACTAATTTGCCAGCTGCAGTGATTCCCTTAACAACGGTGCCAAGAAAGGTCGTAAAGTGGGGCAAAATTCACTGAAGAAATGTTTCACTTAGCCACAGAAATTTTGGGCGCAGTTGCGATCGTAATTCGAGGTTTTCCTGTCACTCTCTGTAGCCAATCCTCAGCTTTGCCCTCTTTGCAGGTCTGCGAAGCTAAGGAAGGCTGAGGTCGGATGATAAGTGACTGATTTGCGTAACAACCAAGTTGCTGGTTTCAATGATGGTCATTAAATGAGGACCACCTGTATTGGCTACGGTTTCACATGTTCTCTTCCACTCAGGCATGAGAGCAAAGAGACCCATCGTACCTAGTCAGTAGCCCCATTAAATGACTTGGCCCTCTCAAACAGTTTAGCAGAATTCTTTGCCACCCAGAACTATTGAAAACCGCAATAGTTGTGCAAATGTTAACACCTGGCCAACGTAATTGTATCCTCTTGTCATATTTGGAGGGGAAGCTGTGAAGTTTTATTCCATTTAACCTCTGATTTTGCTCCCATGGAGCGCCGTCTTGGAATTCTTCTGTAGATGCAACTGAATTTTCTTGAAAACTCCTTGGAAAATTCTATTTAAGTGTGCCTGACCGCAAAGTCCTTTGTGTGTTATTGGGAATGGGCTGCACCTCTATTTGCAACTCCTTAGATTCTACGCAATCTTTTCTGGTTTATGCTGCATCTGTGGAGCCTGGCCACATAAACCTAGAAAAATGCAGTTTCTTTCACAACTATCCATAGATGAGTAGTGTTTTGTGATGCACTGTAGACTTGAAAATAAAATATCTAGGAATACATTTGCCTCCCTCTTTAATTCTTACCCTCTGTTTTGATGTTATTAAAGGGCAGCAACCTGCGAAAAATACTTCTCAATTGTTATTTTAAAGGAGACTATGGAGGGAGCATCAACGGTCCTCTGTCTAGCAACTACGGCAAACCCCTGCAAAGTGGAGGTAATTAGGATTTAAAACATTCTGGCTTCAGAACAGCTCCTCTTATTTTTGTTTTTCTAGTGTAGTTCGTGTGACTGTATTCATGTGAATAGAGAGTTACCGTAATTTGGTCTGATAGCTAAAGCACCAGGCTAGAAACCAGGAGACTGTGAGTTGTAGTCCCACCTTATGCATGAAAGTGACTGGGTGACTTTGGGCCAATCACCAGGAGATAGTGAATTCTAATCCTGCCTTAGCTGTGAAAGCTAGCTGGGTGACTTTGGGCTAATCACCAGGAGATGGTGAGTTCTAGTTCCGCCTTATGCATGAAAGTGACTGGTGACTTTGGGCCAATCACCAGGAGATGGTGAATTCTAGTTCTGCCTTATGCATGAAAGTGACTGGGTGACTTTGGGCCAATCACCAGGAGATGGTAAGTTCTAGTTCTGCCTTAGGCCTGAAAGTGACTAGGTGACTTTGGGCCAATCACCAGGAGATGGTGAGTTCTAGTTCTGCCTTAGCTGTGAAAGCTAGCTGGGTGACTTTGGACCAATCACCAGGAGGTGGTGAGTTCTAGTTCTGCCTTAGGCCTGCAAGCCAGCTGAGTGACTTTAGGCCAGGGGTGGGCAACCTTGGCTCTTTTATGACTCGTGGACTTCAACTCCCAGAATTCCTGAGCCAGCGTGGCTCAGCTTGAAAACCTCTCCCTTTTCCCTCAGCGTGGCTGGCTCAGGAATTCTGGGAGTTGAAGTCCACGAGTCATAAAAGAGCCTGGGTTGCCTACCTCTGGCCTAGGTCTAGGCCGCTTTCTGACTTGTGGACTTCAACTCCCAGAATTCCTGAGCCAGCATGGCTCAGCTTGGAAACCTCTCCCTTTTCCCTCAGCGTGGCTGGCTCAGGAATTCTGGGAGTTGAAGTCCACCAGTCATAAAAGAGCCATACCCCTGCTTTAGGCCAATCCCTCTCTCTCAGCCCAACTCACCTCACAGGATTGTTATTGTGGGGAAAATAGGAGGAGGAAGCTGTGTTAGATATATTTGCCCTGTCGAGTTACATATAATAATAAGGGCAGAATACGAATTAACTAAATAAATAAATCAGTAAGTTAGTAAGTAAATAAATACGAGATCCTCCCCCCCTAGAAAAATATTATTTGTTCAAGCACATTCTCAATTATTTCCCCTCTGCTTCTGATGTGGTGGAATGAGTGGAACCCAGGATATAACATCCTTTTGATAAAAAAATAACAGCTTCGAAGTCACATTTAGATACATGGATCATGCCCAATATTTGCTGATCTAGACATTTTAGCCTGGTCTGGCTAGATGCAATCCGCGCTATAATTCTTTTTCACCTCTCAGTTCAACAGAGAGGGAAACATATTTAAATCTCACTGATCTGGACCCAGTGGTGGGATTCGGCCAGTTTGCACCACTTTGGCAGAACCGGTAGCTAATTTTTTGTTGCCCAGGCCCAGAATGGACTTCCGGAAGCAGCATCCACACAGAGAACCGGTTGTTCACCTATTTGAATCCCACCACTGTCTGGACCCCTGGGCTTAACATCCCTGTTTATGGTTTAATTCTATTCTTTGAGCATATTACAGAGTGAAGAATATATATCAGAGTATTACTCCATAGGGCAGGACATCCAGCTCTTTCTTTTCTCTATAAATCTGATTTATTTTTTTTTTAAGATAGATAGGATGGTATGGGATGGGAAGGGAAGGGAAAGGGAAGGGAAGGGAGAAGGAAGGAAAGGAAAGGGAAGGGAGAAGGAAGAGAAGGGAGAAGGAAAGGAAAGGAAAGGGAAGAGGAAGGGAAAGGAAAGGGAGATGGAAGGGAAGGGAGGAAGAAGGATAAGATAAGGCAAGGCAAGACAAGACAAGGCAAGGCAAGGAAAGGCTTTAGAAGATAAGAGATAAGGGGAGAGAAAATGAGATAATCCTTAACTGAAATTTTAAGAATAAGTCTTTCTCTTTTCTTTCAAAAACGTCTTAATGTCCCAATGAACTTGTCAATTAAATCCATTAATTTCAGGGACCTTTTCGGGACAAGATGTGGACAAGGCCGGAGCCTCCATGCATGACATCCAATGTCTTTTGGATAAAGAAGGAGCTTCAGAACTGGTCACCGATGTCATTGTTAGTACCAAAAATGACCGGATATTCTCTGAGGCCATCTTGCTTGGCATTGCGTTGCTCGAAGGAGGAAACACCCAAATTCAGGTACATTTGGGAGGGTGATTTGTTAGTTCGGATACTGGTTAATAAGGAACACAATCCAGAGATGAAAACCACTTCAGAAGTGCTAGTCCTACCTTACTATCTTCCAGTTAATTTAACCCTCGAATTTTCTAAGGCAAGGAAAGAAAACAGGACCAGGGCTGAGAATTATTAGGAAAAAATAACTAAAAATATTACAGCAGGTATTGTAACGATATTTTATATATAAGCCACAGGGAACTGTCCCCTAGCTGACTTTTGTAAGCTGTAGTGTGTTATTTGTGTAATAGGGTTTTCAATAGAGAATTGTGTCCAGGTACAGGGGGTCCTTGACTTATAACAGCTCATATAGTGACCGCTTGAAGTTAGGATAGCACTGAACTGAAAAAAGTGATTTATGACCATTTTTCATACTTACAACCTTTGCAGCCATCCCCTCAGCCACATGATCAAAATTCAGATGCCTGGCAACTGGCTTGTATTTATGACGGTCGCAGTGTCCCGGGGCCATGTGATCCCCATTTGCGACCTTCCGACAAGCCAAATCCACGGAGAGTCACTTAATAGTCCTGTGACTAACTTAGCAATTGTAGCGATTCACTTAACAACTGGGGCAAGGAAGGTCGTAAAATGGGGCAAAACTCATTTAAAAGATGTCTCACTTAACAACAGACGTTTTGGGCCCCCTTGTGCTTGTAAGTCGAGGATCGTCTGTATTAATGGAGAAGGAATCTAGTGCCGTGTCTCCCCGAAAACAAGGCCCAGCAGTCTTTTTTATTTTATTTATTTATTTATTGACTCCAAAAGAGGCACCAGGTCTTATTTTCAGAGGGGCTGGCTTTTCCATGGTCTCATCTCGCACGCGTCACCCCCTAGCCTCCATTTCGCCATCAGAGGCCTTTCCTGAAGGCCTCTGATAGCAAAATGGAGGCCGGGGGTGGGGGGGGCTCCGCATGCGTCAATCCGGAGCTCCATTCTCAGCTGCAGAGGCCTTTCCTGAAGGCCTCTGATGGCAAAATGGAGGCTGAGGGTGATGCGCACACAGCCCACACCCCCGCCCTAGCTTGATTATTAGGTGTGCGCCTCGCTCCAAAACTAGGACTTATTTGGGGGATAGAGCTTATATTAGTCCCACTTCCAAAAATCAAGCTAGGGCTTATTTTCGGGGTAGGCCTTACTTTTGGGGAAACACGGTAGTACCTTTCCAGGCTAACGATGTTTAGTAAAAGTTTTTGTAAGCTACTGCGGTCTTCATCAAATTCAGTGAAGGAGCTAAACGGAACGGCATGTGTGAACAACCTTCCAAGACAGGAGAAAGAGCCACAGACTAAGCAACAGTCAGGGGGGGACATGATAGCAGTATTCCAATATCTCAGGGGCTGCCATAAAGAAGAGGGACTTAAGCTATTTTCCAAAGCACCTGAAGGCAGGACAAGAAGCAGTGGGTGGAAAGTAATCAAGGAGAGAAGCAACCTAGAACTAAGGAGAAACTTCCTGACAGTGAGAACAATTAACCAGTGGAACAGCCTGCCTCCAGAAGCGGTGAATGCTCCAACACTAGAGGTTTTTAAGAAGAGACTAGACAGCCATTTGTCCGAAATGGTGTAGGGTTTCCTGCCTGAGCAGGGGGTTGGACTAGATGACCTCCAAGATCCCTTCCAACTTTACTACTATTACTATAAGAAGCAAGAGAGCCCGTGGATGGAATAGGTGCATGGCAAATGTCTCAAAAGGAGCCCTAATTTCTTGGACTGCAAAGATAAGGGGGGGGGGAAGAGAGAAATTCTAGCAATACCGGAGGTCCTCAAGTTACAACAGTTTGTTTAGTGACTGTTCAAAGTTACAACAGCACTGGCTTATGACCATTGTTCACACTTACGACCATTTCATCATCCCCGTGGTCGCGTGATCAAAATTCAGACACTTGGCAACTGACGTCATATTTACGACGGTTGCAGTGTCCCCCGGGTCACGTGATCTTGTTTTGCGAACTGACCAGCAAGGTTAATGGAGAAGCTGGGTTCACTTAACAACTGTGTGACTAACTCAACAACTGCAGGTAGTCGCTGAACCATCTGTGGCGAGACAAGTTGTAAAATGCAGCAAAACTCACTTAACAGAAACTTTGGACTCAGTTGTGGTCTACCTGTATTCCGTTAATGTGATCTCACAATAAAGTTAGAGCTTTTAGGGGGTGCCTCTTATGTGGACTACCTCACAAAGCTGACGCTGGGGTGATTAGGATTTAAATTGGGAAGATAGGTAGGGGTGATGTGAAAAATGAAGGACAGGTTCTCTGATCAATTAATACAGGTTATGTAGGAGTACAGAGGACTTTATGAATTATCCATTTGAATGTGTTCAAACCCATCGTCCTTACTGAGTCCTTTTAGTGGTAGCCACGTCCTTTTTTTTTCCCGTTGTAATTTTTTCCCCTCTCTTTTAGTATTCTTTTTATCAACAATTAAACGAACGGAAAAAATCCGAAAAGTTTTTTAAAGTTTTGTACGATCGGATGAAAACAGCTCAGCAGGAAATTCGGTCCACGGTGACGGTAAACACAATTGATTTGAGCAGCAAAAAGAAGGACGAGGAAACAGACGTGACCCTGTCAGCTCCAAAGAAGAGAGGTAACCAGGGGAAAAAAAAAAAGAGGGGGGTATTTTTTTCCTTAGGCTGGTTTCGGTGCAGTCAGGAGAAAAAGAGATTTTGGTTAAAAAAAATGAAATAAATAAAAATAAGAGCACTTGTGTATTTAGCGTGGCCCACGTTGATATATACTACCTCAGCAAAAAAAAAACCTAATTAATAAATCAAGGTTTTCCTAAATCACTATTGTGTTTCTTAGGAATTCAAGATAGCCTATGTAAAACGACATACATCGAAGTACAATTCTACTGTTATAGAATTCATTTGTTCATTTTTCCATAAATTTATATGGCTGTCCTTCTCATATGTTGAGACTCAGTCTAGAAAGATGTTTAGACTCTAGAAAGAGTGCAGAGAAGAGCAACAAAGATGATCGGGGGACTGGAGGCTAAAACATATAAGGAACGGTTGCTGGGATTGGGTAGGTCTAGTTTAATGAAGAGAAGGACCAGGGGGGACATGATAGCAGTGCTCCAGTATCTCAGGGGCTGCCCCAAAGAAGAGGGAGTCAAGCTATTCTCCAAAGCACCTGAAAGCAGGACAAGAAGCAAAGGATGGAAACTAATCAAGGAGAGAAGCAACCTAGAACTAAGGAGAAACTTCCTGACAGTTAGAACAATTAACCAGTGGAACAACCTGCCTCCAGAAGCTGTGAATGCTCCAACACTGGAAGTTTTTAAGAAGAGACTAGACAGCCATTTGTCCAACATGGTATAGAGTTTCCTGCCTGAGTAGGGGGTTGGACTAGATGACCTCCAAGGTCCCTTCCAACATCATCATCATCATCATCATCATCATCATCATCATTATTATTATTATTATTATTATTATTATACATGACTCTAGGTAGCTAACAGTAAAAATGAATAGGAACAAAATAAAACACAATCAGTAATTTAAAAGGCACAAACAACTAAGTTTATTCATTTATTATTTTGATTATCCCTTTATTTATCTATATGTACTGCTCGACTTACGGCCACAACTAAACCCAACATTTCAGTTGCTGAGTGACAAATTTGTTAACTGAGTTTTGCCCCATTTTACGACCTGTCTTGCCACCGCCGTTAAGTGAATCACTGAAGCAGTTAAGTTAGCAACACGGTTGTTAAGTGAATCTGGCTTCCCCATTGACTTTGCGTGGCAGAAGGCCACAAAAGGGGATCACATGACCCCGGGATGCTGCAACCGTCATAAGTATGAGTCAGTGGCCAAGCGTCTGAATTTTGATCATGTGACCATGGGGATGCTGCAACAGTCGTAAGTGTGAAAAATGGTGATAAGTCACGTTTTTCATTGTTTTCATTCCTTTGAACGGTCACCAAATGAACTGTTGTAAGTCGAGGACTACCTATATTTCTTCATTATAGTTAGCTGTCATTCTTATAAATAAGGAACAAAAATTGTTACGGAATATTTTCCTGGAATAAATGCAATCTGTGAGACGCCAACTTTTTTAACCGCTCAAGTCGTTGGCGCCATGATTGATGTAAGACAGCCACGGTGAGCCATAAGGGTTGAGCGGTGAATTTTGATTTGATCTCAAAAAGGTTTATTGAAGCATGAAAGTAGCATTTATCTGTCATAACCTCAAACGGCACTTACCTCTCCCAGGATTTATGGGCACGGAGACGGTGCCACCAACAATTGTTTTGAGACTGTGTGAAGTAAGTATGTGTCAGGCACAAAGAATCAGGATCACACGTTAAGTTCCGGTGGAGACGATTTATTGCTCAATCAGCCTATACACAAGTATCTAGTCAGCTAATGGTCAATAGATAAGAGTCAATGGAATTCAAGAGGGTTGAACTTAGATTGTTTGTGGCAACGTAATGACTCTAGGCTAATTCCTTTCTTGACACTGACCCCAGGCTCTGCCTGTCCTTCTCCTACAGTATATGAAGTGCATATTCATCAATTGAATCAAACCACCAGATCTTCACTCCTGAAAGCATAGGAGTTGGAGACAGTGGTGGGATGCAAATATGTGAACAAACAGTTCTCTGTGTGGATGCTGCTTCTGGAAGTCCATTCTGGGCCTGGGCAACAAAAAATTAGCTACCGGTTCTGCTGAAGTAGTACGAACTGGCTGAATCCCACCACTGAACCAAACTTTTAAGAGCTGCTCTTATCCATTTTATTCTGTTAAAAAGAAAAGTTCTGGTCTCTATTCTCTATTAAGAAAGACTGCTGAAGAATTCTGAATTAAACTGTAGGCTGCATTTCCTGATCTGAAAGTACGGAGTATGTTCTGCTGTGCCCTAAAAGAACAATTCTTGTATTTTGATAGTCAGAAATTAACCCTACAAATCGGGACTTAACCATGTGTGGTAATCCTTGTTTCATTGGAGAGATAAGTGGCAAAAAACAAGAAATACAGGGACAAAATGGCATTTTAATTTCAAATTTGACACCTTGTTAGGCGACTGGTGGTCCTCAGATATTGCCATATCCTAAAAGTAGTACAATGGGTGAAAAAGTTGAAAAACCCTGCTCTACATCGCCAGGAGTCAGCATGGACTCAAAGGATCGACAGACAAAACCCCATCCTGCTCCTTACAGTCCATATTTAATTGCACTCATGTTTCTTTTCACTTATCTACAGTGAGGGATTCCAACCTGCATCTGAAGGAAGGAATGAAAGGACAATTGGCGGAAGCTTCCACGGCAACATCCAAAGCTTACTGCGTGTATCGCAGAGAAATGGACCCGGAAACCGACCTCATGGGTCCAGGGTCAGATGCGGGATGGGCGGATGAAAAATCTTCCGAAGAAATGGCCATGAGTCCCGCCATTGTGATCATGCAACCCATCTTGAGGTTTCTCCAGTTACTGTGTGAGAATCACAATCGAGAACTTCAGGTGGGCTATTGTTATAGTGTATTTTAGAGCTAAAGCTAATACAATCCCTGGGTTCTGCAAACAGAGGCATAGAATCAAAATCACGTGAAGTATTAGTACCGCTTTATAAAACCTTAATATGACTACACCTCGAATACCACACCTACACATATTTAAATATTTTGTAATACTGATCTAATGAATACTGGGTGGACCTGCAATAACCATGTTTTAGAGTAGGGGTCTTCAAACCTGGCCCTTTTCATGACTGGTGGACTTCAACTCCCAGAATTCCTCAGCCAGCGTGTCTGGCTGAGGAATTCTGGGAGTTGAAGTCCACAAGTCATAAAAGGGCCAAGTTTGAAGACCTCTGTTTTAGAGCCTTGAATTGAGTTTATAATGGTATAATCTGCTAGTTATGGTTTAGAGCAGTGGTTCTCAACCTTTTTAATGCCGCGACTCCCAACCGGTCGTAAGTCGAGGACTATCCAACTGGTCATAAATCAAGGACTTTCCCTGCCCAGGAGCGGTGCGCATGCGTGGTGCCGCCCCCTGCGCCGGCAGATACTCTATTGGCTTTTGAAAGCCAATAGAATTAGACTCTATTCAAGAGAGTCTATTCTATTGGCTTTCAAAAGCCAATAGAATAAAAGGGAGTAGCACAACTAAGGAAAAGGGGGAAAAATGGCGGACTGCGTTGTTTGGCGACCCCCGTGAAATGGTCATTCGACCCCAAATGGGGTCCCAACCCACAGATTGAGAACCACTGGTTTAGAGCAATTTATCTATTATTTGTTCAGCTATTTAACTATATATCATGCTGTGAATTGAGCCCAAGTCTAATCATTAAATTTACGGTCATGTCGACCACGGTACAATGTTAAATAGCCACAGTATAAACCACACTTTAAAAATCCATGCTAGACCATGACTTTGGTTCTTTTTTCAAACTGAGTTAAAAGAAGGAGACGTACACTCAGACTCACACCAAATCCCAACAGTTAAGTCTTCCAACCCTGGCTTAGCGTTACCTCTCATTTGAACCACTACCTATTTTTCCTCAGTTTGTCGAGTTGTTTGTTTTCTCCTTTTTCCAGAACTTTTTAAGAAACCAGAACAACAAGACCAACTACAACCTAGTGTGTGAGACCCTTCAGTTTTTGGATTGCATTTGCGGAAGTACCACAGGCGGGCTAGGACTTCTGGGCCTATACATCAAAGAAAAAAATGTAGCTTTGGTGAATCAAACCCTTGAAAGTTTGACTGAGTACTGTCAAGGCCCTTGCCATGAAAATCAGGTAGGTTTAGCCCCCAGAGAAGAATCTGAACTGAATGTGAACTCAGATTTTCTTTCTTCGTTTCAAAAATCCCTCATAAATAATAATAATAATAAAGTTATAAGAGACCTGCTCAGGCAGGAAACCCTATACCATTTCAGACAAATGGTTGTCCAGTCTCTTTTTAAAAACTTCCAGTGTTGGAGCAGTCACAGCTTCTGGAGGCAAGTTGTTCCACTGGCTAATTGTTCTAACTGTCAGGAAATTTCTCCTTAGTTCTAGGTTGCTTATCTCTGGTTAGTTTCCATCCGTTGCTTCTTGTCCTGCCTTCAGGCGCTTTGGAAAATAGCTTCCCTCTTCTTTGTGGCAGCCCCTGAGATATTGGAACTCTGCTATCTTGTCCCCCCTTGTCCTTCTCTTCATTAAACTAGACATACCCAATTCCAGCAGCCGTTCCTTATATGCTTTAGCTTCCAGTCCCCTAATCATCTTTGTTGCTCTTCTCTGTACTCATCCTATTCTATTCTATTCTATTCTATTCTATTCTATTCTATTCTATTCTATTCTATTCTATTCTATTCTATTCTATTCTATTCTATTCTATTCTATATCCTTGATTAGTTTCCACCCGTTGCTTCTTGTCCTGCCTTTGGGTGCTTTGGAGAATAGCTTGACTCCCTCTTCTTTGGGGCAGCCCCTGAGATATTGGAACACTGCTATCATGTCACCCCTCGTCCTTCTCTTTATTAAACTAGACATACCCAATTCCAGCAACCATTCTTTATATGTTTTAGCCTCCAGTCCCCTGTTCATCTTTGTTGCTCTTCTCTGTGATTGAAAACATGGCCTTTCTCTTGGGGAAATTGTGGTAAATGTGATAATTCTTCTATTGGTCGTTTAGATCCCCAATTCTTGCATACGTTTTTAGAACAGGGACCGGGGTCTGGATTCAATCCAGAGATGAGATCTCTCCCCCCCCCCATATGTTCCCGTAGATTGTATGATATCACGGGTTGTCGGGTCCTTGGAACTCTCTAAGCTCGGTTGTTTCCTGTAGATGTTTCATTACCCAACTAGGCAACATCATCAGTGCTAGAAGAGAGTGGGGTTTGCTCTCTACCATCCAAGAACTCAGACAAACAATCAAAGAGTAATCCCAAGGGTGCTTTTTCAAAAGCCAACTGGACTGTCTTTGCTTTTCCTTGAAGACGTTTCAGTTCTCATCCAAGAAATTTCTTCCGTTCTTCAGCAAACGTGGGAGCATTTGGGGAAGATTTGGAGCAATAAAAGAACTGTTTGAATTGTCAGCTGACTGCGTTGCCTCCGTGCTGTGCCCTGGGTCATCTTCTGTTCTTCTTCCAAACGTGGATGAGAAGTGAAATCTTTTCAAGGAAAAAAACCCCCAAGAAAATCCAGTTGTCCTTTGGGGCTGTCCATCATTGGTTTTTCTGTGCGGAGGAAATGGGAGCATAGCTGTCAGCAACGTCCTACGTGCCAGCAAGCACTTGATGCAAGTTAAATATTGAATTAGCATGCTCTGGTTTGCCGTATTTAGAGGAAAATGCCTGCCATGGACTCCCTCCAGTTTGCATGACCTTTTGAGGGAAGTGAGGATAGGCTGTTGGCTCAGTTTGTCCATTGTTTACTTTTTCTCCATTGTGTACTTTTTCCACAGGAGAAGATTTACAATGGTGCCGTTTACGGTGCATTTTGTCCACTGCTGTGCATGTTTTCCCTGGCAGAAAGATGCAAGACAAATGACTCCAATCCTTTAGGATGTCCCAAAAGGCAACTGGACGTTCTTTGTTTTTTCTTGAAGACGTTTTGCTTCTGATCCAAGAAGCGTCTTCAGTTCTGCTTCGAAATTCCCCGCCGTTCAGTCAGAACCGAAGGAGATTCTTGGATGAGGAGCAAAACATCTTCTAGCAAAACAAGAAGGTCCAGTTGCCTTTTGAAACAAAGCACCTTTGGGATCACCCCATTCCCTGCATGACTCAGACTCTCCTTAGATCAGACATGTCAAACACAAGGCCCGGGGGCCGGATGCGGCCCACAAAGTGGTTTCATGTGGCCCACGAAGCCATCCTGGAAACAGTGAGGGAATGGCCCCCACTGCCTTGTCCCTGGCCCAGGCCAGCTAGGAGCCAATGTACAATTTTGTGGTGGCCATCTCTGCTGAAACGTATTCAATCTTAGCTCCACAAGGCTGTCTGGAAACGGCTTGGTGCCGCAGGTGCTCGAGGGCCAGGCTGGGCGTTTGACCTCTGCTGCTCAGGGCTCTGGGCAGCCCGTGCCACCATCCAGCCCCCCACTCATGGCCTGAGAGGAACAGTGAGGCTCCTCCAGTGGACCATGCCTTGGCACTTGCTCTGGTCCCACCCCCTTCTGCCAGAGACCCGCAGATCTGTCCCACTCCTGCCCAGGCCCCCACAGGCATCCTTGACACGAACGATGTAGAGCTGGCCACGCCCACCCAGTAGGCCACACTGACTCTGTCCAAGGCCACCCAGTAGGCCGCACCCACCCTGGCCACACACCCCCAAGGGCAACCGCAATGCTGATGCAGCCCTCAATGAAATTGAGTTTGACACCTCTGCCTTAGATGGTTCCTTTAGGATATTATTCATTTTTCAGTAAAAGGGGGAAAGGAAGGGAACAATCTCTTATGCCATGTCTTGTTATTTTAAATTTCTTTCTTTCTTTGCCTTTTGCAGACCTGCATAGCCACCCATGAGTCCAACGGCATTGACATAATCATCGCCCTGATCCTTAATGATATCAATCCTCTTGGAAAATATCGGATGGACCTGGTGCTACAGTTGAAGGTATGGAATTCCACCACGTGTACATTGTCCCCACCTCCTGGACCTCATTGGGCTCCCACGGTTGCTGTCAACGCTGCTAACATTAGATATTTTTGCTTTGACAACAGTTTGAGATGCAACCATTTTCTTCTTATGTTTTACTTTTAGAGTTAGATGATGCTGGGGGGGGGGGGAGGAATGTGCATGAGAGTTTAGCTAGACATAACAATACTGGACCTAGTGTGTGAACCAAGGTTATTGAAATAAGAGATGATAAGAATTGGCAGGCTGGAGGTCTGGAGGGAAAGCCTGCATTTCAAACTAATTGGAGAATGTGATTTACGACTGTTCATTGGAGGAGGGACTTGTGCTTTGATACTATGTGCTCAGGGGAGATGCTATGCTACTCAAATAAAGATTCTTTAAGGTAAACAATGCCTGGAAGTTCTTTGAAGAGTTTCATCTGTCGGAACCATGACAGTTGCAATTAGAGATGTATGTAAGAAGGACAGAAGTATCTCATCCATGGTCAGGAGGAGAAGTGCACAGCCCTTGCCTACTCTTGGGAGAGTCAGCTCAGCTGCCCTAATTGCTGCTGTGCTGGTCCTAATGAGAGAGACAAGATCTGAACTTATATTCTGTACGCCAGTAAAGGAGAATATTTGTAGCTCAGGGTTGAAATGAGGGGTCCTTGCTGCTCTCTGAGCTTGGTGGTTTTTTTGCAGATGTTTGTGGTGCACTGATGTTGTTACCTGATTTGGGTAATGAAATGTCTGCAAGAAAACAGCCAAGCTCAGAGAGCACCAAGGACCCCACAGTCCTCCTCCTCCTCTTCCTCCTCTATGCAAACTCCACTCCATTCTGGTGCTGATGATATTTTTAATTAGTTCTGTAATATGGTGATAAAGCCATTATGTCTTACGTAAAAGGACAACCACAAATCCACAAAAAGATTCAAGGCATTTAAAAACTTTGTCTGATAAGGAACTCTGTGCCTGCAACTTCAGTTAAAGGAAAAATAAGAGTTATCAATCCACGAAATAGATTTTAACGGCATCTCAATTTGCCTTGATATTTTTTAGAATAATGCCTCTAAGCTTTTGCTGGCTATCATGGAAAGCAGGCACGACAGCGAAAATGCAGAAAGAGTCCTTTTCAACATGAGACCAAAAGAGCTGGTAAGAATCTTTTCACCTGGTTTTATAACTGAACACAGCCTATATATATCTTCAGGCTGGTGTTTTCGGCTTCGTGCTTCTAGGAGCAATTTTGCTCCTAGAAGCACAAAGCCGAAAACACCAGCCTGAAGATGACGAATGAGACTTTGTCAAAACGTCGCCAAGACACTTCCAATTTGACGCAGGAGAAAACCCGAATAACCAAAGACCTACATACAAACATATATATATTTATATATAAAAATATAAAAATTGAATTTTTGAGTTAGCAAGGTGGTTGTGACCCTCACAGTGACTAGATAGAATACAGGTGGTCCTTGACTTACAACCACAGCTGGGCCCAAATTTTGGGGGGCTAAGCGAGACATGTGTTAAGTGAATTTTGCCTCATTTTACGACTTTTCCCGCCACAGTTGTTAAGTGAAGCACTGCGCTTGTTAAGTTAACAACCCGGTTGTTAAGTGAATCTGGCTGCCCCATTGACTTTGTCTGTCAGAAGGCCACAAAAGGGGATCACATGACCCGGGACGCTGCGACCGTCATAAATATGAACCAGTTTGCCAAGGGTCTGAATTTTGATTACGTGACCATGGGGCAACGGTCGTAACTGTGAAAACCGCTCATAAAGTCACTTTTGTCTGTGCCGTTGTAACTTTGAGCAGTCATTAAATGAACTGTGGTTTAATACCACTTATGCTTGTTGAGGTTATACATTAACCGATTTAAAAAAAATAGGGTAGGATATAAAGAGATTATTTAACTGAGATTGGACCAAAGCATTAAGAATATGTAGACATTATTATCTGAAATGAAAGAAGGCTTAGAGCCAGTGGTGGGATTCTGCCAGTTCGCACCACTTCAGCAGAACCGGTAGCTAATTTTTTGTTGCCCAGGCCCAGAATGGACTTCCGGAAGTGGCATCCACACACAGAACTGGTTGTTCACATATTTGAATTCCACCACTGCATCCATGTCTGTCTCTCTGTATCTGTCTGTCTGTCTGTCTGTCTGTCTGTCTATCTATCTATCTATCTATCTATCTATCTATCTATCTATCTATCTATCTATCTATCTGTCAATCATATCATCTATATCTATTTCTCCACCTCTCCCTCTTTCTCTCTCCCTCTTTCTCTCCTCAATATCTATCTACAGTATCTATCTATCTATCTATCTATCTATCTATCTATCTATCTATCTATCTATCATATCATCGATATCTATTTCTATTGCTATCTATATCTATTTCTCCATCTCTCCCTCTTTCTCTCCTCAATATCTATCTACAGTATCTATCTATCTATCTATCTATCTATCTATCTATCTATCTATCTATCTATCTATCTATATATCTATCTACCATCCATCCATCCATCCATCCATCCATCCATGCAGTGGTGGGATTCAGCCAGTTCGCACCACTTCGGCAGAACCAGTAGCTAATTTTTGGTTGCCCAGGCCCAGAATGGACTTCCGGAAATGGCATCCACACACAGAACTGGTTGTTCACCTATCTGAATCCCACCACTACTTAGATCTCAGTCAATTTAATACAGTAATCAAAGAAATCTGTTCTCCAGGTGGACGTGATGAAGAACGCGTACAACCAGGGAGTGGAGAGCGATCAGGAAGAGGAGAATGGTGAAGAGAGTATTTCACCAAAAGATGTTGGGCATAATATCTATATATTAGCTCACCAGGTATGTGGTTGTGTTGCCTTTTTGGGCTTCGTAGGACAACTCCATATAGAAGTGGTCCCAAAATGTCTCACAGCATTCAGTAGCTCTCATAAGAGGGAGGCGGTTATAGGATTGTGCGCTTAAGCACCTCAAGGTTGGAAATACTCTCTAAAAAGTGTGTGTTATTTGTGTATGTTTGTGTAAGACAGGGGTCTTCAAACTTGGCCCTTTTAGTGACGTGTGGACTTCAACTCCCAGATTTCCTTAGCCAGCATGCCTGGCTGAGGAATTCTGGGAGTTGAAGTCCACAAGTCGTAAAAGGGCCATGTTTGAAGACTCCTGGTGTAAGAGATGAAGACAGAGAGAGAAATGAAATCCCTGGATGAATACAGGTAGTCCTCGATTTACGACCGCAACTGAGCCCGACGTTTCTGTTGCTAAGCTGAGACAGTTGTTAAGTGACTTTTGCCCCTGTTTACGACTTTTCTTGCCACCGTTGTGAAGTGAATAACTTTAGTGGTTAAGTCAGTAACACCGTTGTTAAGTGAATCTGGCTCCCCCACTTGCTTTGCTCGTCAGAAGGTCGCAAAAAGAGGATCACACAACCGCGGGGCACTGCAACGGTCATAAGTACGAGTCAGTGGCCAGACGTCTGAATTTTGATCACGTGACCCTGGGGATGCCGCAATGGTCGTAAGTGTGAAAAACGGTCGTTAAGTCGCTTTTTTTTAAATACCACTGCAACTTTGGTCACTAAATGAACTGTTGTAAGTCCAGGATTGCTGATGTTCATGAAAAAAAAGGCGGAAGAAATGAAGTTGCCCCAAGAACCAAAGCGTTTTTTGAAGAAGTTGCAAAATGTAGCACAAAGCCACGTGATATCCTCACGGAAATTGATTCATGGAAAACAGTTGAAAAATCTGGAGAAATGAACAGGGGGTTGGACTAGAAGACCTCCAAGGTCCCTTCCAGCTCTATTTTTGATTGATGGATGGATTGATTTTTTTTTATCTCCGTCGTATTTATTTTCTGCTTCCCCTTGTTCATAACTCATGGCCCCTCACCAGCCACAAAGCAATAAATCTCTGACTTCTGATGCATTTCTGGAACAGACTTCGCTCCATTAGGCTAAGTCTGCAGACCTTCAAAACTTGCCACAGTGAACATGATTTAGCTTGGGGTTTTTATTAAGGGAAATGAACAGAGGGTAGTAGTTGGTTTCCAATCTCTTCGCTGATTAGAGGAAGCCATAAAAACCAGACACAAGTTCTTTTCATTCTTATGTGGGCCGCCAGTTTATTTTAGAGGCATCCAGACTCTTAGTTTCAAAAGCTGCTTAAAAGGCAAGTAGCCGTTTCTACATCTTTTTTTTTTCAATGCAACATCCTTTCCTGTCATTACTTGTGGTTGAACTTACCAGAAAGAGAGGAAACAACTGATTTGTCCATGCGCTGGGAGGTATAAATAGGTCCCGAGTTAGTATGGCAAATAAGACAATGTGACATGTTGCCCAATGTGACAAGGATGAGGGTTGCAAAGAACGCATCATGGTTACCTTCTCATTAGCAAGCTAGGAGCACTCATTGTGTCCTGGGTCGCTTTAGAGCAGTGGTTCTCAACCTTTTTAATGCCGCGACCCCCAACTGGTCGTAAGTCGAGGACTGCCCAACCGGTCGTAAGTCGAAGACTTTCCCTGCCCGGGAGCGCCGCGCATGCGTGGTGCCGCCCCCTGCGCTGGCCAAGGTGTAGCTGGCAAGCAGCAGAGACGGTGCAGGCCAACCACCGGCTGGGCCACCAGCTGGCCCAGCCCAAGGGAGGTAAGGCACCCGCCGAACCCCATGCACACCAGTAACCCTCCCTGTGCCCGCCGGCCTCCCACCTTCCACCCCTGGCCCTCTTTTACTTACATTTTTAGTAGTTGCTCAGCAGGAAAGGGTGGAAGCTTCCAGACAGCTCACCTTCGCTGCAGACAACTTGCAGCACCATTTGCAGAATGGGACTTTTGGCGGGCTCAGCAGAGCAGAGACAGTCTGGACAATTCCTATTGGCTTTCGAAAGCCAATAGAATTAGACTCTATTCAAGAGAGTCTATTCTATTGGCTTTCAAAAGCCAATAGAATAAAAGGGAGTAGCACAGCTAAGGAAAAGGGGGGAAAAATGGCGGACTGCATTGTTTGGCGACCCCTGTGAAATGGTCATTCGACCCCAAATGGGGTCCCGACCCACAGGTTGAGAACCACTGAGTTAGAGATTTCTATGTTTTCTTTTTCACTGTCTCCCTTTTATTTTCCACCTCCCTTCCATCTGCTATTTTAGGTCAGCCTTTCCCAACAATTACAGATGCCTCTCCTGAAGTGAGCAAAAGTAATACTCATTCTTACTCCGTGTAGAGCTGGTGAGGATATGCTTCCTTCCATTAAGAAAGCTGAACCAATTATGAGGGCTTAGCTCATGTACCTTCGCCTCCACGGTAGATACAGAATAGAGTTGGAAGGGACCTTGGAGGTCATCTAGTCCAGTGGTTCTTAACCTTTTTGAACGAATCGCCCCCTTGAGCCAATAAGGAAGTTGTCATCGCCCCCCTCCCCCAACATAACCTCTCAGTCACAACAGAGGAAATAATTCTTCAATTTATGCAAACACTTGTTTTGTTTTCTTTCAAATTGTCATCAGGACATATCGATGCAAATAATTTATTTCCAGTCTTTTTTTCCCCATATCTCCCATATTCTGGCTAATGGCGCGCCACTGCATGGGTAGAGGCTGCTGCGCAACGTGCATGAAGATAAGCGATGCGTATTCACATATGTATAGCTGGAGGAACCTTTGAAAACACAATTCAATCCACTAATAGCGAGCAATCTGATGTTTTTGTATGAAAGATATACAGCCATTCACTGTACGAAAAAGTCTCAAATGTGTCCCCAAAACTTCTCGCTCCATTGCCCCCACATCGCCCCCTTTTCGTTCCATCGCCCCCCTGAAAAATGAAATCGCCCCGTGGGGGGCAATATCGCCCAGGTTGAGAACCACTGATCTAGTCCAACCCTTGCTCAAGCAGGAGACCCTACTAGACCATTTCGGACAAATGGTTATCCAGACTCTTTTAAAAAGCCTCCATGATGGAGCATCCACAACTTCTGGAGGCAAATTGTTCCACTGATTAATTGTTCTCACTGTCAGGAAATTTCTCCTTAGTTCTAGGTTGGTTTTCTCCTTGACTAGTTTCCATCCAATGTTTCTTCTCCTGCCTTCTGGTAGTTTGACCCCCCTCTTCTTTGTGGCAGCCCCTCAAATATTGGAACACTGCTATCACGTCACCCCTAATGCATCTTTTCATTAAACTAAGCATACCCCATTCCTGCAACTGTTCTTCCTATGTTTTAGCCTCCTGCCCCCCCAATCATCTTTGTTGCTCTTCTCTGCACTCTTTCCAAAATCTCAACCTCTTTTTTATAACGTGGTGACCAAAATTGGATGCAGTATTCCAGGTGTGGTCTTAAAAATAAAATAAGAGGGGTAGAATTAGCTGGCCAGATACCCTGCAAATTACTTAAAGCATTGTGTAAGATTGTTGCCTTCAACAAATTCTTCAGAAAAAAAAAATCTCTGTACCATGGGATACGTTTGCTAAGAAAATGCGTTTCTCTGTTGAGGGAGAAATTACACACATTGCAGAAAGTGTTCTTAAGAAGAGATGGAAAATGTTTAATCTCCCAAGAGACCCTTTTGAAGCAAAGGTTGGTGGTTTGGCCACTCATTGCTGGAAGCCAGTGTTCCTAGTAATTGCTTATATGTAAATTTGCCTTCCGATAGCTGAATGGTCTGATGAAACCTTGCATCCGCCTCAGTTAAAATTAGCTACTGGGTCTGAAAACTGGCCTGTGACTTTACTGGAAACCAACATCTGCTTGAATGTCTCGCCCTTGAGCATCTCGTGGATTTCAACCTTCATTTGCACTGATTAAATTCTTGACACGTGTCATTACTTGCGAAGGCCTGTCACTTGTCATAATCCTGGATGAGACAAGATAATGGGGTTAGGGTGACAGCAGCTAATTAAACATCAGATGAAATCGGAAAGAGAGGTTTGCCTTGGCTTGCTTAACGCGGAAAGGGATGGCAAGAATATTCATGAGCCACCGTGTAGCTCATGAAATTGGCATGTAGATTAACTTTCAACAGGTGATCTAGTGAGGTTAATGAAGCAGGGATTCGTTGAATGTGAGCTCCAAAGTGTTTAAGGAACTGCAAAAGAAGGGGGCCTGTGGTCCCTTGCACGGGGTGAAAATGAGAACAACAAGCTAAAAGAGATTGTGGAGACACAGAGAAAGGGGGGGAAAACCCATTGAGAGAAGCAGGAGAAGCAAGGTAGCTGCACTACTCCAATCCTAGTTAGGACATGGATGACTATGGTTAATATCATTCGCATACTGGGCTAGACATGAAACCTATTGGGAAGGATTCAGACAATCCACTTCCTCCTGGAATGTGAAATGGGATACAAGCTTCAGTGGCTTTTGATATCATTGATCATGGTGTCCTTCTGAACCAACTGAAGGCTTGGGATGGTGAAGTTTTGTGGTGGTTCTCCTCCTTTCTCCATGGGAGAAGAGCTCAAGTACAAAGCTTCTGTAAATATATACATACATAAATACATACATGTACATATACATACATCTAAAATAGTCTTGAAGATACGAGTCTCGGGTATATTCATATTCAAAAACTAAAACACAGATCACCGAGACTGAAGAATTGATTTAAAAACTTAGCTTTCGTCAGCATCTGCTGACATCGTCAGAGTTCTAGCCAGGATTGAGAATCAATCGATTGGCGTTACAGAAAGAACGTGATTCTCAATCCTGGCTAGAACTCTGACGGTTGGCATTACAGAGACTATAAGCACGTGATTCTCAATCCTGGCTAGAACTCTGACGATGTCAGCAGATGCTGATGAAAGCTAAGTTTTTAAATAAATTCTTCAGTCTCAGTGATCTGTGTTTTAGTTTTTGAATATATATACATACACATACATACACATATACATATACATTGTATATAGCATGTTTATATGTGTGTTATGTGTGTGTACACTTTTGGGAGCAGGCAAAGAATTTCATTTTTAATGTGTGCCAGTGTGCCCGCTGTAAAAAAAATGTCAATAAAGATTAAAGGTTATCTCTTCTAGTTTATGGGGGTCAAATATCATTAACATGCTGCGATATTCAGCTGTTCATTTCAAGCCCTGGATTCTGAAGTGATGTTGCTAAGGTCTTGGGATACAGTGGGAATTGCTTCATCTCCTCCTTCTTCTAAAATGCATGACTTGTAACCTTCCGCAGTCTCTTTCTTCAAGCTGGCATCTCTCCGATCCTAGTTAGGACATGGACGACCATGGACTAAGGATTCAGACAACCCACTTCCTCCTGGATTTTAAACATTACAAGTTTACAAATCATGCATTTTAGTACATAATCAGAAGACGGTTAAGCGGTTCCATCATCTTTGGTTGCATACAGGTGGCCCTTGACTTACGACTGTTCTTTTAGTGTTCAAAGTTACAACAGCATTGAAAAAAAGTAACTGATGGCCGTTTTTCACAGCTACAACCTATGTAGCATCTTCATGATCGTGTGATCACAATTCAGACGCTTGGCAAGTGATTCATATTTATGACGGTCACAGTATCCTGGGGGGGGTCACGTGATCCCCTTTGGCAACCTTCGGACAAGCAAAGTCAATAGGGAAGGCAGATTCACTTAACAACCGAATTACTAACTTATCCACTGCAGTGACAACAACTGGGACAAGAAAGGTTGTAAAATGGGGCAAAGCTCACTTAACCAATGTCTCAACGGCAACAGAAATTTCAGCTCAGTTGTGGTCGTAAGTCAAGGACTACCTGTATTTTATTCAGTGGAACTGAATATGTCCTTTGCCTTTTGTCTGTAAGCTACCCAGATGCCATTTCTAGCACTTTTTCCCCTCCTTTTCATTTCTAGTTGTCCCGTCACAATAAAGCATTACAACACATGCTGAAGCCTGGGGCAGATCCAGAAGAAGGAGATGAAGCTTTGAAGTATTACGCCAACCACACCGCTCAAATTGAGGTAAAGGCTTGCCCGCTGAACTGAAAATATTTGTAGCCTTCAGTGCTACTTTCCACCTCACGGAGGACTCCTCCTCCTGCTCCTTCCTTGAGATATGAGATTTGTTGAGATAAGAACTGAGCCGAGGTGGCGCAGCAGTTAGAGTGCAGTACTGCAGGCCACTTTAGCAGACTGTGTTCAGCAGGTCAGCGGTTCAAATCTCACCGGCTCAAGGTTGACTCAGCCTTCCATCCTTCCGGGGTAGGTAAAATGAGGACCCAGATTGTTGGGGGCAATGTAAATATATATATATATATATATATATATATATATATATATATATATATATATATATATATATATATATATATATATATATATATATCGCACTTAAAGCGGTATATAAGTCTCATAAATAAATAAATAATAGTGACAGTTCATGAGAGAATCTTCCTTCTGTTGCTTTGTAAGGTGCAATTGTCATCAGGTTATGCCAAGGGTGTCGGACAGGGGTAGGCAATCTTGGCTCTTTTATGACTCGTGGACTTCAACTCCCAGAATTCCTGAGCCAGCATGGCTCAGCTTGGAAACCTCTCCCTTTCCCCTCAGCATGACTGGCTCAGGAATTCTGAGAGTTGAAGTCCACGAGTCATAAAAGAGCCAAGGTTGCCTAACCCTAGGAGAGCCTCAGGTTTCCTACCACATTTTACTCAAAGACTGGCTCAGCACTGTTTGCTTACAAATTCAGTCATAAATAAGGTTTATTCCCTAAAAATTAGGAAAGTTTCGTATTTCCTAAATCTTAATGTCACACTTTCTGCATTGTATCACAATATGCAGCTGTTCATGAAGAGATTCAATTTTCAAGTTAAACAGAATCCAGCATCATATATTGGATGGATGGATGGATGGATGGATGGATGGATGGATGGATGGATGGATGGATAGATAGATAGATAGATGATTGATTGGTAGGTGATACAGAAAGTCAGAAAGACAGATAGAAAGATAGATGATTGCTAGATGAGATAGCTAGCTAGCTAGCTAGCTAGATAGATAGATAGATAGATAGATGATTGTTAGGTGATTGATAGGTGATAGAGACAGACAGATAGAAAGATGATTGCTAGATGAGATAGATAGATAAAAATTGGACTTATTTAATAAAAGTATAAAAAACATTACAGGAAACAAAGAACAAGGATAGAAGGAAGTGTTTGTGTGTGTGTGTGTGTGTGTGTGTATGTATGTATATGTGTATGTGTGTATATATATATATATATATATATATATATATATATATATATATATATATATAAAATTTTATTAAAACGTTTTAAAAAGATGATAAAAGCTAATACAAACTAGTAGAAAGAAAGAAAAAAAATAAATCAAAGAAAAAAGTAGGGAAAAAAAGAAAAATGTTAAAACAAAAGAGAAACTTAAGGAAGTGGCATCAAGTACAGATAGTCCTTGACTTAGAACCACAACTGAGCCCAAAATGTCTTTTGTTAAGTGAGTTTTGCCACAGCTGTTAAGTGAATCACTGCAGTTGTTAAGTGAAGTGAATCTGGCTTCCCCATTGACTTTGCTTGTCAGAAGGTCACCAAAGGGAATCGCATAACCTCGGGATACTGCAACTGTCATAAGTACCAGTCAGTTGCCAAGCATCTGAATTTTGATGACACGAACCTGGGGAGGCTGCAAAGGCTGTAACTGTGAAAAACGGTCGTAAGTCACTTTTTTCAGTGCTGTCGTAACTTTGAACGGTCCCTAAATGAACAGTTGTAAGTCGTGGACTGGCTGTATTCTGCACAGCAGTTATAAGTACTGTACAAATAAATTTTTGACCTCTCCTAATGTTACATCCTATTAATCTTCTTTCTGTAATCTCTCCTGTCGAATCATCAAAATCACGTCTCAATTTTTTTAAAAAATGTTCTACTTTGCGTGGGGATTAGGTCTGTGCTATGCTTCTTAGTTTTAGCTTTTTATGCCCTTGTTTTGAAAGGCAACAGAGATCGTGTTAAATGAACAAATAAGCTCTATCTGCTTTTAATGTAGCCTTCTTCTGTCATTCCAGATATTACCTTAGTAGTTTTTTCTTTCTCTTAAAAATTCTTCGTATCTGTCTGGGATGTACATAAATTCTCACAAATTTATATGAACTGAAATTGAACACTTAAGGGGTGATAATCTACTGTTATCCCAATCCCTCATGCCTCAAAATTAAGGAGACTTTCCTGTTCCTGAAACTCTGCCCAATTGCATTGTTCTGACATGTCTGAACAATTGGAATCAAATTGGAACAGCAGCTGTAATATTCCTCAACTTTGGCTGTGCTCACAGAAGCACAAAACGATAATTTATATTGACATTCCAGTATATATGTCTCCAACTCAGTTATGGGGTCTTTGCAGATTGTCCGCCACGACAGAACCATGGAACAAATAGTATTTCCCGTGCCAAACATTTGTGAATTCCTCACTCACGAATCAAAATGCCGGGTGTTCAATACCACCGAAAGAGACGAGCAAGGAAGCAAAGTAAACGACTTTTTCCAGCAGACCGAGGATCTGTATAATGAAATGAAGTGGCAGAGAAAAATTAGGAGTAAGTATGGGGTTTGTAATGGTTTGTCTGTTTCATGGTTACTCTGAAGAGATCTATTGTCTAGTCCAGGGGTAGGCAACCTTGGCTCTTTTATGACTCGTGGACCTCAACTCCCAGAATTCCTGAGCCAGCATGGCTCAGCTTGGAAACCTCTCCCTTTCCCCTCAGCATGGCTGGCTCAGGAATTCTGGGAGTTGAAGTCCACGAGTCATAAAAGAGCCAAGGTTGCCTAATTCTGGCCTAGGCTGCTTTATGACCCGTGGACTTCAACTCCCAGAATTCCTGAGCCAGCATGGCTCAGCTTGGAAACCTCTCCCTTTCCCCTCAGCGTGGCTGGCTCAGGAATTCTGGGAGTTGAAGTCCGTGAGTCATAAAGCGGCCTAGGGCAGGGATAGGCAACCTTGGCTCTCTTATGACTCGTGGACTTCAACTCCCAGAATTCCTGAGCCAGCATGGCTCAGCTTGGAAACCTCTCCCTTTCCCCTCAGCATGGCTGGCTCAGGAATTCTGGGAGTTGAAGTCCACGAGTCATAAAAGAGCCAAGGTTGCCTACCCCTAGACTAGTCTCTAACCTTGGGGAAAGTCCTGTTGTAAAGATTCTGCTTTATCCATTTATTAACCATAAAAAACAAGATAGAACAGTGATGGCGAACCTTTTAGAGACCGAGTGCCCAAATTGCAACCCAACTTATGTATCATCGGGTGCTGGGTGGGCGTGGCCCATTGGATGGGTGTGGCCCATTGGATGGGCATGGCCCGTTGGGTAGGCGTGGCTGTGATGGTAACGGCAGATTGGGTGGGACTAAAAAGTTCAATCAATTCCAACTTTGTGAGGTCTTTTTTTTCCCACAAGAAGGTGAAATTGATTGACTGAACCTTTTTTTTTTTTGCACATGGCAGTGGAGGCCTAAAGTGAAAAGGTTTTATAAAACCCAGCTGAAGGCGTAGGACTGGGGCGACAGCACGCGTGCCCACAGAGAGGGCTCTGTGTGCCACCATGGAGATAGAACATAGAATAGCAAGTCAAAAAATGGGTGGCCACATTAAAACAAGGGATCAATGTAGATTTGACGTCAAGCCTTAGGTTATCTATAAATTAGAATCCAACCCCTGTTTTCTTTTTCCAAACAAGCCAAGCAAACCATCTTTTAAAAAAAGTTACTTACATGTTTCACTTCATTCTTTAGTGTCATTAATTCACTCCTGTATTCTTGAGGATGTGGCGTTGTTTGAAGATGTAATAGCAGCAGGTAACATTTTAATCAGAAGATACCATGATTTAAAACAGAACAGGACAGAAAAAAACAGAGCTGGAAGGGACCTCGGAGGTCTTCTAGTCCAGTGGTGGCGAACCTATGGCACTGGTGCCAGAGATAGCACTCAGAGTCCTCTCTGTGGGCACGCGCCCCAGTCCTAGGCCTTCAGCTGGGTTTTATAAAACCTTTTCGCTTTAGGCCTCTGCCGTGTGCAAAAAAAAAAAGGTTCAATCAATCAGTCAATTTTAACTTCTCGCAGGGGAAAAAAAGATCTTGTAAAGTTGGAATTGATCAATTGAACTTTTTAGTCCCACCCAGTCTGCCATTACCACCGCAGCCATGCCCACCCAATTGGCCATGCCCACCCAATGGGCCATGTCCACCCGGCACCCGACGATGCATAAGTGGGTTTTGGGTTGCAGTTTGGGCACTTGGTCTCTAAAACGTTCGCCACCCCTGTTCTAGTCTAACCTCCTGCTTGAGCAGGAGACCCTGTACCATTTTGGAGAAATGGTTGTCTAGTCCAGTGGTGGCGAACCTATGGCACGGGTGCCAGAGGCAGCACTCAGAGCCCTCTCTGTGGGCATGCGTGCCGTCGCCCCAGTCCTAGGCCTTCAGCTGGATTTTATAAAACCTTTTCGCTTTAGGCCTCTGCTGCCGTGTGCAAAAAAAAAAAAGGGTCAATCAATCAATTTCAACTTCTCGCGGGGGAAAAAAAGATCTTGTAAAGTTGGAATTGATCGATTGAACTTTTTTGTCCCACCCAATCTGCCGTTACCACCGCAGCCACGCCCAGCCAATGGGCCACACCCACCCGGCACCCGACGATGCATAAGTGGGCTTTGGGTTGCAGTTTGGGCACTCGGTCTCTAAAAGGTTTGCCATCGCTGGTCTAGTCTTTTTCAAAGCCTCCAGCGGTGGAGCACGCACAACCTCTGGAGAATGTTACATCAACCCTTCCCCAGAAGGTGCTGCTTTCTGAGGAACAATCATTTTTGTTGAGATGAACAATAATTGCTTTTCGTTTCCTTCCTAGATAATCCAGCATTATTTTGGTTCTCTCGACAAATTTCTCTCTGGGGAAGCATATCGTTCAACCTGGCCGTTTTCATCAATCTAGCCGTCGCCCTCTTCTATCCGTTTGGAGATGATGGCGATGAAGGTATATTGCTTGGGTTATAACGTTACAAAACTCAGGTCTTTCCGTTGCTAGCAATAGTAGAAGCCCACCACCAACTTTTTTTTTTTTATCCATTTTTATTATTTTATTTTCATTACAGTCATAAGAAACAAAATTCAGATACATAAGAAATTAAAATACAACACACAAATTCCGACATTGCTCACCCATTTCCCCCCAGACCGCATCCCCCTCTCATCTCTTCACTTCCCCCTTCCTTCTACCTCCTCCTCCTCTCCTCCCCTCCCTCTCTCCTCCATCTTTCTACTTACTTATCCCTCTCCTCTTCTTCTAATCCAGTGGTTCTCAATCTTTTTAGACCGGCGACCCCGGTCATGAGCAGGCGGCGCGCATGCGCGGCAGCGCCCCCTGCGCGGCACGCATGCGCGGCGGCACCCCCATGCGCCCCTGTGTGGCGGCGCCCCCTGCGCCGGCTGAGAAAAAAAATGGCAGGTCGCATTGTTTGGCGACCCCCGTGAAATGGTCGTTTGACCCCAAATGGGGTCGCGACCCACAGGTTGAGAACCGCTGTTCTAATCGGATGCGGTCTGAGGGAAAATGCCCGAGCAATCCTCTATCACCAAAATCTGAACTATTGAACGTACTTCCCATACTCTCCCCTCCCCCCTTCCCCCACCCCCTTCCCCCCCCCCCCCGACTTCCCAGAGCTCAGTACAGGGTTACAAAAAAAAAGAAGAAGAAAAGAAAAAAGAAAACTAAACATAGTCAACTTAAATTTACTACTTATACAGTAACCGAAATCCTAATAACCCTTAACTCTCTGCAAACTTGAATTCATAATTTAAAATTTCTGCTTACTTAAAGAAGCCCACCGCCAACTTATTCGTAAGTCATCTGTTGTCAGGGACATCTTTGAAACAGACAATTTTTTTTTTTTACTTTTTGGCTGGAGCTGGCGGGGGGGGGGAAACAGTTCTCTTAGAAGAATTCTATGGGCAGAATATTAGAATTTGGAAACAAAAAAATGGAAAGTTTGGCCTCTGTAGAACTCTGCTAATGGAACAGATCTGGAAAAATTGGTTTCTCCCTTAAAGTGGATGGTTGCTCTCTTCTTTTCCATATGTGGTCATGTTTTACTGGCCCATGTTTTACTCTTGCAACTACAAGGGAAAAGGAGAAAGAAGTAGTAGGATAGGAGGAAAGGAAAGATAACAGAAGAAAAAGAAAGGAAAGGAAAGGGGAGGGGAGGAAAGGAAAGAAGAAGGAAAGGAAAGAAGAAGGAAAGGGGGAGGAAAGGAAAGGAGAAGGGGAGGAAAGGAAAGGGAAAGGAAAGGTAAAAGAAGGAAAAGAAAGATAAAAGAAGAAAAGGAAAGGAAAGGAAAGGAGAAGGGGAGGAAAGGGAAAGGAAAGGTAAAAGAAGGAAAGGAAAGATAAAAGAAGGAAAGGAAAGGAAAGGGAGAAAAGGAAAGGAAAGATAAAAGAAGGAAAGGAAAGGAAAAGGGGAGGAAAAGAAAGGAGGAGGGAAGGGAAGGGAAAGGAAAGGAAACGAGAAGGGGAGGAAAGGAAAGGAAAGGAAAGGAAAGGAAAGGAAAGGAAAGGAAAGGAAAGGAAAATTTCCTGATCTGTTTTCTGCCAGCTGGGCAATCTCTAAAGAAAGGCAAACGCATGACAAGTCCAGTCATCATATCACATGCTGAAAACATGTAAAGAAAAGTTAAATGTCTGGGAGAAGAAATGGCCGGGTGATTCGCGTCCCGCAAGCAGGACAGCAGCATCCACCTAGAACTTCAACAGCTTTAAAGGCAGTCCTCCATTTACTTAAGAAGGACCAAGTCCATTTTTAAAAACCTCAAGGCTCTCCATTATTAAAGAGAAGTCATGCTCTTTCGTGTAGAAAAAAAAAACCAACCCAGCCATAACTCTGTGGGGTGTGGAACAATGCTTGTTAACAGAAACATGTGAATTGCACATGGCCCAGTTATGGCTGGTCTGACTGTCCCTATTTAAAAGCCCAATTAGGCCTTTTTCCTGGATGTAACCTTCACTTTTCGTTTTCACTCAGAGAGTACTGGGCTTCTAACATAGACAACATGTGCTTTCCAGATGATCAGATTGTCCGGGGCATTTGATTTGTCATGTGCTCATTTGGCGTGTCTTCTAGGCTCTCTCTAATTGAGGAGCTGTTTTTTCCTCATGTCATGTGCCCTTGAAATTGCAGAATTGCAAGACTGGGATTGCATATTACACGACTGCAATCTTGGAATGCTAACAACCCTAGCCTTAGACCACAAAGTGTGTGGATCCATCCATCACAAGGACATCTGACATGGCATGAGATTTCTGTATGCAACGTAGCAGGGATGAGACCCCATCTCTTGACCATCTAATTGGGTCCAGATCCATCTATCCCAATTACCCACCGAATTCCAATTATAATAAGTGAATTTTTTTAAACAAGTTGGCCAGAATCCATTCCATTTCTATAGGGTAAGGAGTGGCAGAACGTGGAGGTGGAGTTAAAAGAGGAATCGGCCTAGAATCCCATAATAAGTGAAATTTTTAAACAAGTTGGCCAGAATCCATTCCATTTCTATAGGAGAAGGAGTGGCAGAACGTGGAGGTGGGGTTAAAGGAGGAATTGGCCTAGAATCCCATAATAAGTGATTTTTTTAAAACAAGTTGGCCAGAATCCATTCCATTTCTATAGGAGAAGGAGTGGCAGAATGTGGAGGTGGGGTTAAAGGAGGAATTGGCCTAGAATCCCATAATAAGTGATTTTTTAAAACAAGTTGGCCAGAATCCATTCCATTTCTATAGGAGAAGGAGTGGCAGAACGTGGAGGTGGGGTTAAAGGAGGAATTGGCCTAGAATCCCATAATAAGTGATTTTTTAAAACAAGTTGGCCAGAATCCATTCCATTTCTATAGGAGAAGGAGTGGCAGAACGTGGAGGTGGGGTTAAAGGAGGAATCGGCCTAGAATCCCTACATAGCCACAAGCAGACTAAGCCCAATTCCCCATGAATTCAGTTGATCCTTATCTAACTCCAAGCAGGTGATCTCTGTTATTTGAGAAGATCCTATGCGTAGGCTTTTAGCAATAAATCAGCATAATCGGCCCTTCCTGTGTAGACCTGATACTTTGTGCCTGACAATTTCCATGGCTTTAAGGAAACTTTTTATCAGGGTGTACAAATTCATCTCTTTGCTGCACATTTTGTCATGTTTTATATAACCTGCAATCTTCAGTCCTTTTTTTTTTTCCCCGTCAAACACATCTCCCTTTTCTTTTGATATATTCTTTTTCGCATCCGTGCTTCTCGGTACACGATGCAATCTATCATTTGCTGAAAACCCTTCAGATTCTCAGCCAGCAGTATGGCGTCACCTGAATGCAAATCTACCCGTGGACCCACGCATTCAACGAGCAGATCTCTCTCATCCCCGCAAACATTCTTTAAATGCATTTATTCATAACCTATTTATCCCCTTCAGCAACCAAATTTCAACTCTGGGTAGAATATTCCATAATTCAAGCCTATTCACTTTACATACCCATTCTCTAAATCTGGCTTTCCCAACATTGGCAACTTTTAAGACACATCGACTTCAACTCCCAGAATCTCATGCGGGCTGGGGAATTCTGGGAACTGAAGTCCTCACATCCTTAACTAGATACTTGTCATCAGCTGCCAGACCGCAAATGGGGATCACGTGTCCTTGGTTTGCTGCAACCGTAGTAAATACATCCCAGTTGCCAAGCGCCCAAATTTTGATCATATGACTGTGGAGATGCTGCAGTGGCCGTAATGTGAGGACTGACCGTTAGTCAGTTGTTTTCGGTGCCCTTGTGACTCTGAACGGTTGCTAAGCAAATTGTAAGTCAAGGCCCTGACTTAAGAGTTCACCAAGTCAACTATGGCAACCAACTAAATCAGTGATGGCAAACCTGACCGAGTGCCCAACCTGAAACCCAAAACCCACTCATTTAGCGCAAAATGCCAACATGGCAATTTAACCTGAACACTGAGGTTTAGTTTAGAAAAAAACAACTCATACATTAACATCCTTTGTCTTAAAAGAAAAATACAATAACAAAGCTTTCAATGATGCAAGCAACTTTTTATTGAAAGGTAAAAGTTTGCATTTGGCATGCTTTTAAACAAGTAATGTGGTTTTTGCTGTTGTATGCAGGCTCATAATTTGTCTAACCTTGGCTCATACTTTGTAAGTTTGAGAGCAACACATTTCTCAAGCCCCTTCCTAGCCAAAACAAGCCTCCGGAGCGAGCATGTTCGCTCTGGAGGCTTGTTTTCGCAGGATTGCTCTTAAGAAGAGCGAGGCGTGCTTGCTCCAGAGACTTGTTTTGGCTAGGAAGGGGCTTGAGAAATGGCTTTTTCCTGCAAAAACTTAGCCAAAGAGTGAGGCGCGCGTGCCCACAGAGAGGGCTCTGAGTGCCCCCCTCTGGCACGTGTGCCATAGCTTCGCCACCACTGAACTAAATTGTTCCTTTTTTCTACAGGAAGTCCTTCGATTCTATTTAAACATATTGATAGGTTTACCATTTTATGGAAGTATTTGTGTCCATTTTTCCCCGCAGGATTTAATTCAGGGGTGTCAAACTCAATTTCATTGAGGGCCGCATCATCATTGAGGTTGCCCTCGGGGGGCTGGGTGGGTGTGGCCAGGGTGGGTGTGGATGGAGTGGGTGTGGCCTATTGGGTGGGCATGGCCAGCTCTACATCATTCGCGTCAAGGGTGCCTGGGTAGAAGTGGGACAGATCTGAGGGTCTCTGGCAGAAAGGGGTGGGACCGGGGCAAGTGCCAAAGCATGGTCTTGGAGTCTCACTGCCTGCTGAAACCCCTCCACTGGAGCCCATCAAGCCGGATATGTGAGTAGGTGAGGGCCATTTGCTGGCCACTTCCAGGCGATGGTGCATTTCTTCATTCCTCACAAAGGATGACACCTCCCCAGCATGCACCAGGGGGCAGGGCTGAAGCAGCACGGGCTTCAGACAGTTCCAGACAGCCTTGTGGATCTAAGACTGAATGCGTTTCAGCATAGATGGCCACCACAAAATTGTACATTGGCTTGCAGCCGGCCAGGGCCAAGGCAGGGGGGCCGTTCCCTCACTCTTTCCAGGATGGCTTCGCGGGCCACATGAAACCACTCTGCGGGCCACACCCAGCCCCCGGGCCTTGTGTTTGACATGTCTGGTTTAGTTTGATTTGATTTAATCATAACTGGTTTAATTCAAGAACATGGTTCTTTATGTTCTAAAAATATCACGATGCCTCTACTTCAATCTAGGCACCCTCTCTCCGTTGTTTTCCATTGTCCTCTGGATAGCTGTGGCCATCTGCACGTCTCTCCTTTTCGTTTTCCCCAAACCTGTTGGAATCCGCCCGTTTTTGGTCTCGGTTATGCTCAGGTCTATATATACCATTGGTTTGGGGCCCACGCTGATTCTCCTGGGTGCCGCTAACGTAAGTACTTAAGACGCGTCCTGCAATTCACGAATGAACATAAAGCTAGAGAGAAAGTGTGGAATTACTATCTCCCTGCAAACAGTGACTCATCAGCTGTGGTGGTTTCTGTAAGACTTTCTACAACTTCTACTACAGGGGTCTTCAAACGTGGCCCTTTTATGACTTGTGGACTTCAACTCCCAGAATTCCTCAGCCAGCATGTCTGGCTGAGGAATTCTGGGAGTTGAAGTCCACAAGTCATGAAGGGGCCATAGTTTCCCCATGCTGGCTGAGGAATTCTGGGAGTTGAAGTCCACAAGTCATGAAGGGGCCATAGTTCCCCCATGCTGGCTGAGGAATTCTGGGAGTTGAAGTCCACAAGTCATAAAAGGGCCAAGTTTGAAGACCCCTGTACTACTACATACTGCGTAGGTTGCAATATAAAATTCTCTCCTGTGTATCCTTACATAGACTGGATAGGTTCATTAGTGCTTTTAGTGGGTAATCACTTCAATATCAGTCAGTAGTGTGCTGCAGCCAATGCAATCCTAGGCCGCATTAACAGAGGGATAGAATCAAAATCACATGAAATATTAGTACAGCTTTCTAAGGCCTTGATAACACCACACTTGGAATACTACATCCAGTTTTGGTCTCCCTGACTTAAAAAATATGTTGCGATTCTAGAAAGAGTGCAGAGAAGAGCATCCAAGATCATTAAGGGGCTGGAGGCTAAAACATATGAAGAAAATTTGCAAGAATTGGGTGTGTCTAGTCCAGTGGTGGCGAACCTATGGCACGCGTGCCAGAGGCGGCACTCGGAGCCCTCTCTGTGGGCACTCGCGCCATGCCCCAGAGATCGCAACTGTCCTCTTCAACTAGCCGCCCGCTAACTTGCCGAGGTCCCACGTGGCTGGATGCATCCCAGCACCCATGTGCTTGCTGGCCTTTATGTGCGGGGGGCGATGGTGTCAGGCAGCAGCCGCCCCGGCCCCTGCCTCGTCTTACCCTGCGACATGGCACCCCTGCCCCGCCTCGCCTCACCCCACAGAACCAGCCTTCTGCCCACTGCCCCACCCGCCAGAGACCCCTGGATCTCCCCCAACCCTGCCCGGCCCCCACAGGCATCCCTCCCCAGGAGCAACATCGAGCTGGCCATGCCCACCCTGGCCACGCCCACCCATCTGTCATGACCACTGTAGCCATGTCCACCCATCTGCCATGGCCACTATAGCTACGCCCACCCAGCGGGCCACACCCACCCGGCACCCAGCAATACATAAGTGGGTTTTGGGTTGCAGTTTGGGCACTCGGTCTCTAAAAGGTTCGCCATCACTGGTCTAATCTAATGAAAAGAAGGACTAGGGGTGATATGATAGTATTCCAATATCTAAGGGGCTGTCACAGAGAAGAAGGGATCAAGCTATTCTTAAAGCACCTGAAGGCAGGACCAGAAGCAATGGATGGATGATTACAGAGAACCAACTTAGAACTAAGGAGAAATTTCCTGATAGTAAGAACAATTAATCAGTGGAACAGTTCGCCTCCAGAAGTTGTGGGTACTCCATCACTGGAGATTTTTAAGAAGGTGTGATTTGGAACCAGTGATGGTTGCATAACTAGAAAATTATGTTAACTCAGAATAACAGAATAACACAGTTGGAAGGGACCTTGGAGGTCTTCTAATCCAACCCCCTGTTCAAGCAGCATATCTACACTATTTCAGACAAATGCTAGTAGAGTTTCAGCTTTCTTGCCTCTTTGAGGTCAACATAATTAAGTTGTAGAGTTTTCTGAATTTTACTATCAATAAAGAAATTGGAAAGCTTATTGTGGCTGAATTCCAGTTTTATTTGGTTTCATTTGATGGACTTTCCCATCTTTGGAATGAAACATTGTAATTGTCTCCAGCTGATTAAGCTGAAATAGCTTCTGTGGTCCATAGAGAATTGATTTAAACAGCAATTGTAGACAAGTTGTTTACTGTCTGAATCTCTTTTTCTTTGTGGCATAATACGCTGAAAAGTGAATCAAATGGCAACATGTTTTTTCTTCTGTTCTTACACAAGCATTGTTTGGTTCTTGGTAATTCTTTGTATATCAATCTATTCCAAATCAGCTGCAAGGACATTTTTTACTTTTGCTGCTGTGGGGTTTGTATAGCATGAAAATAATAGGTTTAGCAGACCTGGTAGATCATATTTTGAAAGAAAAGCAGGATATGAATGAATTATAGGTATGTATCTATGCATGCATGTGTCTGTTTTGTGATGGCATTGCTTGTAATTTGGAACCAGATGGAAATTCACCAAAATAGAGCTTATCACAGTTAGAAAGCTAAGCTTGAACACTGATTTTTAAGCTCTATCTCCTATCTCTCTCTTTCACTCATCTATCATCTACTATCTATCTAATCTATCTATCTATCTATCTATCTATCTATCTAATCTATCATCTAGCTAGCTAGCTAGCTAGCTATATTCTATCTATTTATTTGGCTATCTAGCTATCTAGCTGCCATCATCTATCTTTTATATATCCTATCTAACATCTATCCTCTGTCTATCATCTATCTAATCTGTCTGTCTGGCTATCTATCTATCTATCTATCTATCTATCTATCTATCTATCTATCTATCTATCTATCTATCTAACATTTATCCTCTGTCTATCATCTATCTAGTCTGTCTGTCTGTCTGTCTGTCTGTCTATCTATCTATCTATCTATCTATATCTATCTAACATTTATCTTCTATCATCTATCTTGTCTGCTTATCTATCTATCTATCTATCTATCTATCTATCTATCTATCTATCTATCTATCTATATCATCCATCATTATCATTTATCTGTCTTCCCATCCATCCATCCACTCACCCACCCACCTGCCCAATTAAATTTCCATACAGCCCATATCATAAACTAACTAACTTTGTTATTCACAGTGTATTCTGGTATTATGTCACATTAATAAAAAAATGTAACTTGGCCCTAGTGGTTGTTTCTGTTCGCCCTGCCTATCTATGGGTGCTTTAACTTTGTAGAAACACATTTTGTTGAGACATTCTTGTTACCTATGGGGGACTCAGGCTGACAGGAGATAAAATGCAAGCCCTGGGGATAGCATCGTAGGTCTTGAGAGCTCTTGTCTATATTGCTTCTCTCCACCTTTGTAATAAGATTGCATTTTTTTTTTGGGTGCAGCTTTGCAACAAGATTGTATTTTTGGTGAGCTTCGTTGGGAACCGTGGGACGTTCACCCGTGGATACCGAGCCGTCATCATGGACATGGCTTTTCTCTACCATGTGGCTTATGTTTTGGTCTGCATGCTGGGCCTCTGTGTGCATGAATTTTTTTACAGCTTCTTGGTGAGTATATAGGTTTTATTTCTTGTCGGAGAAGAAACTAATGTTTGTTTTCTTGTGCGCATCTTGAAAATTCTGTCATGCATATTAGATCAGGGGCCTTCAAACTTGGCCCTTTTTTTTGTAAAAAAATTTTATTTTTGATTTTTTATTACATTCATAAAGAGTACTTCAGATAAAGAATAGAATAAATTTATACACACAACTTTCGGTTTTGCTCACCCATTTCCCCCCAAACCGCATCCACCCTCTAACCTCTTCTCTCACTTCCCTCTTTCCCTCTTCTTCCTCACTCTCCCCCTCTCCTCCTTCTCCTCAACCTTCCTACTTCTCCCCTTCCTCCTATCTTCTCACTCCAGATGCAGTCCAGGGGAAATGTTAAGGCAAGAAAATGTTTTACAATCATGGTTTCAATATTTGCAAATAGTGGAGAGGTGGACCTTTGATAAGAAAGTGGGAATCACTTTAGCAGATGAAAATTTGGTAATTCAGATTAAAGATCAGAAATATGCTCATATTAAAAGAATTTACAATGAGTTAATAAAATTGGATTCGGAAACAGAGTTAGTAAAAGATTGTATGATTAAATGGGCTCAGAATATTCAGGAACCGATTTTATTGGATTTATGAGAGTTAATTTGGATTAGAAATGTTAAATTTACGCAGGCTCAAAATTTGAGGGAAAATTTTTATAAAATGTTTTATAGATGGCATCTGGATCCTAAAAAGTTGTCTTGTATGTACCCGAACCTGCAACCTAAATGTTGGAGATGTGGTAGCTTTGATGCAACTTATTTTCATGTTTGGTGGACCTGTAAAAATATTAAAGCCTTTCGGATTATGATTTGGTGGAACATTCAAAAGGTTTTTAAAAGGAAGATTAAGTTTACTCCCCAATTATTTCTTTTGGGTATTTTTGTGGATTTTGATGCTAAAGAAACTATTTTAATGTTGAATTTAATAACAGCAGCAAGATTATTGGTGGGTCAATATTGGAAGAAAGACTCTCTGCCTTCTTTAGAAGAATGGGTATTTAAGGTTTCTAATTTAACAGAAATGGCTAAGATTTCTGCTTATTTAAAGGATCATTCACAAGAGAGATATGTTATTGTATGGAGAAGATGGATAGAATATGTTGAGAAGAAATATGGAACTACAAAGTTTCATTTATTTTATGAGTAATGGATTTGTTTATAAAATTATGATGTTAAAGTTTGAAGAGAGTTAAGGGTTAGTATGATTTTGGTTATTGTATAATTAGTAAACTTAAGTAGATTATGTTTAATATGTTTGTATAACCCTGTACTTGGCTCTGGGAAGTCGGGAGGGAGGGGGGTGGGGGGAGGATGGGTTGGAGGTTAAATAGGTCAGATAAGTAGAAATAGTTTTATTGTATATAAAACTTGGCCCTTTTTTGACTTGTGGACTTCAACTCCCAGAATTCCTTAGCCAGCGTTCCTGGCTAAGGAATTCTGGGAGGGGTCTTCAAACTTGGCCCTTTTATGACTTGTGGACTTCAACTCCCAGAATTCCTCATCCAGTGTGTCTGGCTGAGGAATTCTGGGAATTGAAGTCCACAAGCAGGGGTCTTCAAACTTGGCCCTTTTATGAGTTGTGGACCTCAACTCCCAGAATTCCTCAGCCAGGTACGCTGGCTGAGGAATTCTGGGAGTTGAAGTCCACAAGTCATAAAAGGGCCAAGTTTGAAGACCCCTGATATAGGAAGTCCTTGACTTACGATCACAGCTGGGACCAGAATTTCCATTGTTAAGCAAAGCTGTTGTTTAGGGAAGGGCCTGGTTTTACCACCTTTTTTTACCATGGTTGATAAGCAAATTGAGTGGTCATTAAGTTAAAATGGCTCCCTCCATTGAATTTGCTTGTGGGAGGCTGGCTGGGACTCGGGGACACCGCCATAAATATGAGTCAGTTGCCAAGCACCTGAATGATGATCACATAACTGTGGGGATGCGGCAACAACTGTAAGGGTGAAGATCGGTTGCAAGTCACTTTTTTCAGCTCCATTATAACTTTGAATGGTGGCTAAATAAATGGTTGTAATGTAAGACGCTAAGAAAAAGACACAGGCATGTCTTGACCAGAGGTTTGAAGCTGCAGGACACAGCTTGACAAACTCTGAGTTTATTGCTTCTTATATACTTGTCACATACATAGGCTTTGCCATTAAATGCTGACATTTTACATTCATAAGTTTAACCATTAGATGCTCACATAAAGTTTCTTCATTGGAAAATTCCTTCATATAAGCAACTATTTTCTAGTAACATATTACCAGATCAAAGACCAGGTAAAGAACAAATACAGTAGATCAAAATGAGAAAGAACTGACAAAGGCAGGAAGAGATAGGAAGTAACTTAAGCATATTATCTATTTGGGTAGGTGAGGCATTAAGTCAAAAGGGGATGACCTTCTGGCTGCTTCATTGGGACAAAGGGTATCAAAAGGTTATGAGGTTTGTGTGTGGGGGGGGAAGCACGGCAGTTTGCTGCGCATCCATTTTTCCCCACATGTAAGTCAAGGACCACCTATATAACTTTTCACCTGCTATCTCATGAGAAGCACTAGTTCATGTTAGATCACTCTTCCTGTTCCGTATCTCAACACCTTTATCAGACAAAGAGCGGGTAATCTTGGATTTCTGGCAAGGGAATCACTGTAATATATTTGCAAACGTATTCATTGTATTTGTCTTCTTGCGGGTTTAGAGGCTCAATATCCACAGACGTTAATAAAGGGCCCTTTATTGGAATTTTGAGTAAAAGTCTTCAGTAGCTTCTGTGGAATGGAAATTTGGCAAATTTTATAAAGCATCTTAGGATGTTAAAAAAAATATCACGAGATATTTTAATGCCTTAAAACCTTTCCTGTGCTGAAGTTTGACTGTATTGTAAGTTCCACGTGGACTGTTCCCAAGGCAGATATATCTCTGAAGGACAGAAGCTTTACACAGTCCAGCATTAATTTACAGTGGTAGTAAATAAAACTGTGGATTATCCCCGCGAAAAAAAAATCCTTGCCCAAGTGAATTTATTTCATTTCAAGAAGAGGTTCCCCAACATGCTTCTTTGAGAGAAAATGAAGGTCCCTCAAAGTCAAGATGTTGGTTGTAACCAAACCCCAATCTCATGTGTTGTGGAGGCGTCTTATACATGAGTTTATCTATGCCTGCATAAAGGAAAAGGAAATAGATCTCAATCAGAATACAGCTGGAAGGGACCTTGGAGGTGTTCTAGTCCAACCCCCTGCTCAAGCAGGAGACCCTATACCATTTCAGACAAGTGGCTGTCCAGTCTCTTCTTAAAAGCCTCCAGTGATGGAGCACCCACAACTTCTGAAGGCCACTGGTTGATTGTTCTTACTGTCAGGAAATTTCTCCTTAATTCCAGGTTGCTTCTCTCCTTGATTAGTTTCCATCCATTGTTCCTTGTCTTGCCTTCTGGTGCTTTGGAGAATATGTTGACCCCTCTTCTTTGTGTCAGCCTCTCAACTACTGGAACACTGCTATCATGTCACCCCTAGTCCTTCTTTTCTCTAGATTAGCCATACCCAATTCCTGCAACCATTCTTCAAATGTTTTAGCCTCCATCTCCCTAATCATCTTAGTTGCTCTTGTCTGCACTTTTTCCAAAATCTCAACATCTTTTTTGTAATATGGTGACCTAAACTAGATGCGGTATTCCAGGTGTGGCCTTACTGGTGTAAGATAATGGTGTGCTGGCTGGTTTGGGTGCAGAAGCCCTTCCATCTTGTTTTGCTCTTCCAAGAAACTTAAGATGGTAGTTTGAAGGGGATTGCTCTAAATACATTATCTGAATTCAGGGAGTGAATGTCTGCCAATCCTAATGTGATTTATGAGATTAATTGCCTTCCTTCTTGCTTATTATCTTCTCCAGTTATTTGACTTGGTATACCGAGAGGAGACTTTGCTGAATGTCATCAAAAGTGTCACGCGGAATGGGCGGTCCATTATCCTGACAGCTGTCCTAGCTCTTATTTTGGTCTATCTCTTCTCCATTGTTGGGTTCTTGTTTCTGAAGGATGACTTCATCATGGATGTGGAAAGACTGAAAAATAAAACCTCCATTACAGGTACAGCTTGAAGCATAGAAGGATATTTCAACAAATTCCATTTTCCATTCTATTTTTGGGGGGACATTCAGCTCTGACTGAATGATGGGGAATGGAAGGAGCTGAGCTGAAGTCAGACCTAAAGAAGCTTCTTGGATGAGAAGTGAAACATCTTCAAAGAAAAACAAGAAAGTCCAGTTGCCCCTTGAAAAAGCACCTTTGGGACAACCCTGACCTGGATAGACTGAGAATAGAGCCCAAATTTTATGTTGATAAGCAAGATAGTTTTTATATCAGTTTTGTCCCATTTTATGACTTTTCTTGCCGGCGTTTACATGAATAACTGCAGTTGTGAAGTTGGTAACACGGTTGTTAAGTGAATCTAGCTTCCCCATTAACTTTGTGTGTCAGAAGGTCGCAAAAGGGGATCACGTGCTCCCAGGACACTGCGACCGTCATAAATGTGAGTCAGGTGCCAAGCATCCGAATGTAAATCACGTGACCCTGGGGATGCTGCAACGGTCGTAAGTGTGGAAAACGGTCATAAGCCCCTTTTTTCAGCACTGTTGTAACTTTGGTCACTAAATGAAATGACTAGCTATATTTGGGAGAGCGGTGTGCAGATGACATTTAAATCTTTGCTACTAGGTCAGGGGTAGGCAACCTTGGCCTTTTATGACTCGTGGACTTCAACTCCCAGAATTCCTGAGCCAGCCATGCCGAGGGGAAAGGGAGAGGTTTCCAAGCTGAGCCATGCTGGCTCAGGAATTTTGGGAGTTGAAGTCCACGAGTCATAAAAGAGCCAAGGTTGCCTACCCCTGGCCTAGGTGAATCGAAAATGGAGAATACTCAGTACAAATTAATAAAGTAAGGAAGGAAATTGATCTACTGAATTTTTACAGAACTTTTGGAACGTACACAAATGTGGAATTTATTATGTTCGAGGGAACAAGTTTGAAACTCAAAGATGAAATGGCCAGCCTCTAATATTTATCGTAATAATGCATAGCAAGGCGGTGCATGTTTCAAAAATAATCTGGATGGTCCTTCTCTATTATTTGTGTATTCAGTAAATTTTCTGTGCCGCCCATCTTACTATCAAGCGACTCTGGGCTGCTTATCCATAAAAGTAATCCATATTATCCCTGAAACCTCCAATTCTCACCATTTTGAAGGCTCTAAAAAAAAAAAATTAAGGGCAACGGGTCTAAGAGTGACATTAACTTGAGTCAATTGATTCCTTAAATCACCCAGACGTGTGTTTTTTTTCTTTCAAATTCATGTGTTTTTTTTCTTTCAAATTCATGCTGAAGCCTGAGAAACGAGGGGATAATTGAATGGTTGGCAAACAGGGGTGGTTGACATTTACTTCTACTTTCAAAGTGTGAATAGCCCTCATGATTTTCCATGTTGTTGTCATTGTTGTTTGTCTTTGCTGACGTATCAGACAGCAGCACCGTCTCTACCACAAGCTTAACAACAATGGTGGAAACCTGCTCAATAGAGAATTGCAGTGTTGCGGTACCAACCATCAAATCAGGTTAGTGGGATGCTTATAAAATATTTTGTCTTTCTGCCAAATAAATTATTTTCAATGCAGGGAGTCCTCGACTTACGACTCCAACTGAGCCCGAAGTTTCTGTTGCCAAGTGAGACATTTGTTAAGTGACTTTTGCCCCATTGCACAATCTTTCTTGCCACAGTTGTTAAGCGAATCGCTGCCGTTGCTAAGTCAGTCACACGGTTGCTAAGTGAATCTGGCTGCCCCCATGGACTTGGCTTGTCAGAAGGTCGCAAAAGGTCAGGTGACACACACACACCCCGGGATGCTGCAACCGTCATAAGTACATGCCAGTTGCCAAGCGTCTGAATTTTGATCATGTGATGATGGGGACGCCCCCAACGGTTGTAAGGGTGAAAAAGGGTGTAAAGTCACTTTTTATAGTGCTGCTGTAACTTCTAACGGTCGTTAAACAAACCGTTGTAAGTCGAGGATTACCTGTACTGACTTAGAGATCAGAAAGAAATATTATCTGTTTGATAATTACTCTGATATGTGTTCCCCCATCTCTCTCTCTCTCTCAATTCTCTTCTCTTCTTCTCTTCTCTCCTCTCCTCCCCCTCCCTTCCCCTCCTCTCACTCCTCTCCCCTCTAACCGCTCCCGTCCTCCCTCCTCTCCTCTCCTCTCCTCTCCCTCCCCTCCTCTGCTCTGCTCTCCCCTCCCCTCCTCTCCACTCCTCTTTTCCTCTGCTCTTCACTCATCCTGACTCATGTTTAAGACAAATATTGTCGTTATCCAACTATAGTGAAACAATTGATAATATAGCTTGGGGAAGGGGGTGTCCATTATGGAAGATAAAATTGGTGATGTCATTGCAGAAATTAGGTTATTTGCATGCAAAGCCATTTGCACCGAGATATAGTAAAGTGAAGTCCCAGTGTACTACAGAATACAGAATAACAGAATTGGAAGGGACCTTGGAGGTCATCTAGTCCAACCCCCTGATCAGGCAGGAGACCCTATACCATTTCAGGCAAATGGCTGTCCAGTCTCTTCTTAAATACCTCCGGTGATGGAGCACCCACAACGTCTGGAGGCAAGCCCTTCTGCTGATTAATTATTCTCACTGTCAGGAAATTTCTCCTTAGTTCCAGGTTGCTTCTCTCCCTGATTAGTTTCCACCCTTTGCTTTTTGTCCTGCCTTCAGGTGCTTTGGAAAATAAGTTGTCCCCCTCTTATTTGTGGTAACCCCTGAGATATTGGAACACTGCTATCATATCACCCCTAGTCCTTCTTTTCTCTAGACTTGACATACCCAATTCCTGCAACCATTCCTGCAACACTGGAGATTTTAAAGAAGGGACTGGACCGCCATTTGTCTGACATGGTATAGGGCAGGGGTAGGCAACCTTGGCTCTTTTGTGACTCGTGGACTTCAATTCCCAGAATTCCTGAGCCAGCCATGCTGAGGGGAAAGGGAGAGGTTTCCAAGCTGAGCCATGCTCGCTCAGGAATTCTGGGAGTTGAAGTCCACCAGTCATAAAAGAGCCCAGGTTGCCTACCGCTGCCCAAATGCCTGAATTTTGATCACGAGACTGTGAGGAAAAATATTTAAATATTTAATCCAGGGGTCTTCAAACTTGGCTCTTTTATGACTCGTGGACTTCAACTCCCAGAATTCCTGAGCCGGCATGGCTCAGCTTGGAAACCTCTCCCTTTCCCCTCAGCGTGGCTGGCTCAGGAATTCTGGGAGTTGAAGTCCACGAGTCATAAAGCGGCCTAGGCCTGGGCCAGAGGTAGGCAACCTTGGCTCTTTTATGACTCGTGGACTTCACCTCCCAGAATTCCTGAGTCAGCCATGCTGAGGGAAAGGGAGAGGTTTCCAAACTGAGCCATGCCGGCTCAGGAATTCTGGGAGTTGAAGTCCACGAGTCATAAAAGAGCCAAGATGGCCTACCCCTAGTATAGGGTCTCCTGCTTGAGCGGGGGGTTGGACTTGAAGACCTCCGAGGTCCCTTCCAGCTCTATTCCGATTGGCTAATTGAACTGTCCTTACGATATCCATAGGTGAAGATAGCGATGAGGACAGGATTGAGAGGACTTGTGACACTTTGCTGATGTGTATCGTGACCGTGTTGAACCAAGGACTGAGAAACGGTGGAGGAGTGGGGGATGTTCTTCGGAAGCCATCCAAAGAGGTGAGTGTTTTCATTGGCTTGGTATTGCTATACAGGAGGTCCTGGACTTACGACCAGAACTGAGCCCAACATTTCTGTTGCTAAGAGAGACATTTGTGAAGTGAACTTTTTTTATGACCATTTTTGCCAGAGTTGTTAATTGACTCACTGCAGTGCCCAAAAGGTTAGAACTTTGAATCTGAAACGTAAACAGCCTTTTTTTTTGGGGGGGGGTGTCTGTCGTATCTTTGAATGGTCACTAAGCGGCCAGCTGTAAATCGAGGGCCGTCTGTTAGCATCCATAGGAAACCTGTTACTGAGGTGAAGGACACCAGCAAGGTCATCCTGAAAAGAGTACCGCTTAGAAAAGTAAAAATATGAAAAAAAAACCACGTTTATTTATTTATTTAGTACAGGGGTGTCAAACTCAATTTCACTGAGGACCGCATCAGCATTGCAGTTGCCCTCGGGGGCCAGGTGGGTGTGGTCAGAGTGGGCATGGCCTACTGGGTGGGTGTGGCTGCAGTGGGTGTGGCCTATTGGGTGGGCATGGTAAGCTCTACATCGTTCGCATCAAGGGTGCCTGTGGGGGCCTGGGCAGGAATGGGACAGATCTGAGGGTCTCTGGCAGAAGGGGGTGGGACCGGGGCAAGTGCCAAGGCATGGTCCACTGGAGGAGCCTCACTGCCTGCTGAAACCCCTCCGCCAGAGCCCATCGCCGGATATGTGAAGTAGGCGAGGGCCATTTGCTGGCCACTTCCAGGCGATGGTGCATTTCTTCATTCCTCACAAAGGGAGGGGAGTGGGGAGTGATACGGTAGGGGCTGGTTCCTCGCTGGTTCCAGACGGCCTTGTGGAGCTAAGACTGAATGCGTTTCAGCATAGATGGCCACCACAAAATTGTACATTGGCTCCCGGCCGGCCTGGGCCAGGGCCAAGGCAGTGGGGGCCGTTCCCTCACTGTTTCCAGGATGGCTTCACGGGCCACATGAAACCACTTCGCGGGCCGCATCCGGCCCCTGGGCCTTGTGTTTGACATGTCTGATTTAGTATATGGACTCGAGTACATGGATAACAGTAATAAAATTATATAAAAGGAACATATAATACCAGGGTGCACGTATAAAAGAAATATGTAGTCAATTTTGTAAGTTGTGGGGAATTCTGCAAGTTATAAGTCACATTTTGAAATCAGTTGATTCATAAGGACAGAGCAAGTGTTCTGTAGATTAATACAAGGGCAGTTTGGAAATAAACCTCCATTCGATTATCAATGACAGACACGTGCAGATGCAGAACTTTTATTATACACATTAGAAAACTACAACATGACATGACTTTTTGACATAAGCACCATTCAAATTGAGGCACTTGTCATAACATCTTACAAGGTTTGAAATGAAGAGGTGGTAGTCACTTGGCGGGGGGGGGGGATCAAAAACATTGCAACGGAAACGCTTCAAAAGTTCTTGGGTGCATCTAACGGTGTGCAAGTGAGCATTGTCGTGAACCAACACCACACCGAACATCAGCAGGCCCCGACGCTTGTTATGATGGCTCACCTGAGTTTTCATAACATTTCACAGTAGACATCTGAATTGATGGTCGAACCACACTCCATGAACATCGCCAGCCGTACTCCTTTGCCATCTTCACATTTGGTGGGATTTTCTAGGGCACCACTTCCGGTGTGGTGTTGGTTCACAATAATGCTTGCCCGCACCCTGCTAGACGCACCCAAGAACTTTTTTTTTAATATTTTATTAATTTTACAAATTTACATTTAAGTATTTAAAAGCAACGTGGTGACTGGGTTAATCAGTAGTTCGATAACAAAATCCTTAGTAAACATCTCAAGTTACAACATCAAATATTTCTTCTGTTTTTCCCTTAGCATTTACTGTCTCGTATTCAAGCTAGTACAGTTCTTATTATATCAACTCAGTAAAAACATTGTTATTACATTTATCAATAAATTATTAGCTTATACGTAATTACATTCAATCTTCATAAACAATTCATATCCTGTTATTAATTTTTATCCAATTTTTAGTTTCTCATCAATATTCCAATTTAACCTTTGATACCCATAATTTTCAGGCTTTAGGTAACCAAGATTTTCCTGTCTCAATTCATAACAAATCTAATATCCAAAATACACATTTATCTATTTGAATGTAATCTTGTTCTACTTCCTAAGAGTGATCTATTTCCCACCATATTAAATCATTTACTTAATAATACAATATCCTCTTTTAATAAATCAAAACCATTATTTAAAATTTATTTATTTAAAATACTTGGAAATTAATTGAAAATGAGGATTTTATCTGTTTAATATTTAAAAATTAGACCTAAAAGGAAAAAGAAAATTAATTATTATGAATATGTTTGATTAATTGATTAACCCAGGTAATATTCACTGTTCTGAAACCTGAATCAAGATACTTTTGTAATTCAAGCACAGACAGATGACTCAATAAAGATGATTGTAAAACAGACATTTATTCAGGAATACTTGGTCAGAACTCACGTTTCTGTAGTTTCATCTAAATGTTGCATATCTGTTCATCTTTATAGGTAAAAAATCAATAATTCCTTCACATCAATTTCTAGCATGAAATTAGACGGTGTGTGTCCTCCGGTGATCCCATGCTTATCTCAGACAAAGAGATTCCAAACTGGCACGTAGCCAGGATATCCTGTGATGAACTTAGTAGCCCCTCCTACTGGCTTGTTAACATGGGCTTCACTGAACAGCTAAACTACATTACCCATAAGCCACCTCTTAAGGAGACAGCGCTTAACCCAATAAATGCCAAACATTCTAACATACAGACCCATCTAACTGGCTGATCCAGAACATGCACCCAAGAACTTTTCAAGCAGTTCCGTTGGGATGTTTTTGATCACACACACCCCATAGCCCAGATTTGGCACCGAGCGACAACGACTAAGGAATTTCAAACCTTGTAAGACATTACAACAAGTGCCTCAGTTTGAATGGCTATTTTGTCGGAAAGTAATGTGATGCTGTAGTTTTCTAACGTGTATAATAAAAGTTCTGTATCTGCGAGTGTCTGTCATTGATAACCGAACGGAGGTTTATTTCCGAATTGCCCTCATATCTAGCAAATAAAGGGAATATGATAAAACGGACAATTTGACATTCATCTTTTCTGCACTGCTGATCTTCAGTAGCTATAACAACATCATGTCTGATCAAAGGTACAGGTAGTCCTCAACTCATGACCACAGTTGAGCCCAAAATTTATGTTTCTAAGTGAGAAACTTGTGAAGTGAGTTTTGCCAAGTCTTACGACTTTCCTTGTCACTTTTTTAAAGTGAACCACTGCAGTTATTAAATTAGTAACCCGGTTGTTAAGTGAACTGGCTTCCCCATTGACTTTGCCTGTCAGAAGGTCACAAAAGGGGATCACGTGACCCCGGGATGCTGCAACCATCATAAATATGAGTCAGTTGTCCAGCACCCGAATGTAAATCACGTGACCCCCCGGGGATGCTGCAACGGTCCTAAGGATGAAAAAGGGTCGTAAGTCCTTTTATTCAGTGCCGCTGTAACTTCGAAGGGTCGCTAAAGGAACTGTTGTAAGTTGAGGACTCCCATTATTTTCATTGAATTGGGTTAAAATTGGACATCGCGTAAAAATGTTGTTTCTTTTCAGGAGCCGCTGTTTGCTGCTCGGGTGGTTTATGATCTCCTGTTTTATTTCATTGTCATCATTATCGTTCTGAACCTCATTTTTGGAGTCATCATCGATACGTTTGCGGACCTCAGAAGCGAAAAGCAGAAGAAAGAAGAGATTTTGAAGACGACCTGTTTCATCTGTGGTACGTATTCATCCGTTTGTCGTTAGGGTTTTTAAAAAAAAGAAATGAAAAAGCAGAGAGGCGTTGACAAGCAAGCTTTGCGAATGCACCAGGATTGTGGTTCGTGAATGGCACAGAAAGCTGCCTTAGAAATAATTTTGGTCCAATGTATAGGTAGTCCTTGACTTACAACCACAATTGAGCCCAAAAGGTCTGTTACTAATGGACACATTTGTTAAATGGATTTTGCCCCGTTTTATGACTTTTATTGCCGTGGCTGCTAAGTCAATCAATCCAGATGTTAGTTACACAGTGGTTAAGTGAATCCTGCTTCTCCATGGACTTGGCTTGTGAGAAAGTCGCAAAAGGGGATCACATGTCCCCAGGACACTGCAACTGTCATAAATATGAGTCAGTTGCCAAGTGTCCAGTTTTCATCACTAAATGAATTATGGTAAGTTGAGGACTACCTGTTGTGGGATTTTTGTCTATTCATTCCTTAAGGAAGCTTTAATGCAAAAGTCTCCAACCTTGACAACTTTGAGACTTGTGGACTTCAACTCCCAGAATTCCTCAGCCAGCATGAAGTCCACAAGTCATAAAAGGGCCATATTTGAAGATTCCTGGTTTACAACATCACAGAAAGCCATATAAATACATAAATAAAAGCGTAGGTGTCAAGGTTCCGACTAACGTACCCAACCAAGTAAGAACTGATGAGATGATCCAATCTTTTTATGCAAAACTTTATTGAGTTCATCATTTCGGCACAAGTGAAAACAAAACCAGCTCCGGTTATTTCCCACGCAAACCGCTATAAACAAAACATACAATTCCCCTTCCGCCTATTAGTGCATGTCACGTTGTCCAATCAAGTGTTAAAAGTTTGTTATGGGAAAGTGTCTTTGTGGGTTGGTAAACATCTGTTGAAATGTCCTTGGTTCCCACAGTTTGATTTCTTGTTGTCTGGAGTCTGCATTCCATTTTCCCCTTGCCCTTCCCGCTAGTGCAGGGGTCTTCAAACTTGGCAACTTTAAGACTTGTGGACTTCAACTCCCAGAATTGGCTGAGGAGTTCTGAGAATTGAAGTCCACCAGATGCAACGTTGAGGACTCCTGCTTTAATGTACGAATAGGTTTGTGGGAAATTCTCCTTTTTTCACAGGGCTGGAGCGGGATAAGTTTGACAACAAGACGGTTTCATTCGAGGAACACATCAAGTCAGAACACAACATGTGGCACTATCTATATTTTATCGTTCTGGTCAGAGTGAAAGACCCAACGGAATATACTGGACCCGAAAGTTATGTGGCCCAAATGATTGCGGTGAGTCCCATTTTGGCGTTGATTGTGATGCACAATGTTGGTCCTTTCAGGTACATCTGGAATGTATTCCTCCTTAACTCTAGGACAGCGGTTCTCAACCTATGGGTCGCGACCCCATTTGGGGTCGATTGGCCATTTCACGGGGGTCACCCCTTTTCCGGCAGGTGTCTTACCTCCCTTGGGCTGGGCCAGCTGGTGGCCCAGCCAGTGGACGGCCTGCTTCGTCTCTGCCGCTTGCCAGCTACGCCTCGGCCGGTGCAGGGGGCGGCACCACGCATGCGCGGCGCTCCCGGGCAAGGAAAGTCCTCGACTTACAACCGGTTGGGTAGTCCTCGACTTACGACCGGTTTAGTCCTCAACTTACGACCGGTTTAGTCCTCGACTTATAACCAGTTGGGGGTTGCGGCATTAAAAAGATTGAGAACCACTGCTCTAGGATATCTTCATCTGCACACTGGTAGTCCTCGACTTACGACCAAAACTGAGCCCAAAATTTCTGTCGCTAAGTGAGGTATTTGTTATGGGCCCCATTTTACAACCTTTCTTGCCACAGTTGTTAAATGAATCACGGCGGTTGGTAAGTTAGCGACACAGTTAAGTGAATCTGGCTTCCCCACTTGTCAGACGGTCGCAAAAAGGGGATCACGTGACCCCGAGACACTGCGACTGTCAGAAATATGAGTCACTGGCCAAGTGTCCAGATTTTGATCATGTGACTGCGGGGATGCTGCAACGGTCGTGTGAAAAACGATCATAAGTCACTTTTTTCCGTGCTGTTATAACTTCGGATGGTCACTAAACGAATTGTTGTAAGTCGAGGACTATGTGTAACTGCAAAGGCATTTTAAGCCATCTAATGCACACGAGAAACGCTGGCATAATAATAATTTTTTAAAAAATGGAGCCTTTGTCGCCATGAGAACATAATGACATGACCCATCAACTGAAAAAGCACAGATAAAGTTTTGAAAGTTTTGAAAAGTATTGTAATGAAGGAGTTAAAAATAAATTCCACTTACTGTCCCTGATCAAGAATTCTACCGACGTATCTGGGAAAGCAGTGCAAATGCAAGATTTCTGATTAGCCCAATATTTCTCCTTGAGCTCAGCCTACTTTATTAAGTATTCAGGTTAATGCACACACACAGGATGTTCATGGGACAATTGACATCATGTCCTTCATCACATGATTAATTGATTCCTAGCTGAAGAGAGCTGTCACTCACTAAATGGAGCCAAAAATTATGGGAAGGATCAATAACCTTTGTGATATAAGTAAGCAGGGAGCCCAGGAAGGTTAAGAAGTGGCATTTAAAAAGATTTGACAGCAAAAACAAAAACAGGTACTCTTCAATATCTTCGTGAACAATTTAGATGGGGGGACAGAAGAGGAACTCATCAAATTGGCAGGTGACCCAAGCTTGGGGGAATAGCTAACACCCCAGTAGATATGCTTAAGATACAGAAGGATCTTGACAGACTTGAACACAGGGCCCTATCTAACAAAATGAAATTCAGCGTAGAGAAAAGTAAAGTTTTACATTTAGTCAAGAACAACCAAATGCACAGGTATAGAATAGGTGGAACCTGGCTCAATAGTAATAACTGCCAGAGGGATCTCGGAGACCTAGTGGACAATCACTTAAATAGGAGCCAGCCATGTGCTGCAGCTGCCAAAAAAGCCAACACAATGCTGGGCTGCATTAACAGAGGGATAGAATCAAGATCACGTGAAGTGTTAATACCACTTTAAAAGGCCTTGGTAAGGCCACACTTGGAATCCTTTATCCGGTTTCGGTCACCACAATGTAAAAAAGACGTTGAGACTCTAGAAAGAGTACAGAGAAGAGCAACAAAGATGATCAGGGGACTGGAGGCTAAAACATATAAGGAACGGTTGCAGGTATTAATTGGGTATGTCTAGTTTAATTAAAAGAAGGACTTGAGGTGACATGATAGCAGTCTTCCAATATTTGAGGGGCTGCCACAAAGAAGGGGGGGGTCAACCTATGAGAGAGAGAGAGAGAGAGTCCACATATGATGATGATGATAGATGGATAGATACTGTCCACAGACAGACAGACAGACAGATAGATAGATACTGTCCACATATGATAGATAGATAGATAGATAGATAGATATAGATAGACTGTCCACATATGATAGATAGAAAGATTCCTCCTTTCCTTTCCTTTCCTTTCCTTTCCTTTCCTTTCCTTTCCTTTCCCTCCTTCCTTCCTTCCTTCCTTCCTTCCTTCCTTCCTTCCTTCCTTCCTTCCTTCCTTCCTTCCTTCCTTCCTTCCTTCCTTCCTTCCTTCCTTCCCTCCCTACACCTGCCCATCTCAGCAAACAACTCTGGCCAGCTCAGAATTCTTTCCTTCCACGCTTTACAGCATTATGGATTTCTTAATTTGATCTCGCATAATTTATATCTTATCTTTCCCCCCCACCCCCACCCCAGACTGATCTGGTATGCACCGTTGTATGGCGTTTGAAACAAGCTGTTTGGATTGTTTTAGAATCGTCTTTCACCTTGAAGCAGAATGAAATTTCTCTTTTGACTGGGAAACACATCCAGGCCGATTGCAACAAGCCATTTCAAAGGCAAAACATTTGTTTCACATTTTAAATGAGCCTGTTGCAATTCAAGCACTTTGAATCGGAAAAGTTTGCACCCGGCCGTATTTTACATAGTCTCAAAAGGTTATAATGCGCAGAAATCTACTTAAGGAAATTGAAAACATAAACCACTTCTCACCATTATCAAATACGGGCTGTAACCTTTTGAAAGCCATTGAGAGAGATGAGTGACTTTCTTTTTCTGAACTGTAGCAATATAGGGAATGTGTTCTTTAAATAAAATAAAGCAATTTGATTAATGGATTTGATGCACCGCAATATCCGCTCACTTCATAAAATATTGCTGTCGTTACAACCATTGCATTTCATTTCCAAATAAGTGGCTTCTGTCCAAAAGTTAACAGATATTCTCCAAGCCCACGTTGCAGGAACGACACCATCTGCTTGCAAGCTCTCGCGAAAAGAGCCACAATATTTGGTCCAATTATTTTGAAAATAATGTCACTGTACTCATCACATTTAGCAAGTAAGAGAAATGGATTTCAGTAAAAAAAAAAAAAAAAAGATATCCTTCTAAATCAGCTCCAAGGCCAATGTCATAAGAAAATTAGAATGGTGGAATTGCTTTAGGTTTTTTTTTATTTTATTTTATTTTTAAGTAGCAGAAGAAGGAACTAAAATTCTTGCAATGAGCCAGCACGGAGAAATTATAGGAAATCAGGTCTGTTTCGAACAGAAATAGATCTGTCAAGAATGGCCAAGGGTTGTTTATTTCATGTCCCTGGTGATAAAAAAAATCCAGTTGCATAATTGGCTTGGTATTTATTGAGCCCAATGACAGTATATAAAATTGTGTTAAAATAATTTTTTTGTCCAGTCAGTAGGCAACCATCAGTAAACCCAATGGTTTCAATCAAGCTTCCTCAATATAAACCCTTCTTGCAAATGCTTCTTACACAAACCAGGAGTTCTGAGAAAATATCTACAGATATTCACTTTTTCAACTCCTCCCCTTGGGATTGTGTTATAGGGCAGGGGTAGACAACCTTGGCTCTTTTATGACTCGTGGACTTCAACTCCCAGAATTCTTGAGTCAGCATAGGCAACCTTGGCTCTTTTATGACTCGTGGACTTCAACTCCCAGAATTTCTGAGTCATAAAAGAGCCAAGGTTGCCTACCCCTGCCCTATACCATTTCAGACAAATGGCTGTCCAGTCTCTTCTTAAAAACTTCCAGTGTTGGAGCATTCACAACTTCTGGAGGCAGGTTGTTCCACTGATCAATTGTTCTCACTGTCAGGAAATTCCTCCTTAGTTCTAGGTTGCTTCTCTCCTTGATTAGTTTCCATCCGTTGCTTCTTGTCCTGCCTTCAGGTGCTTTGGAAAATTGCTTGACTCCCTCTTCTTTGTGGCAGCCCCTGAGATATTGGAACACTGCTATCATGTCCCCCCCCCCCAGTCCTTCTCTTCATTAAACAATGTTCAAAGGGATATAGATCTGGTCACACACATATATATCGGCATTCATAGAAGTGTGGTTGCTGATAAAGACCCAGAAAGGGCATAAAATGGTCCCAGGAGATTTGGGTCACTGACTCTTCATATGGCTTGACAGTCAGTTGACATCTCTCTAGGGGACTGAGGACTAGAAGACATCTTTTTGATTATTTATTTGCATTTCACTGTTTTATATTATATAATATAATGGAGTTGAGAGGCTATAAAATCCTGTCAATCTAATCTTAATAAATCTAGTCCCTTCAGTTTGTACCAGACACCTCTGCTTACAAATAAGCAATCATTTTGGAAATGTCCATGGAGATTCTTCAACCATCCAGGTCATGGTTGTCCCAAAGGTGCTTCTTTCTTTTTTCTTTTTCTAAAAGGCAATTGGATTTCCTTGTTTTTGTCTGTTTGTTTTCCTCTTTAAAAGCATTTCGCTTCTCACCCAAAAAGCTGCTTCAGTTCTGAGAACCAAAGAAGCTTCATGGATGAGAAGCGAAAGGTTTTCAAAGACAAAACCAAGAAAACTCAGTTGCCTTTTTGGGGGGGGGGGAAATCACCTTTGGGACAATCATTTTGGAAGAGTAGCTGTTTTTCATCCCAAGCAAGCATCAAGAGATTTGGGATGCTTTGACGTTGCCTCTGGTGCAGTTTTACATTGTTTTAAATCTCCCTTTTGCTTCCTAACTTGCCTTTTAATTCCTCCAATTGCACCTCAATTGGAGGCTTGTGCAGATTGCTTCAATAGATTCCACAAAGACATGATAAGGCATGATAAGTTGGAGAAAATTTGAACTTTGTTTAATGAATATGAATGAATCAAGGTCTAATATTATTT